CTATCATCTCCTCACGCAATGTCGTTGAATAAGCCAAGGGATGTTGAGAGCTTTCAATATTTGTTATAAGACGTCGTGCTTGACATGACGTCACGACTCCGTGCCTGTGATGACGTCATGTAAGTCTTACACCGACAAACACAGCGATGGTCGAAAACGATGGAGCTGGTCTAAGGTTTTCTCATATGGTGGATTCATGCCGACAGAGAAGGAAATCAGTCTCGAGAAATCTCGTACGGGAAATACCGGAATTTAGACATTCGTGTCGTAAACATAGTATGACATGCACACTCATATAATATCCTCTATTTATCAAGTGACAAGCGACACATTTAGTTGCATCTGAGACTACAGGACCCATAGTGCTTAATATACAAAAATGCATACAGTGCGCTGTAACATATATATAAATAAGGTGCTTAAAATGGTAAGTTTCTTTGTAGAAAGAAAGATACACTTTTGATAACTGAAGGCTTCTTGATGACAGAAGCTGGGATAATTTGTCAATGGAAGGATTGGACCCGTGAAGATCCGTGGTAGAATAAGTCTTCAAAGACCCATGCTTGCTGTAAATGGCGACTCTGCTTGTCGTAAGAGGTGACTAACGGGGTCGGGTGGTCATGCTCGCTGACTTGGTTGATGCATGTCATCGATCCCAATTGCGTGTCACTGTCACTGGATTGTCTGGTCCAGACTCGATTATTTACAGACCGCCGTCATGTAGCTGGAATATTGCTGAGTGCGGCGTTAAACAACAAACCAACCAGCTTGGCATTGAGGGAATAAAACAAGGACTGGCACGGTATCTCAGTGGGCGAGCACTATCAGTGCTAGTGCAAGCAGCCACATACACACGACCATGCACATTGCTTTATAAACAGCGGGGCACAAGAAAGTATACACCCATGTTTGATGAATGAAATGAAACAAAAAGAAATGGTTATTCGATGGTGATGTATTTCATACGGGTATCATGGTTGTCTTTGAACCTTAAGTCTGCAGTGTCTCGGCAACAGTTTTCTGCCTTGTAACGTTTTGATAACTTTTGTAATTTGTTTTATCAAATCCAATTTTCAAATGTATACTTTCTGTTCAAACGTTACATGTAGGTGAAAGATTCTTGATCGCGACGTAAAATATAAACCTCCATTTCAACAAAACCCACCCCCATCAACCTTGCCATCACGTGTGCAAGTAGAAGCAGATTATATCCAATTTTGACAAGAGGCAGCAAAACTAAAATGACCGTGTTTCTATTTATAGCTGACACACATATCCTCCCGCAAGTGCTGATTAAGACAATGTCATATTGTCAACGTGACATCTATGTGTGGCATATGGATATAGTGATAAAGTATTCAAGCAAATTAGTTTTGATAAAGCAATCAAATAGAAAATATGTTAAAAAACAAATGTTTAATTTTCTTTCTCATATCCAGAAGTACAATACGGACGTTTTTAGAGCATCAGGGTTGATGTATGAATATTCTTCAACTGATATTTCTAACCCGTTCCATTTTCTGTCAGTTGTGTAACTTCTGATGTCTAGTACATCATCTGAAGACATTGCTGATACTCGTGTTCTCTGATACCCGGTGTTCAACATACAAATGACCTAATTGCCATTTCACTACTAGTACGCAGTTATATGAAACTGTATTGTGGCCTGACAAGACTGTATGACCTGAGGGATAACTGCAATATTCTAGTAGTCAACTTCCGGTTTATGTTGAGTCGGGGGGCGGGGGACCCAGTCGTCTAAGGCGCTGCAATCGATGTGCAGAGTTTCGTCCCTTGGGCACGCCAGAAACCTATAGTTGTGGATTCGAATCCCAGTTCGCCCCGATTATGTTTCTAGGTTTGTCAGCACCATACCCGTGCTCGTGGGTTTCACCGGAGTGGTAAAAGTCTGACACCTGCATCACTTGGGGCTTTCCTCCCATATTAAGCCGACAAATATGATTGGAAAACTGTTAAAAACAACTCACTGACTCACTTATTTTGAGTCATATTCCTGCAGCTTCAGCTCTTGTTGTCTACATTTCACAAGTGTTCAAGTACAATCGAGATTGACCCTTCCACCATGATTCCAAAGAGCGTCATACTCTTGCTCAGAAGTTGTCTGATCAAGGTTACAACATTCAAGGAGTAGAGCTTTGTATGGTAGATATGTTGAGGACATTTCCAAATTTGACAAGAATCAGTGACAAGAATGATGTCTGATGCAATTCCCTATTTTGACCATATGTTTCCGCGTTTCTCCAGGTTGACAATTAATTGACTTACCTTTGCATGACTTGGTGACGGGTGGGGCAGGATACGCTAACCTTTTCGCGAACACCTGGTACCAACACTATTTAATAGTAATTAATTAACACATGCTCATGATATTGTCGAACAACCGACCCTGTTTTTGGAAACGATTTCCTATGAATATGGAAAGGGTTTTGTTGTTTTTATTTAAGCTTTACTGCTGTAGAATGTGCGCTGATACAGAAGGATAGAAAACCTTTTCATATTGTTTGTGCCAGAAAATGAAAATATAACAGTCCTTAGAAGTTGAGAGCTTAATCCCATTGAGCATTTTTGCTCTTTCAACAAATATGTCTAAGCTTAAAACGTAGCAATAAAAAGAAAATGTTTTGAATTGATGTCAATCACTGGAACGTCTGGTCCATACTCGATTATTTACAGATCGCCGTCACACTTAGCTATGGTAAGACAACTTTACGGCCCAACTCTATAGTAAGACCCGTATCTTCTTCCCAATATGAACCACGCTTACATGATCTTTCAACACAATAGTGATAACAAATGCATTGCGTGTAACAGTAGAATTCCAGGGAACCACAATCTGGACGACAGCTTAGCGTGAACGTGCACTACCTTCCGAGTAGGCTACCATTCCCATACGAGTGATCCTGTTCGTTATTCCATGGGTAGTACTTGCCTACTACTTATATTGGACATCTCTTCACTAGACCCGTGAAGATCCGGGGTAGAAAAGGTGTACAGCAACCCAAGCTTGCCGTAAAAGGCGACTATGCTTATCGTAAAAGGCGACTAACGGGATCGGGTGGTCAGGCTCGCTGACTTGGTTGATGCATGTCATCGATCCCAATTGCGTGGATCGATGCTCATAATATCACTCACTGGATTGTCTGGTCCAGACTCGATTATTTACAGACCGCCGTCATATAGCTGGAATATTGCTGGGTGCGGCGTTAAACAACAAACCAACCAACCACTATTGCCCTGTTTGTAATGTCATCACTCATCAAGTATTCATATGTGCTGTAAACGCTACTTCACATACCAAAATCGTATATATCTGTGTTTGGCCATACATATAAAAATAAAACGCCAACACCAGAGAACAACCAGTCTCGATTATCCGCCAAAACATATTCCAATGGGAGTAAAAGGCAAAATAGCGGTGAAAATAGCATGAATGGATCACCTAAGATGTTTGATGACACCAGGTGTTCACGAAAAGGGCAGTCGACCGTGACAATCTGACATTTAGTTTGTTTGTTTGTTGTTTAACGCCACACTCAGCAATATTCCAGCTTTATGACGGTGGTCTGTAAATAATCGAGTCTGGAACAGACAATCCAGTTATTGACATCATGAGCATCGATCCACGCAATTGAGATACGATGACATGCATCAGCCAAGTCAGCGAGCCTGACCACCCGATCCCGTTGGTCGCCTTTGTCGACAAGCATAGATACGAGGGGCGTTCAATAAGTTTTGCAACTTCAATATAAGACCAAGTCGCAGAATATCTTTTGCACTTTTATTTTTCAATATAATCTCCATTCACCTCAATACACTTATTCCATTTGTCCTTCAAGCTTTTAATACCACGTTTACAGAAATCCTGGGGCGGTCGGATAGCCTAGTGGTTAAAGCGTTCGCTCGTCACGCCGAAGGCCCGGGTTCGATTCCCGACATGGGTACCATGTGTGAAGTCCATTTCTGGTGTCCCCCGCCGTGATATTGCTGGAATATTGCTAAAAGCGGCGTAAAACCATACTCACTCACTCACTCACTTATAGTAATCCGCAGATTGGCCCTCTAACCACGCCTCAGTGGCAGCCTGTATGTCCTCGTCACCCTGGAAGCGTCTTCCACGTAGGGCAGATTTCATTGGCCGGAACAGGAAATAGTCACTGGGGGCTAAGTCTGGGCTGTACAGTTAAATCACCCACCCTACAGCCCAGACTGAGCCCCCAGTGACTGGGGACTACCACGGATGGACCTCTGTGTCAAAACCACAAGCATGGCGAAGACGGTATTAAAAGCATCGAAGCACACCATCATGTTATTAAGATACTGTGTCTGTGCCAAAGCGGGTCTTCCACTGACAATGTGTTGGACAGTCTCATTACATTCATAACATAATCTACATTTCATATTTACATTTTGATGCAAAATCAAACATTGACGGTTTCGAGTGGGAAGTGACTGGTCCTGAGCAGCAAAAAGAAAGCCTTCAGTTTCACTTTTCAGGCCAGACGACTTCATCCAAGCGAAGGACTCTGCAGGATTGCTGATCTTCTCAACACACTGCTATTATGATTATGATTTTGATTATGATTATTATTACTCCGCGTTTTTACATCTACCTCACATATCGGGTACCCATTCCCTGCTTGGTGAACAGAGGCACATTTGAACTAAGTCACTTGCCCAGGGTGATATCACACGTTTTCACACGTGTGTCGGGTGTATGTACGTATTCGTGTTTCACCACCTAGTCATCTACCATCGGGCGAGTGGGTCCTTGTGATTGTGTTTGTCCTGTACACTAGGGTTAGTAAGAACACTGTAAAGACCTGTCCCAAGGTAGAATAATACCAACCTAGTCACTAGCGAGATACGATCCCAGTACCCGGCGCGTTTGATCACTTGCCCACACGGCTTACCCGTTCCATATAATTTCATCGACTTAGGTCAACTTATTCTATCTTGAAACTGCAGAGCAAGAACATTTTTCATCAATATTCTTTAGTCTACGAACACGCACAATGGGCGTTTGAACCAATGCCTCGTTAACATAAATAATGGGGTAGTTGTATTTAGATAATACTATCGACGTATTGACGTGCCTATAGCAACCGAGATACTTGATGTCTGAACAACGTTGACAGACTGAGTCCTCTCACGGACCAACACAAGCAGCTTGAAGATGAGACTCTTCTGCAAGGTGATCTTTGTTCTTGGGTGTCGGCTGATTGTCGTATCTGGGGACGCATGCAATATTGAATCTCTGTTAGTAAGTGGACATGCCCTTCCAGACTATTCCTTTCAATACGAGAGGAACTCCAACGTTTTAAGCTGTGCATCTTTTTGTTTGAGGGCTGAGGTGTGTGCATCGTTCCAATTGGACACCAACACGAGGATTTGTTTTCTGAATTTGAAAAACTCAACAAGTGGGCCTGGCATTCAGATTCGTCCTGGGTTTATATACAGCGATATCAACGGCTGGCCTAAGGTATTTACAACACGTTATTAACATTCTCATTATATGGGATTAATGGAAAATAATATATATGCGGATGAAATTAAATATGAATGTATAATGTTCTTACAATTACGTCTGAAGTATTACTATCTCCCGCCACGACGTGGAAGGGGGATATAGAAATGGGTGCTGTCCGTCCGTCCGTCACGTTTCGTTTCCGGAGCAGAACCCCAAAACTGAGAGATATCTTAATCAAACTTGGCACATAGATAGGTCTGATAATGAACTGGTTTCCTTGATAGATTGGGATTTAAAACGTTTTCGAGTTTCCATGGCAATGGCTTTGACTTAGAATGAAAATGGGGGTAGTGCTCGTTTCGGGAGCAGATCTTGAAAACAATATTTCTTCACCAATCTTTGCGCATAGATAAGTCTAGCGGTAAACTGGTGCCATTTGATAGTTTGGGGTCATAAAACTCTATTTTTCGAGTTTCCATAGCAACGATTTTGACTTAGACTGAAAATGGCGTTAGTGCTCGTTTCCGGAGCAGATCCTGAAACCGTACAATATTTCTTTCCTTGCACACAACCGGACATGTCATATTGGCAGGGGATATGAGTATTTCATGCGCGTTTCATTCTGAGACAGTGTGCACAAATGAGGAACTGCAGCTTACTGCTATATGTTTATTTCGTGAAGCCTGTAAACCATACACAGTGAATGGGAAAAGGTAAATCTGACAGATTCAGTAAATGAAACTTTAGACAATATCTGCATAAAGTTTTATGATTTATTTCTTGTGGTTCAATAGTATTTGACGTGTAAAGTTAATTTTTGTGTTGTGTTATATGACATACGCATGTAAAAAGTCGACTCTGGACTTCTGGGTAATCTTGACTGTATGGCTTCCTACCAAGACTGCGTTGCTTATGTCATACATTAAACGTTAAATACACTGCTTTGATTTCTATCGTGTTGTCTGATATGAGTATCACATAAGTTTTAGTAGCATTACTCGGGGTACACGTGGTTTTATGCGACCCATAAAACCACATGTACCCCGAGTGATACTGCTACAACGAATTTATCTTAGCGACATGTTTTAATATAAGAAGTCTTTATTTGTACCAAGGCCACTGGCCCATATACAATACATACATTTGAAATAGTGTGGTACATGAAAAAAAGGTAATGTCAGGTACAAATTTACAGGTTTACAGACTTTTCATAATTACGTCTTCTTTCATAGCTGTAATACAGGTATTTACATAGTTTTCCAAGTAATTGTTTACACGAAGATGACAGTGGCGTTTTAAATTTATGCATATTTGGATTATGGCAAAATGTTGTTGGTAAATACAGATGTCTAATATCGTTGTAATATTCACATTCTAAAGTAAAATGATATTCATTCTCTATACTTGTTTCACATATGGGGCAGAGTCGTAAACGTAAGTCAATATCAGCCCATCTACCTTCGTTTACCTTAAGTCTTAGTAGCCCGGCTCAGTAATTTCAGTAATAATGGAAAGGTATTTTTCTGGTTCCAGGAGACTTTTAAATTCTTTATACAGAATGTACCTAGAACTAGCCTTGATAGTACTATTCCATGATTGGTAGAACATATTTTTAAAAACGTTTTTAAAACTATTCATGAATGATGGTTTGTCGCCAACAGCTTGACTGAGCCAAACTACTCCGAATCCGTGAGAAAATAATATGGAACGAATAGAAGAAGCATAGTTATGACGACCACACTTGTCGTTATATACAAGCATATTATAAGATTTTCTTGGTATCCTATCTTCGTCCATTTCAATCAGTTTTAGCCAATACTTTACAGAACGACACATAGCATTTACATGTAGTGGGTACCGACCGCATTCCCCATACACAATAGCATTTGGGGTTTCCAAACCAACGTTAAGAAACTCCTTACAAGCAATAATATGCACTTGTTCCATTTTTTCAAATCTGTCTACGCCCCATATTTCCGCACCATATAAAAGAATAGGTTGAATCTGAGTATCAAATATTTTAAAGAAAACTGAAGTGTCAACAAAACCAATCTTCCGTAGATTGCGAAATATTTCCATTAAAGCTCGTTTACCCCTTGATGCTAGATCTGAAACACATTGGTTCATCTTTGATGTATATGAGAATACAAACCCAAGATATCTATAGGAGTTCGCGGTTGAAATACGTTTGCCTTTATAGAACCATTTCTCATGAACAGATAACCGCCCTCCTCCTCTAAATACAACAACTCTCGTTTTATCTAAATTAACCGTTAATCCATGTGAATCTGCAAAGTTATCAAGAATATTAAGTTGGTTCTGTAAACCAGTTACTGTGTCAGAGACAAGAATAACGTCATCGGCAAACAATAATAATAATATTTCAAACTAGTCAGGAAATAATTGTACGCCGTGTTTCCCATGTGATGAAACATCATTTGACAGTTCATTGGTGAAAAAGGAAAATAATAGAGGGCTTAATATACAGCCTTGTTTAACTCCGTTAGGACAATCAAAATATTCTGTATAAATGTTATCATTACATCTCACAAACGCTTTCACGGAGGCATAGATTCCCTTAAGTGCTCTCATCATCTTTCCACCCTAGCCTACATCGTGCAGACACTCCCATAGCTTAAGATGATTTACTGAATCAAACGCTTTTTTAAAATCCACAAAAGCAACGTATAATTTCCCTTTTCTTTTCGATAAACATTTGTTATAAATTAACAATTGCATTCAACGTGAATATGTGGTCAGCAGGAGAATATCCCTGTCTAAAGCCTGCTTGTGTCTCGGGTAATTTACTTCTTATATTAGCCCAGTTTGTAAGTCTAGAGTTTAAAACACTTGTGTAAACCTTACTAATTGTACACAATAGAGATATCCCTCTAAAGTTATCTGGATTATTTTTGTTACCTTTCTTATGTAGTGGAAGGATAATAGCTTTCGTCCAGTTCTGAGGGAATAATCCAGAATCAAATAACTTATTGAACAAATTTCGTAGGAAAGGAGTTATTACATTTTCACAACATTTTAACATTTCAATGACCACGTCATCAACACCAGGGGATTTGCCATTCTTTAAACGATTTATAGCCTTGTGGATTTCTGAGTCGGTAATCGGCGACTCCAAAATACACTGGTCAATGTCATCAAGTATAAAATCTTCATCACATTGACATTCGTCTCAGCATGTAATACATCTGTACACTGAAAAACGTTTGTGAAATGATCAAACCAGCACTCTTTACTTATGTTATTCTTTGTTTCCCTACGACCTGATATACTCCGTAACTCTTTCCAAAATGTGGTTGAATCAGATAGAGATAGCTTTAGTTTTGTTCGTGTCATAAATTGATAGTTTGATTTTGCTGTTCTGCAAACATGTTTATACTTGTTTCTCATTTTACAAAAGATAAACTTATTTTCGTTAGATTTCTTCTCTTTGAATTTCCTCATGTATCGCCTCGCTTCCCGTTTTGCTCGTCTGCATTCACTATTATAAAACCCCGTATTTCGGGGTGAACTTTTAACACAAGGTACCTTCATACAGTCAGCGGCACAAAGAACAACATTAACAAATTTTTCGAGGGCAAAATTGAAATCAAAAGTTAAAAGATCGATGAGCTCGTTGAAGGATGGACATAGATTTGTTATACTTCCTATAAACACATCACGCTTACGAGGGTTCCATTTATATTTGTGTGTTTTGGTGGAAAGATAATCATCACTTGTAGATACTTTAGGGAGAAATATGTCCAAATGTAGACATACAGGCATATGTTTTGACTCAACTCTTGTATCCACAAACATGGATTGACAACAATTGTGAACATTAACTGAACCTATAAAATAATCGATTACGCTACATCCTTGATCTGCTATGTAAGTGAAACTACCCTCTTTGTCTCCAGTTGTCCTGCCGTTGAAGATATATAAATCATGAGTGAAACAAAGTTCCAGTAGCTTACGACCAAAAGCGTTTACAAAACTATCACATGACTGTCTCTTTTCTACTGGAACGGGTGGTTCATCGGGGAATGCTGCATTGTTGAGGCCACGTTGAGTTAGTGTCTCTGGTGGGTTGTTTCCCCTGCCTACACGGGCATTCAGGTCCCCACAGATGATGACCTCACAGTCTAAGTCACTATGCTCAATCAACCACTGGTCAACCAATTCAATGGCGGTTGCCTTTTCAGCTGCAACGTAGAATGTTGAGCCGATGGGTGGAACATACATTCCAAATAATAACAGGTTTTTGCAAAGAGTTGAGAAATTATCAAATTTAATGCATACGACATTGTGTATATCTAATTTAATCTGTTGGCAGTGCAGGTCTATACGGGTCTTAACCAACAACGTTACACCGCCTGACAGTCTACCAGCCTTAGCTAGCCTATGAGCTTTTGCAATATATGTGTCATAAGCTGACAGCTGAGGTATGGATAATGCATAGTCAATAAATGTTTCAACTAGACATATAATTTCGAAGCCTTTTATGTAATCTAAAAAGTCTAGATCGTCTATTTTGGAAAGAAAACCTTCAATATTCCATGTAACTATTTTGAGGTTTGATATGGAAATGGAATGTTCTGCACCTGATAATTCAGAAGTGATTGTAGGGGCCGGGCCGTATCCCTAGCTACTGTCCGCGGTAGCACTGTGCTCGGAATTGCTGTTGGGGGCGGAGTAGTCAGCTCTTGGAGGTTGGGCATTCCGGGAAACAGGAGCAGTAGTGGTTTGTTTAGCATGTACATATCTCCGTGTCGATTCGTGTCTGGATGTGTTGTCATGGGTACCAGGTTTTGTGACCAGTCTACCATTTTTGTAGTACGCATCTAGGCCTTTGTCCCTCAGATCAGCTAGAGTCTGTCTCTGGTGCTTGGTTAGGTCGTTAGCAACGCCTATAGCAACACTCCTCAAGGTATGTCTGTGCTTCAGTACTATAATCTTCTCCTCCGTCAGAATAAACTTAGCAATGAGAGGGCGGGGTTTATTGGGTTGCGGCTGTTTGACCCCTATCCGATGCGCCCGTATAATATCGGTGCGTTGCCAGTCCTTTGTCTTGAGCATAATAATAACTTTATCCTTGCACATTTCGAAGGTCTCATCAGCTTCTTCAGGCACGCCATAAAATACTACATTATCCCGACGACTGAAGGCCTCTAACCTGTCGATATCAGAGTCTTGACTAGATACCTTGTCTTCAAGTTGTTCAACTTTCTGATAGAGTGCATCTATATCACAGTAGATAGTCTCCTGTTCAAGTCCAATCCTTTCTACCTCTGAGCGCACTTCTGAAAGTGAGTTCTCAAGTGATGAACACTTGCTGCTAAGGTCGGTTAGTTGTGATTTAATAACACTCATCTCGGTAAACAGAGACTGTCGGAAATCCCGTAGTTCTGCGAGGATATCTGATTTGATCTCAGTCTTTACATTGTTCAAATCTTCCATAGTAACAGGCCCTGGGTTGGTCTCAACATCACCAGAGAGTAGTTTACGGAGTCTCGTTACATATCCTGCGATGCGGAGACCGTCACAGTTGAGTAATGAAGTCGCAAAACATGGCCGACATGCATGACTTGTCACAGGGATAAACACAGTGACGTCACATACACTTTCGTGATCATGTGTTAAATAACGATGAAGATCCTCAACGGCGTTAGAGAGAACTTGTTTGTTAGCTAGCAGAATTGCCGACAGCATGAGGTGGAGTGTAAGCAAGACCATGCAGACTGATACACGCAGCGGTGTATCAGAGCACGACGTGTGAGGTGTGTACTCAGCGTCCATTGCGATATGTCTCACCTGTCGGGTCCCTGGAGGGTGGGTAAACTGCCCGATCCTGGCGCTGTAAGTCGCAAGATCGATCATCTTCTCTTCTCCAATCTTTCTAGGTTTACCATTGTAAAGGAATTAAAACAAATTAAATATTGATGGAATACAGCGGTTCGATTGAGCTGAGGTTAGCTTGTGCTATGTCACATGACTTTCATTGACTCGGAAAAAGCGTCAGGCTATTTGTTTCGAAGCAGAAGGGATGTATTCTCCCTCCCAGTAATCTATGTGCACCCTGTCTTGTTCGTGGCGGGGTATAAAGGATTTATTTTCCTCCAAGGTGGGATACAAATTATTTTATCAAGATCACGTGAACCAATCAGATGTCATCATTCTGACATGGATGTATGATAAGACCAATGGATATGATAGTTATTTTTATATAACAAAAAGGGGAGGTCGAGTAGCCTAGTGGTTAAAGCGTTCGCTCGTCACGCCGAAGACCCGGATTCGATTCCCGACATGGGTACAATGTGTGAAGCCCATTTCTGGTGTCCCCTGCCGTGATATTGCTGGAATATTTCTTAAAGCGGCGTAAAACCTTACTCACTCACAAAATAATTATATTGCCAGAAATGAACATTGTACAATGCCGAAACACTGAATTGTTTAACCTATAATTGTTCATATCATTATTTCAAAATAACTACAGACATCAAATCAGATGTTTCAATCAGAAATGATTATTATGATCTGAAACCTCTCAACTGACCAATCAGAATCGAGTTCTTTCGAACTTCATGGTAAAACAAAGTCTTTTTCCAAAAGGCGGTCAAGTAGCCTAGTGGTTAAAGCGTTCGCTCGTCACGCCGAAGACCCGGATTCGATTCCCGACATGGGTACAATGTGTGAAGCCCATTTCGGGTGTCCTCCGCCGTGTTATTGCTGGAATATTGCTAAAAGCGGCGTAAAACCTCCCTCCCTCCCTCACTCACTCACTCACTCACTCACTCACTCTTTTTCCAAAAGTGTAACTATTTCAATTTTTAATCTCTCCGTAGGGTTTAAGTGGACCATGCGGAAATCACTCCTGCAGTAACGAACAGATGTGTATTGTACCGAGGAGCGGTGATACAGAGTGCAGTGAGTAGTTTCACTTTTAACACACACGAGCAGTGGACGTTATTATTTTATGTGTTGTTTGTTTCTGGGGTCAAACCAGTTTTAGGTTCCATTAAGGCTTTAAGAATGTCAAAGGGTTGCATCTTCCTGTTTTCAGACACTGGTCAAAGGTACCGGATTTCATTTTGCAGAGTTGCGTCCCTTACCATAAATAGGATCCGCTTGGTCTAATTGTGCTTGTTCCGTCAGCAGTTGACTTCACTGCATCTGTGTTTCTGTCCTCCCACATGAAGTTGTCCCCAGGGCGGCGTTTTACTTAACGTACTTACTTTGTTCGTAATATGTAATGATGAACAGAGGTAAGTCATTGTGCTATTATTTGGTTTGGTTGGTTGGTTGGTTTGTTGTTTAACGCCGCACTCAGCAATATTCCAGCTTTATGACGGCGGTCTGTAAATAATCGAGTCTGGACCAGACAATCCAGTGATTGATATCATGAGCATCGATCCACGCAATTGGGATCGATGACATGCATCAACCAAGTCAGCGAGCCTGACCACCCGATCCCGTTAGTCGCCTTTTACTGCTATTATTTGGGAATATAGGTCTCCAGCAACCTTATTTCTTTCTAATTTTTGGTATCTACCGACTACGCTACTAATTTCAGCGAAATATTTACAATTTCAGCAATATACAAAATCACATTTCATATGACCTTCTGTTTGTTTGTTTGCTTGTTGAATAACGCCGAATTCAGCATTATTCCAGCAATATGAAGGCAAATATCGAGTCTGGCTCAGACAACCCAGTGATTGACGTCATGAGCATAGATCTTTCACACACACACACACACACACACACACACACACACACACACACACACACACACACACACACACCTAAAATAATAAACCAACTTTTTTATGGACCTTTTGGAGGTTCGAACTGGATATGTTCAACATGTATAATATTTAAAATCGTGGTCGTCAAAGTTCATATACGATATTATATAATGCCTACGTACAACGTGTCAATGCATGATTATCTCGTGCTTCTTATGACGATATGTTTCGGTGTTTAAGAACATGGAAATGTCCTTAACACTGTCCACGAGTGACGTCAATGGGTACGTTTCTTGGCAATACCGTTCCAAGCAGGCACAACTATGTTGAATGAATGTTGAATGAATGTTGAATCAATGTCGTGCTTCAAGTTTGAAATGACATGACTTTTGGTTGGATTAAAAATAATGTTGATTGTTCGACGCTGAATGAACAATATTCAAGTTTGTTTGGCTATTGAGTGATGCTTGTTTGTTTATTGTTTAACGCCGCACTCAGCAATATTCCAGCTATATGACGGCGGTCTGTAAATAATCGAGTCTGGACCAGACAATCCAGTGATTGGCATCATGAGCATCGATCCACGCAATTGGGATCGATGACATGCATCAACCAAGTCAGCGAGCCAGACCACCCGATCCCGTTAGTCGCCTTTTACGACAAGCATAGTCGCCTTTTATGGCAAGCATGGGTTGCTGAAGACCTATTCTACCCTGGATCTTCATGGGTCGGCTATTGATTGATTATTGGTTCATTGATAAATGCAGATCTGTAGTTCTAAGTAGTCAGGTGGAATGGACTCCCAAACTTTTCTCCTCGTCCACGTTGCACCTTCTCGGATACTATTTGGCGCTGACTGAGGTCCATGTTTCGTGTCGGGGACATGCGAGTTTCTCCATATTTGAGACACGTTCCATACGTGGCTTACCCTTTTTGCGAACACATGGTGTCATCACTGATTTCTATTGGCCCATTCATCTAATTTTCAAAGCTATTTGCCCTTTACACCAAGTGGAATCTGTCTCGGCAGAAAATCTAGACTAAAGTACTCACGGAAATGAAAAAAACCCTGTTTGTTCGACCTCAGATCTTAAATAAATGCAGTTAATATACAAAATATGTAAATATTCATACAACTAAATTAGTACTAATTGGGCCGTGGCACAAATACAGCGTATCAAATGTTTTTATGCCTTTTTACACGTAAAAGTGTGTAAAAATGTGAATAAAACAGACTATTGTGAAACAGGGCATAACAAGGTGTAAGTAGATCAAGGTGACCTATGACACCTTGACGACAGGTGAGAACAGGTGCCTAATGCCTATAGTCTGTTTCTGCTATGTCAGTTTGGACTTTTATTTTTGAATGTTGAAAGTGCCGACAAATTACCTCCTGTAAAGTACATTTTGTATTGTTTACTGAGATCAAACTAGCAAATCCAGACTAGTACTTTTCGAGTTGTTTTGTTATTTCGTATTTACAGCTACGTAACACTTTGTGTCGATTTTTAAATTAAAAAAACCCAGTTTTTTTCATTTCCGTGAGTACTTTAGTTATTCTTTTGCATTGACAATGTATATTCAATGGGATGAGTGAGCGAGTGAGCTGGGTTTAACGCCGCTTTAAACAGTATTCCAGTTATATCGCGGCTTGTCAGCTTAATGTGGGAGGAAAGCCCGAAGTGATGCAGGTCTAAGACGTTTACCACTACGGTGAAACATACGACACGGGTATGGTGCTGATAAACCTAGAATCAAAGTTGGGGCGAACCGGGATTCGAACCCACAATCATAGATTTCTGGCGTGCCCAAGGGAGGCAACTCTGCACAGCGGATAGCAGCGCCTTATTGGGAGTAAATGACAAAGATAAAAATAGATATTTCATAAAAAGTCAGTGAATTTATGTTTTCATGAAATGTTGAATTTTATGTTGAAACAATGTCAGATTTCAACATATTTTCAAATATCGAAAGCCAATGTTGGAACCATGCGATAAAATGTTTTTTAGCGTAGCAACCCCAGGTGAACCCTATTTAAACATTGAAACAAGGTAATATGCCTGCTGGCGTGCCACTTTATCTTTTGAAAATAGGACATTTTGTATCAGATAAATAAAACAACAAAACCCTTCCAATGATAACAGGAAACATCTTCCAAAAGCAGAGTCCATCACATTTCAGACAATAACATATCAAACATGAATCACTATCAAATGGTGTTGATAACACCTTTTCGCCGGTGGCACCCGTCACAAACACATGCAAGGGCAAATCCATTTTATTCATATGAACAAAACCGGGAACGATTGATAAATCCATCCAATCTGTCGAGGTTATATCAATTATTTAAAACGAAACTGTACATTCAGTTGATTCACACCATCGAGGATTTTAACTGTTAAAAGATGCACGTTAATATATAAATACACCTTCTTAAGTTCCCTTTTTTCTGATATAATGGCACCAGATACGGGTCACACAGGTGCCATTGTATTGTATAAGAATAAAAAGATATAGCTACGTGATAAATCGCAAAGACAAAAAAAAGATGAGGCGTGGTTTATTTCAAGATAAACCATTTTGCTATGATGACGTCATTTTGGAGATTCGACAATACGCTTGCAACTTGATGACGTCGTAAATTGGACGATGTTGTGTTGGAGAATGAAGTGAGTTGTTCCCCCTAGATGCAGCTGAGCAAAGCAGATAAATGCAATGGCCGAACGATCGCATCCCAAAGTTGGCGAAATAAGACAATCCGTAAAGAGAGAAAAGGTGAAAATAATGGCCCTCATTGTATTGAGGTTTGTGAATATGTTCATGAAATACCAACTTTAACTCCCCTGTTCATTAAATGGACTCGTCCAAAATCACCGGATCGGATTACATTCAGGGAGTCGCCATTTTAAAAAAAAACCCCGAGTAGTTTGTTATAAAACTATCAACAATAAGGTCGTTGTTTAACGTGCAATAAAACACTGCAGGGAGAATAAAACGCAGCTGCGCCCCTTCCTCTGCCTGCATTGTTTTATTGTACAATAGGCAACTCCCTCGTCGTTTATATATATAATATCATATATTTAATACAATACCAATGAACGTCATATTTCATCAGGTATAATTATAAGTATGTACAAAACAACACAACAGAGACCAAATATTCGTGCTTGTCAAAACTCCTTTATCCACACAAGATCCTTTGCCGTTCAACGGCTCTTCGTGTATAATGAAAACTTTAACTTACATTGTAGTCCTAGGCGACGCACAACATTAGTATTTGTGACGTCATAATGCCTATGATGTAACAGTGACAATAGAGGGAGAAGTAAAACATACTCCTAGGCGACATACAATGTTATGCATGCAACAGGCTAAGCGACGTAAAAACAAACACATTCATTTAAGCATTTTTTTGGACAGTTATGTTTTTAGATAAAAATCACAGCCACTTTAACACCTGCTTCTATTTCCCCCAGAACCTGTGCGATTTATGGACATTAAACTCAACACCAGAACAAGTTACAGCTTCATCCACAAGTTCCGGATGTGGCCCTGGGCTCAGGAGTACTGTCAAAAAGAAGGTGGCCAGTTAGCTAGGATCAAAACTGCTGAAGAGAACACATTTATTGGAAATATGACAGAAATATTTGGTAAGTTAATGACATTTGGACATCCTGTGATCATTTGCACTTTACAAGGTTTGTTTTACATAGATGTGTTGGATAAGACTCTACAAAGAGTTTTGTCTTGTTCAGACACCCATCGATAGTTGGAATGAGCACCGACAGGGGTGCTTTTTCGTGCGCCAAATTGTTGGCGCATACCTCAATTGGCTTTTCGAACTCCGGCGGACGGAAACCACCTCTTTGGTGCTGTGAGACAAATTAATCTGAGTTTAAAATATAAAGCAAGATTGAGGCCTTGACTTAATGAACCAGTGAACATTCAAATACGTGGTAAAAATATGGCGGCATAAGTTGATTAGGGAACATTACTCTTTTGTTAAATTCCGCAAAACCTGTCATTCATTGATATTAATAAAACCGTATATCTATCCGGCTCGATCCATGCATTATTGGATCTGTGAAGATCCGGGTCAGAACAGGTCTTCAGCAATCCATGCTTGTCGTAAAAGACGACAAACGGGATCGGGTGGTCATGCTCGCTGAACTGGTTGATGCATGTCATCGTATCCCAATTCCGTGCATCGATGTTCATGATATCAATCACTGGATTTTCTGGTCCAGACTCGATTATTTACAGACCGCCGACACATATTGCTGAGTGCGGCGTTAAACAACACACAAACAAACATGTATTATTGATCGCATCGAAAAATGTCATTCGCTCTTTCTTTGAAACTGCACATGATCCTATTCCTGATAATTTTGTATGAAACTGTCCACCTCTGTTGATAGAGCGTGCGGTGGGTCGATAGTTCGATCCCCGGCATCGTCATACCAATATGCGTTGAAAGATGGTACTTATTGTTACCTTGCCAGCGCTCGGCAAAAGTGGGATAAAACAAAGACCGGTCGGTTCGTAGTCATGTTAAACTGCGGCATGGTACGGAATAAGTCCGGACTCAGTATAAGCAGCCAAACACGTGCATGCACTTCGCTATACAATACAATGTAAAACAATGAAGATACACTCTTCAAAAAAAGAAACGCATAGTTAAAAAATAAGGATATTTGTTAAGCGGATGTAAAAGTATCTACACAGAATATGCGTGAACACAGTAAAATGAAATTAGACACAGTGATCGACAAAAGCATTGTCGTCATTGTCAGCATTAATTCAGTTCAGTCATTGCACATGTGTAGCCACAAGAGGGCGTCATGGTCAGTACCTGGTCACATCACCTCTTGCAGCCGTCACTGCTCGACACCTCCTTGGCACAGATTGCACAAGTCCTCGGATTTTTTCGTGGGGAATTCTTCGCCATTCCTCCTGTAAGGCGTTGGCGAGTTGTGCCAGTGTGTGGGGACGCTGGTAACATTACATCAAGTTCGTCCCGCAAATGTTCATTCGGGTTGAGATCAGGCGATTCGGACGGCCATGGAAGGACATTGATGTTCTCATTAACAAGGAAATTAACTGTTGCACGTGCTGTGTGGGGCCGAGCGTTGTCATGTTGGAACAGCTCCCTCTGGCGGTCCAAAGTTGGGAGGAGGTGAGGACGCAGAATTTGGTCTATGAATCAGTTTGATGTAAGATTGCCCTGGCTGGACAACCACTTACTGTGATCTACCCGTGTAGGATATGGCTCCCCACATTATGACACTCCCTCCACCAAATCGGTCCACCTGTCGAGCGCAGTTCGGCGCAAAACGTTCATGTCGACGTCGGTATACACGTTGTCTTCCATCCCGTCGTTGAAGGAGAAAACGTGACTCATCGCTGAACCAAACGCGTCGCCAGTTCCTGAGATCCCATGCCTGTACTCTGTTGTACCACCGGACACGTCGTTGACGGTGTAGACGTCGCAAGACAGGTCCAACATTTGGTCGTCTCGCTCGAATTCCCTCTTCCCTCAGACGATTTCTGATGGTTTGGTCGGAAATTCTTCGCATACCAGGCACTTGTCCTGCAGTGTCCGTTGCTGTAGCAAATCGATTCCGAAGGCGATGAAACCGGATGTACCGATCCTCTGCAGGGGTGGTCACTTTTGGTCTTCCACTTCTGGGATGATCTTGAGTCGAATTAGTGCGGGTATATCGATCCCATAGTCGATATATGGTGCTTTGTTGAACTTTGAAGTGTCTAGCACCGGCAGATTGGGACTCCCCTGCTTCCAAACGTCCAATGGCGATATTTCGGTCAGCTGCAGTTAATCTTGGCATTTTTCGATCTCCGTTCACGTCAGAAAAATCGTAATGAACAGATGAATTTTGTACGGTCTTTTATTGTCAGTGTCTCTACTCTTGTTTCCAACATGTACATTTTGCACGTGCATTGTGCCGAAAACTTTTTCCGAAAACAATTTCCGTGCATCCTTTGCATTTTTGCTGATAAACGTTTACAAAAAAAACATTTTGAGATGTGTTTGCGCGCAATGCACAAAAAAACATGACATGATTAACGGGAAACAAACATGAGAATTGTCTTTATTACGATTGCTGGGGAAAACATCTAATTGGAATTCTCAAAACACCTATGCGTTTCTTTTTTTGAAGAGTGTATAATACCCTGGATGATCGAGGATGATCTAATTCGTTGAAATGTTGCTTATTGACAGGCTCCGACTTCAGGCACCATTGGGTGGGAGGTGTCTATCATGCGGATGACGACACGTGGCGGTGGCCAGATGGAACTCTGATTTTGTACTATGCCTGGGGCGAAACTCATCCGCGTCGTGTCAATGGATCCACCATGACTGTGCAGCCCAACTTTGGATGGACAGACGAGCCAAGTCATTACAAATTCTATTTCATTTGTGAATTCGAGGAATAGTCTTCTAAAGAACGTGACCAGAGTGTCAATTTTGCACATGCGAGGGACATCTGATTTAGCTTAAATATATTTTATTTTCATAAAAAGGATTGGGCACAAGTAATCACAACTTAGAACGCCCTCTCTCATAGACTTACATGTATGCTTATTTTCAGTTGATAAATCAAATGACGGAAAGGAAAGAAAAGATATATATTCACATTGCTCACTCAAACCTTTTTGTTTTCTTTATATATGTATGTACATTCTTAAAAATGCTTTCGTTCACATAATTAGGTAAAATTGCATTTCCAACTGGCATCAGGTCAATATTTACATCACAAGTATCTTTCACCATTAACAATAGTGAGTGCATCAATTCGTTTCTAGCTGATTTAATAAAGGACATTCAATGAAAAAATGATATGAATTTTCACATGGGCTGCCACATCGGAAAATTGGATCCTCGTTTAAACCTTTTCTAAAAAAGTCATTTTTTTTATTCACTGTCATCATATCTTAATTTTGTATGTATTATGTTAATTTTCCTTAAACCCCCATGAGAAATATGATGGAGCTGTAGGTTTATCTGCTCTTAAACTAATAAATTTCAATATTCCCTTGCTGAATAGGTAATGTATTCCACAATTTGATAGCGGATGGTATAAACGAGGATTCAGATAACTTAGTACGTAATAGAGGCATAGTTATATTGTGAGCGGTTCTAAGGTTGTATGTTACGCTTGTCCCGACAGAGTGAGGTACAAGATCTTTAAGGTATGAAGGTGTCATATTGTTATACATTTGATAGAATAAACACAATTTACGTTTTCTCCTGCGCTCTGATAAGGCTCCCAGGAAGTTTCGAAATATAAATTTTTGACGGAAGTATAGGTTGGTAAACCAGTTACAATTCTTGCTGCTTCCAGTTGGAGTTTTTCTAATCTGTCACTCTGCTCCTTGGTACAACCGTCCCAAACTTCACATGCATATTCAAAATGTGGTTTAATAAACATTGCATAAATCTTATTCAACACACTACGACAGAGCATATACTTAAGCTTTCTCAATGAATGAATCATCTTTGATGTTGTTTTAATAATCGAATCAATATTACATGACCACTTGCCCGATGACGACAATATAACACCCAGGTGTTTGTGTGTTTTAACATTTTCAATGATTTGATTATCCAAAAATAATTTCAAAGTTCTCTGCGGCTCTCTTGTGGAAACGAGAATTGATTTTGTTTTGCTCGGATTATATAGAGTTAGCCAGTCTTGATCCTGTTTATTAATTTTGTTTAAATTGCTATTCATAGTAGTTTCTATATGTTCAATGTTATTAGATGATATCCCTAGGGATGTGTCATCGGCAAATAATCTTGTTGCACAGTTCAATCTGTCAGTAATATCATTGATGTACACAAGGAACAAGAAAGGGCCCAGTACCGATCCCTGTGGCACACCAGCTTTTAACTCTTCAGTGTCAGACTATGTTCCAACGAATTCTTATGAAAATAATTTTGCAAGTGCTTGAACACAACTCGTTCGAATACTTTCCCGATACAGCTTATTAAAGATATTGGTCTATAACTTGAGGATAGTGTTGAGTCACGTTTTTTCAATGGTGGCATAACGAGCTTATTTCCATTGACTTGGATATGTACGCGTTCTCAATGAAATATTAAATAATAGACATGAATTAAATATGCTACAGTATGTTTCAGAATTTTATGACTTATGCGATCTGGGCCCGAAGCTTTTTTAAAAGGGAGAGACTTTATTATATCACTTATTTCATAGACGTTTATTCGCAATGTGCTAAATGTTTTATCTGTACGTTTTTCCTCATTTGACAATCTTACTTCCATCAACATCTGCTATGAATGTTAAATACTTGTTTAACTGATTAGCTTTATCTAAATCTGAGAATATATTTGGGCTTTCTGACATTCTGTGCTGAGTGATAGAGATTTTGTACGCCGAAAACAGCTTTGGTGGTGTTCAGCGAAACTTAATGCACTTGACATGGAGGATGGAAGGAGACCATTGGAAGATATTGTAGACGGAAGTTAGTACGTGTTCCAAAAGGGCTGATGTATGTCAGCTTTTAGCAACAGAAGCCTTCAGCTCTTCCATTCTAGTAGTTACTCCTTTTATGTAAAAAAACTTGCAGTTGATCCAACCGAAAAGAGAAGATATCCGAGGATTAACAATAATAAACCACGTTAGGCCATACCTATAGAGCACGAATATGTTTAGTATCGTCAAAACTTGAAAGGTAACATGAAAAGTAATGCTGGTTAATGAGTGACTAGCTGTTTGTTATAATATTCTTTTCAGAGAAAATAATATGTCTTGAGCAACTGACCATAGAAATACCCTAATTCAAGCAAAAATCGCATTAATAATTAAAAAATCTTCTCGTGAAAATCATGTATTTCCTTTCAAACTGTTAAAATAACTGAATTGTTTGATAATCATTACTTAGAAATTGACGGATCACAAAGTAGACACAATTAATGAATAACAACTTCTTTATTTACCGTAAAGGCGACGTTTTGGTACAGATCCCTATACCGTTGCCGGGCAGACGGTGTGTATTGAAATGGATAATGACTCCTTTAATTACTAATAAGGCGACGATTCAGTATAGATCCATATATCGTTGTTAAGCACGACATCAACAGTCAACAGTTTACAATTCAATACTAATTACTGCACAGCAATTATACAATGGTCGTATGCAATGGAGTGGTAGTACAATCGTCAATGGCAGTATCAAATATAAAACGATGAAGGCATCAGTGATCTAAAAAATGTTAGTGATAATATTATTCACCTGTCTGTAACATTGGTCAAGCTTCCGAGATAGGTCTAGGCTGGTACTCCAGGGTGATTCACACGAAAGTTGGTCCTGATTTAATGACAGATGAAATGTGCGATGAACCAGGCCCGCTCCACTTATATAATCTCGCTTCCAACACAGTGCTAGACAAGTCCAGTGTCACAAAAACATCACAGAATACTACACGTTTCAAGATACTTCCTCACCACTGCTTACATTAAATAGTTATACATTCCTGGTAACTAATCATTGTCCAAATACAAAGCAATGAAACAATGTAACTCAGTTGGAATTACTGTTAAAAAATAACCTACACTGCCAAATGACAACCCCCCTTACAGAGAAAGACAATTTAAACACAGTAGGAATTTTCTTTGCTGATAAAACTACAGAAACTGCTTAGTACAGTAAAATGTAGCACATATTGTACATTATAATCTTAAGAAATTATTATTATTATTATTATTATTATTATTATGTACAGATTGAAATAAAACTGCTGCAAAAAGGGTTTGGGTGATCCTGGCACAGTCAGACTGGTTAGTCTCATTATTAGCTAAGGGCCCTTGTCCCCTCTACACGCAGCCCAGACAGCAAATGGGACTTCTCCCAGGAAGCGCTGCCTAGTCAAACCCACCCAGAACTTTTCGGAGAATGTGAGACCCGTGAAGATCCGGGGTAGAATAGGTTTTCCTCATAATGACAACTGTGTTTTCTCTGTCGTATGTGTATCACTAAATGCCATTCAAAGATTGGTACATATTGAAGGCTGATCCATAATATTGTTGTGGGTATTTGACACACCAAGTGATTTCTGCACTCAAAAGCATCACCACCCAAAACGGAATAAAGGAATATTTATGTTTTATGTATTCTTTTGTTAAAATCGATATTTCCGAATTGAAGTGTAACGAAACGAAGCCAAATACAGAGCTTACATATAACTGTCTCAGGTTCCCAAGCATCGAGGTCGATCCGTGAAGACCCGGGGATGAATAGGTCTTCAGCAACCCATGCTTGCCGTAAAAGGCGACTATGCTTGTCGTAAAAGGCGATGAACGGTGGTCAGGCTCCCTGACTTGGGTGATGCAAGTCATCGATCCCAATTGCGTGGATCAATGCTCATGATATTAATCACTGGATTGTCTGGTCCAGACTCGATTATTTACAGGTCGCCGTGATATAGGTGGAATATTGCTGAGTGCGGCGTTAAACAACAAATCAACCAACCAATCGGAGAATGTGAACACTGCAGCCTTCTGCATTACCCAGATTGTCAGAAGGGCTGTATTCCTCGTTGCAAACCCGGGGACTTTCCCAACGGGTTATTATTCACTAGACCCCACCTTCATAACTGTATACCGCTACATTATCGAGCAAGAATATGTAGGTAGTTATCATGAACAATAGAGCCACCTTGAGTTGGAGGCATAACGCAGATCAGTGTTGTCTTGTGAGGGATGACATTGGTCAATCTCTGATCCGGCGATTCAGAAAGCATTACATATACGCTGAAGGGAACATGCAGGGATGTCTTGGTAACAGACGTTGTTGGCGTGCAGAAGGCTGATGGTAATCTTGTTGGAACAGGATGTTTGGTTTATGTTGCAGGAAAAACAACACAAGGGGATGAAGATTGTTTGAACAGTACAGATGCTGACGTACCAGTAGGTCAAGTTATTCATGAGCATGACCCCAACTACCGGAAGTGTTTCCTTGGACATACGTCTTTCTGTACGATTTGTTGAGTCAAACATCGTTACCGTTGTCTCGAAGTAAAAGCTTTGCCACCGCGTATTCCTTCTTAATTCATCATTATATAACCTCTGATGTGTTGAATCGGATGTATCAAATGTACGTCTTTTTAGAAGTTATTTTCGCTAACTGTCTATGTGTCATGTTCGATGGTGCCTTTCACCATCCATCTATTTCATAATGTGAGATGTCAACTGACTATAAGAAATGGAATATGCTTGTAAGAACACACCCTATGTTAAATCTATGTAAACATGTAAACATCTATGTAAAATATTGGGGTATGACATTGCGACAAGACGTAGGCATCCCCATGGACACCAATTGTGAGGGTCGTGATGGGTTTTAATGCTTAACGTATAAAACACCCTTCAAACACTATCGTAAACGTAAAATTCACCTTTTTTTTATCGTAAATGCTTATCGTAAAATACCAAAAAATAACTGCTTAACGTAAATAAATAATTTACTGCTTATCGTAAAATGATTAAAATGGTCAAAAACAGTCAGTCTTCAAGATCCAAATGCTTCGCCACAGAAAGCAGGCTGTGCAACCGATGCAGGGGACCAGTCTAGAATGTGAGATTTGAGATTTTACCCGGTATTAAAAATATGAATTGTCAGGATGAAACGAAAGCAGAATTAAAAGTCCCATGTCCCTCCATGGCCGATTAAGGAATTTTTCGCGACGATTTTATTGAAAAAGAAGAAAAATTACTGCTTAATGAAAAAGTACCTTAAATTTTACTGCTTACTGCTTATGGGACCCACCCATCAGGACCCTCAACTGTGGTCCCCTTCTTGAACTGTTTCTTTGTGCGTATGAAGCGACATTTCTGCTCGGATTGGCAAAGTAAAAACAAGGTTATTCGGCCGAGAGGTTTAACAGGTTCATGTTAATTGATGATCTGATATCGTTCAACAACCAGCAATACACACATTGACTAATTTGCTCAGATACACAAGGGAATCATGTACATTTTGTATTGAATGTCAATACTCCATTGTAGTGAAGTGTAGGTTTCCTGCCACAATTCTAAGGAAACGTGCGTCATTAATATACAGTTGTACCCGTAAATAAAAGCAAAACAGTCCTTCCAATATAAGAGTAAATTGAGTAGAGTAAATTGTACGATGCCGACTATAGCATTTGCACGTGTTGCTGAATCTATATCAAAGAAGCACCACAGAAGATGTTTCCTTAAAAAGGATCAATATTCGACGCAGTAAAATATTCACAAGGTCGTATACCCTAAGGATATATCCACGTTGCCTTTAAGACTTATATGCTACACTTAACTTTATAATACTTTCAATATGCAGTAGGTGTTGTTTCAGTGTAAAGACACAAATCAATGTGAATCAATAGTCTTGTGGTCAAACAAGTTCTATCGTCTTGTGGAACTTTTATAACTACTTAGAAAGTCCCATGAGTAAGTCCAGAATCCATGTCTCTTCACAAGGGTTATCTTGTCGTACAATGCATAGTACAATAGAGTGGTAATGCCTGTTAGAGCTGTACTCTGTTAACTATTGATATTGTAACTCGTCAAAAATGTAAGGTTATCGGCTTTTGGATAATTGCAATGCAATTGTGTTCGCGCGTATGACCTTTCGGGAGATTTCCGAAACATTAAAGTGTATGGTATGTTTCAACCAACACTCCGAATACTGAAATACGACAATGTGATACTGAGCACTCTTTTCGATTCTAATTCTGGACAAACTTTGGAAATGGTATTGTTTGGTGAGTTCAATCACATATAAATCAACACAGTGAATGAGTAACTGACTCACACTAGTAAGTCACAAGGATACAGAAACATATCACCATGAACCACTCTTCTCATTCTGTCTTCCTGAAACCACACTTCTTACAAACTCTCATTTTATCGTTTGTTGATTATTTTACGCCGGCGGGCTGTTTGACAAACTCTTAGTAATACATGTATTATGTGCTAATGACAATGTGTCGTCACGGCAAACAATGTAATGATAAACACTATTTATGTGGAGGTTGTGAAAGTTTATCCTGGTATCTTGGTGTCATGTTACGAACACTGGAAGGTTTTGCGAAGCCCAGTCAAGACTGACAGATCAGACAACGGTAGCTATGTATACAGACTGTTAGAAAAACTTATCGAGTTTCAGCTTAACATTTATGATCAATTTGTTCAGCCCATACTGTTATATGGTTATAAAATGTGGGACTTTGAGAAACCTATACTTTTGCCACGTGTGCATGTATGGTTTTGTAAATATATACATAAGTTAAAACTAGACACATTTTTGGGTTGAGTCCCGTCCGGAATTCGAACCACACTGCCAGAGTGAGGGTACACAAAGTACGAGATCTAGACTTCCAGTTGTCGGGCTTTCATTTTTGTGGAAGCCTCGGTGGCTGAGTGAGTTAGATCGCTGACTTTGTGTTCTGGCGATTAGGTGCCTCACACTGGCAGTGTTGGTTAGATCGCTGACTTTGTGTGCTGGCGATTAGATGCCTCACACTGGCAGTGTTGGTTAGATCGCTGACTTTGTGTGCTGGCGATTAGATGCCTCACACTGGCAGTGTTGGTTCGAATCCCAGACGGGACTCAAACCAAATAAGTACGAGAATCTGTACTTTACTCAGAAAGTGTTATCCCAAATATAACATTTGTTACTGAAGTTAAAACATTCAACGCAATATCATTTGGTGTGTGGTGAAGTAGAAAGATTCTTAACTCACAGATGTCAATACAAATTCACCAAAAGACGAAAATCATATTTTGAATCGGATGTATCAAATGTACGTCTTTTTAGAAGTTATTTTCGCTAACTGTCTATGTGTCATGTTCGATGGTGCCTTTCACCATCCATCTATTTCATAATGTGAGATGTCAACTGACTATAAGAAATGGAATATGCTTGTAAGAACACACCCTATGTTAAATCTATGTAAACATGTAAACATCTATGTAAAATATTGGGGTATGACATTGCGACAAGACGTAGGCATCCCCATGGACACCAATTGTGAGGGTCGTGATGGGTTTTAATGCTTAACGTATAAAACACCCTTCAAACACTATCGTAAACGTAAAATTCACCTTTTTTTTATCGTAAATGCTTATCGTAAAATACCAAAAAATAACTGCTTAACGTAAATAAATAATTTACTGCTTATCGTAAAATGATTAAAATGGTCAAAAACAGTCAGTCTTCAAGATCCAAATGCTTCGCCACAGAAAGCAGGCTGTGCAACCGATGCAGGGGACCAGTCTAGAATGTGAGATTTGAGATTTTACCCGGTATTAAAAATATGAATTGTCAGGATGAAACGAAAGCAGAATTAAAAGTCCCATGTCCCTCCATGGCCGATTAAGGAATTTTTCGCGACGATTTTATTGAAAAAGAAGAAAAATTACTGCTTAATGAAAAAGTACCTTAAATTTTACTGCTTACTGCTTATGGGACCCACCCATCAGGACCCTCAACTGTGGTCCCCTTCTTGAACTGTTTCTTTGTGCGTATGAAGCGACATTTCTGCTCGGATTGGCAAAGTAAAAACAAGGTTATTCGGCCGAGAGGTTTAACAGGTTCATGTTAATTGATGATCTGATATCGTTCAACAACCAGCAATACACACATTGACTAATTTGCTCAGATACACAAGGGAATCATGTACATTTTGTATTGAATGTCAATACTCCATTGTAGTGAAGTGTAGGTTTCCTGCCACAATTCTAAGGAAACGTGCGTCATTAATATACAGTTGTACCCGTAAATAAAAGCAAAACAGTCCTTCCAATATAAGAGTAAATTGAGTAGAGTAAATTGTACGATGCCGACTATAGCATTTGCACGTGTTGCTGAATCTATATCAAAGAAGCACCACAGAAGATGTTTCCTTAAAAAGGATCAATATTCGACGCAGTAAAATATTCACAAGGTCGTATACCCTAAGGATATATCCACGTTGCCTTTAAGACTTATATGCTACACTTAACTTTATAATACTTTCAATATGCAGTAGGTGTTGTTTCAGTGTAAAGACACAAATCAATGTGAATCAATAGTCTTGTGGTCAAACAAGTTCTATCGTCTTGTGGAACTTTTATAACTACTTAGAAAGTCCCATGAGTAAGTCCAGAATCCATGTCTCTTCACAAGGGTTATCTTGTCGTACAATGCATAGTACAATAGAGTGGTAATGCCTGTTAGAGCTGTACTCTGTTAACTATTGATATTGTAACTCGTCAAAAATGTAAGGTTATCGGCTTTTGGATAATTGCAATGCAATTGTGTTCGCGCGTATGACCTTTCGGGAGATTTCCGAAACATTAAAGTGTATGGTATGTTTCAACCAACACTCCGAATACTGAAATACGACAATGTGATACTGAGCACTCTTTTCGATTCTAATTCTGGACAAACTTTGGAAATGGTATTGTTTGGTGAGTTCAATCACATATAAATCAACACAGTGAATGAGTAACTGACTCACACTAGTAAGTCACAAGGATACAGAAACATATCACCATGAACCACTCTTCTCATTCTGTCTTCCTGAAACCACACTTCTTACAAACTCTCATTTTATCGTTTGTTGATTATTTTACGCCGGCGGGCTGTTTGACAAACTCTTAGTAATACATGTATTATGTGCTAATGACAATGTGTCGTCACGGCAAACAATGTAATGATAAACACTATTTATGTGGAGGTTGTGAAAGTTTATCCTGGTATCTTGGTGTCATGTTACGAACACTGGAAGGTTTTGCGAAGCCCAGTCAAGACTGACAGATCAGACAACGGTAGCTATGTATACAGACTGTTAGAAAAACTTATCGAGTTTCAGCTTAACATTTATGATCAATTTGTTCAGCCCATACTGTTATATGGTTATAAAATGTGGGACTTTGAGAAACCTATACTTTTGCCACGTGTGCATGTATGGTTTTGTAAATATATACATAAGTTAAAACTAGACACATTTTTGGGTTGAGTCCCGTCCGGAATTCGAACCACACTGCCAGAGTGAGGGTACACAAAGTACGAGATCTAGACTTCCAGTTGTCGGGCTTTCATTTTTGTGGAAGCCTCGGTGGCTGAGTGAGTTAGATCGCTGACTTTGTGTTCTGGCGATTAGGTGCCTCACACTGGCAGTGTTGGTTAGATCGCTGACTTTGTGTGCTGGCGATTAGATGCCTCACACTGGCAGTGTTGGTTAGATCGCTGACTTTGTGTGCTGGCGATTAGATGCCTCACACTGGCAGTGTTGGTTCGAATCCCAGACGGGACTCAAACCAAATAAGTACGAGAATCTGTACTTTACTCAGAAAGTGTTATCCCAAATATAACATTTGTTACTGAAGTTAAAACATTCAACGCAATATCATTTGGTGTGTGGTGAAGTAGAAAGATTCTTAACTCACAGATGTCAATACAAATTCACCAAAAGACGAAAATCATATTTTGCAAAGAGATACCTTTCTTAAACCCATACCGACTACTATAACCATGTATTTGTCTTCCGCAGTTTTGAACTTAGAGATGTTTCAATGTTATCAGTTAATAGAGAAAATAACCATAAATAAAAATGCAGTCTGTGATGAAATACATTTTTGTTGGAATGTCTTAAACTTAATATCGTGCGATTTTTAACTAGTAAAGAGACCCATGAAGATCCGGGGTCGAATAGGTCTTCATCAACCCATGCTTCCCGTAAAAGACGACTATGCTTGTCGTAAGAGGCGACTAACGGGATCGGGTGGTCAGACTCGCTGACTTGGATGATGCATGTCATCGTATCCCAATTGCGTGGATCGATGCTCATGATATCAATCACTGGATTGTCTGGTCCAGACTCGATTATATACAGACCGCCGTCATATAGTTTGAATATTGCTGAGTGCGGCGTTAAACAACAAACCAACGAACCAACACGTAAAGATGCTAAATAGGATTGTGTATGGATTATACATCATGTTACTAATGTATACTGTTAGGACTAATGAGAATAAATCTTTCTTTTTTTTCTACTTCTTCGTATAATCATGTCATCGTACCTCGACGAAGACCAATGCTCATGATATCAATCACTGGACTACCAGGTTCAGACACGATTATTTAAAGGCCGCCATCATTAGCTCGAATACTGCGTGGTGCGGTGTTAAACAACAACAAAAACAAATCAGTCCCTGAAACACCACAGTGTTTTGTGAACCATTTAAGCGACTTACATGTAGAGACACGGAGGCGATCTTTCAGCTTCTCTGATGATATAAAATACAATATATAGTCCTATTCATAAAATGTGGAAACACGAGTCATGTCCTCAATAAGTTACATGAAGTCATCCTTTCATAGGCGAAGGCTGTAGGACACTTGAAAATATGTGACAGGGTCATAATGCGCTTCACCGCCCTACTCTTCCCAACATAACTGACTGTACACGTATGAAAATAAAGCCATAGAAGCTATTATGGTGACATGAAAGCACTGCCTGGCAAGGAAATCTTAAGTCAAACACATTGGCCTTTCAGCATACAATACAACTGACGGAAAGTGGATACACGACATGAATGAGGCCTACAGACTGATCACTGGTGGTAAAGTTCAGTGTACAAGCACACAAGATATTTACGAGGACAATATGTTCTAGAGTCGATGTGATCTGTTGTCAGGTACCGCGGAGTCAACAAAGACACAATCAAGACGAACTGTAAGGTTTTTTTCAAGAATATTGAACGATTTCGACATGATGGGTCGATACAGCTTCCATGAATAATGTAATTAATTAATAATAGCGTCAGGGAGCGGAATAAGAAACGTGAACGCTCGTTGATCGTTCTATGGTTTGAGAATGATTTTGTGTGGAGTCTTGGGATATATCAATGTTAATCATAAGTGTAATTATGGGGGCTGTTTTGGCAGTTGTATCATAATAATCAAAATACAAGACTGTAGAAAATGATGTCATCGATTCTGCAGCCAGGGTATAGCAACGACGTACAACCAAACAACCACAGATCCCTACTTTGAGTACCAAAGGGTGAGAGTCATTCATATAAGCAAGATTGATCCAGCCGAGTCCAAATATGTTTTCCGGGTTACAATAGGCCCCTAGTAACCTATGCGTGTCACTAAATTGATTGCGGGTCAGATTGGGTGACTTCACTGTATTGGTTTACTTTCGTGTCATCGTGCCCGGAAGGCGTGGGATGTTGCTGATGATATCAATCACTTGTTTGCCGGCCCATGACTAGATTATGTACACGCCACGTTTATAACTTGAAGCCATTGCCCAGTGTGTCAACCAACAACTAGACACATATTTACGCAAGCATGTAAACACCGCGGCTATTTTCATAATACAAGACCGCCTCCGTGGTCTCGTGGTAGAGCGTCCGCCCGGAGAGCGGAAGGTCCGGGGTTCGATCCCCGGCCGCGTCATACCAAAAGCCGTTAAAAGATGGTACTTGTTGTTACCCTGTCTGGCGCTCGGCATTAAAGGGCTAAAACAAGGACTGGTCGGCTCGGAGTCAGTTTACTGTGTCTGAGTGGGGTATTCATGTTAAACTGCGGCATAATATCTCAGTGTGCTAGCACTATAAATCGGCATCAGTCTGGACTAGTACAAGCAGCCACACACACACGTGCATGCATGTCGCTATATAAGTGCAATAATCTTGGACGCGACGTTAAACCCAATTTCACCTCACCTCATAATACAAGAACGTGTATTGTATTGAGTCTTGTAATGGGGTTTTGATTAAACCTGTGTCAGTGGACCTTCTAATGTAGTCTACTCTTCAAGATTTGAGTGTACTACTGTTTAACGGCTGAACTCGTGGCGTGAATGAACCAGTAAAACATAATCGTCGAAAATATAACTATATTGTCTACCTGTTGTTAATATAGTATACATATTCTAGTCCGTAACCAAGACGATTCGTGTCACCCGACTCATACTTTCAAACGATTGACTTTTTGTATTTCTTGAATTTCAATGACAATTGTCAAGGTATGTAGGTATTTTGTCAATAATCAGCTTAACCTTGTATCGTGTGGTTCTTTTCTCATTTTTTAGAGGCAGAATATCTTTTTGGACCCTGCTTCAAGACATCCACCATTACAATTTTGTTCTCCGAATAATTGTTTTCGTTTTCGATCCGAAATCCATAATTAATATTCACTTCCGTTTGTTCTGGTTGTGGCATACAGAACAGCTCATGGGAAAGAATAAATGGATGAGGGGCACGGGTGGTCCAGTCGTCTAAGGCGCCGCGATTCGCTGTGCAGAGTTGCGTCCCCTGGGCACACCAGAAACCTATGATTGTGGGTTCGAATCCCGGTTCGCCCCAAATTATGTTCAGGGTTTGTCAGCACCATACCCGTGCTCGTGGGTTTCACCGATGTGGTAAACGTCTGAGGCCTGCATCACTTCGGGCTTTCCTCCCACCTTAGGTTGACACGCCGTTAACTGTTAACAGTTACATGTATACCGACATGTTGTTCAGTAATAGAAAGCTACGATCAATGTTTCACGGTATGTAAGCAATACTGTTGTTCACTCAGACGTGTCCTCTGGGATGTGAATATAGCGCTGTAATTACAAGTCGACAAATAATGAAAGGTCTGGTGTATAATTACAAATACAAACATATCCTATAGATATGCATCTGTAGCGACTACCGTTACGACTTTGTCAATGACAGAGTCGCTAATGTGCATGAGCTATACATCAGCTTGATGTATGTGGTGTTAGCCTAAGATAATCGAGTTTTAACCCAAAATCCAGTGGTTATATTATGAGGTAAAGTGAGAAATGGGGTTTAACTTCGCGTGCAAGATTATAGCGACGTGCATGCACGTGTGTGTGTGTGTCTGTCTGTGGCTGCCTGTGGCTGCCTGTACTAGTCCGAACTAATTAATGCCGATTTATTACTGCTAGCCAACTGAGATACCATGCCGCAGTTTAACATGAATACCCCATTCGAACAGTAAACTGACTCCGAGCAGACCAGTCCTTGCTTTAGCCCCTTCATGCCGAGCGCGAGGCAGGGTAACAACAAGAACCAACTTTTAGCGTCTTTTGCAATATCGCGGCCGGCGACCGAACCCCGGACCTTCCGCTCTACGGGCGGACGCTCTACCACTAGACCACGGAGGCGGTGGGTTATAGTATGAGCAATGACTCGCCATCAACCAAGTCACCAAGCCTGGTTACCTGATCCACCTACGACAAGCATATTGGTCAGTAATTTTACCTCGTAAACCGCGATAGAATAGGTCTTCAGAAATCCATGCTTGCAGTAAAAGGCGACTATGCATGTCGTTAAAGGCGACTAATGGGTCGGGTGGTCAGGCTCGCTGACTTGGTCGATGCATGTCATCGATCCAAATTCATGATGTTAGTCACGGTATTGTCTAGTCCAGACTCGATTATTTACAGACCGCCGTCATATAGCTTGAATATTGCTGAGTGCGGCGTTAAACAACATTCGAACAAACAAAACATCGTAATCCAGTAGAGGATCGTCCTTTTCGTTGCTTATAATTTAATATATATTTCCTCTATTTCAGAAGGACAATCTATAAAATATCCAGCTGACATCCGAGAATGCCTCCAATTACCTGCGTCTAATACAGTTTACAGCGTGTATAAATCTCTGAATATTATGATGAATAACGTCTTAAGCGCATCTACGAGCTATCCAGACAATCTGCCAGAAGCCACAGACACGGGTGAGCCACAGGTGCTGAAACGTTCATCTTTCATGCAGCTGTATCCGTTAAATGATGGGAATGGGGATGGGGATGATGACAGCCAAAGATGGTCTGGTCGTTTTGAAAACACTCCGCCACATCCATATCAAGATCATACAGCGCACATGGAAGGTGATACGTTTCCCTTTGAAGTGAATGCACTTGGTCGTATTGTTGAACAGGTGCAGAACCTGAGAGAATCCTACCCTGTTCTGGACTCTCCGATGAAGTACAGTGAACATGAGGCGTTTGAAAATCCTACAGGAGCACATTGGTCGAAATACCATGTCCATGAGCACTGCGATTCGGGTGTACGTCTTGAAGATCGTGAAACATATTTGGACTCGAAATCAAGTGGATGTCTTGAAGAGGGAGAGAATTGCTTCTTCAAAGAGAAATATGCAGCAGTGTATCATAGTAGCCATGTGTATGATCTTCCAGATTCCGGCAGATACCATTGGGCATACCAGGAGCCCTTAGGATGGTATGTCCATCTTGACCAATGGACATTAGGTGCACAAGAACATGAACACTGTATGGACAATGGCCACACCTACTACAACAACGCCATTCCACTGGACTTTGTACAGTTTAAGAAATCGCCTTACCGTTACTATGAATATTTCAAATCGCAGTCAGATTCTGACGACTTGTATTATGTTGATTTTCGTCCAGGACCTGAGATATATGCATGCGTGGAAGGTTTGAAAGGCGGATATGAAGCATTTAAGACAAAGAATCGATCCACTTCTCGAACATGCATGACAAAATTGTAACAAGAGACTATTGATCCATAGACTTGAGGATAGTAATTATATATTCATAATTTAAAGCCAAGCTAAAAAATATCATCTTTGCGGCAAACAATGCATTGGTGGTTGTTTGAAATGTGGTGAAATATCTTAACCTTTAACTGTTTTCAATGCATGAGTGAGTGACTTTTACGCCATATTGAACCCTATTTGCAGTTGTTTCTGGGCATGCCAGAATAATGGGGAGAAAATCCAAAAGTGATGAAGATGTAAACGTCTACTGCTTTGGTGAGCACAGGAAGAATCTGTGATTAGAACCCATATATACTTGAAAAAAAGGAAAATGTTTGAATGCTTCGAAGCAGAAATCACATTAGTTCTCGTAATCAATTTAGAATAAACATGTGCTTAATTCCGCTTCTCGTTCCGCGTTTTTACTACTTGTGATTATTTACGGTACATACATAGCTAGTCGTGTCTTTCCCAGACAGTCTTGAACTATTGACACAAGCTGTCACGAATGGCGCTGATAAGGGAAACTACTTATTTCTAAACGAACTCTTCAGAGATTGTTGTGAGTAAGTGAGTGAGTGAGTATGGTTTTACGCCGCTTTTAGCAATATTCCAGCAATATCACGGCGGGGGACGCCAGAAATGGGCTTCACACAGTGTACCCATGTCGGGAATCGAACCCGGGTCTTCGGCGTGACGAGCGAACGCTTTAACCACTAGGCTACCCGACCGCCCCAGAGATTGTTGTGTGACAATCATGAAATATGTCTACGTACGCGTGGAGCTTCTGTAACATTGAGAATAAATCCATTCCAATTTTATACAAGATTAGGGGGCACGGGTGGCCCAGTCGTCTAAGGCGCCGCGATTCGCTGTGCAGAGTTGCGTAGATGTAGATGTAGATCTACCAATTTACCATGAAAGCACAGAGCTCGCGAAACCGTTTCCGGGGTGATCGGATATATGTTGTTAAAACTACCAACTCCCCCTCCCCCTACCCTTACAGTCCTGGTCGCTCAAACAACTTCCGAATGATACCATGTCAAGTGTTTTACAAGGAATGCCGAATCCACGTCCTCAGTAAATTGACTGTCATTTTTCAAAAAGGCTTCTCACTTTGACGTCACCATTTTTCTGAGGTATGTGTCATAAGACCTTGATAGGAATTTCAATACTGTTGATTAATTAAAAATGATACAGAACTCTTTGAACTTGAACCATCCGTCTTCATGTCACCTGATGGTTATCACAAACAATTTCTAACGCATTTCCTATGTCGACTGTCATTTTCCGAAAGGACACCAGTTTGATGAAACTGATCCCTGAATTAAAGTGCTGCAATAGGTATTTCCCAGACCGCCAAAGTTATTCAAGAACATTTTGCGAAGGTATCAAATAGCCTCTGGGGGGAATTTCGATTCATCTTGACAGTAATCAAGTTGTCTATTGATTTGTCACGATTCACATTGACCCGTGAAGATCCGGGACAGAATAGGTCTTCAGCAAACCATGCTTGCCGTAGGCGACTATATAGTCTGGAAGTTAATTTAAGGTACCGACGTTTACTACAATATCTGAGCTGAGTGGATTGGTTCAACTGTGTCATGTGGCCCTTTGACGCAGGGGTAGCATTATGCAGATGGCTGTTACAATGAATGCTCGTTCCACCCGTGACGAACAGGTCTGGTTGTTGATGAAATAAAGTGATAGCTAAATAGACAGATTTTTTTATTCATGCACCGATTGTCTTTAAATGTAAAATCCAGTTATTCGTGACTGTTTAATAATCTCATACCAACTTTGACTGGAGTAGGTCCAATAGTTTTTCAGATATTATAGTAAACGTCGGTACCTTAAATTAACTTCCAGACTTTATGCTTGTCCTAAGAGGTGACTATCGGGATCGGGTGGTCAGGTTCGCTGACTTGATTGATGCATGTCATCGTATCCCAATTGCGTAGATCGATGCTCATGATATTAATCACTGGATTGTCTGGTCCACACTCGATAATTTAGAGACCGCCGTCATATAGCTAGAATAGTGTTGATTGCGGCGTTAAGCAACAAACAAACAAACAAACAAACATGATCCAAATGTTGTATTGCGTCACGTGAACCTTAACAATCCATATCCAGATTGGCCTATTAAATATTAAACACGCATGCGCTGATCCGTTGAAAATGTGATGTTGGCAACGGAACATAAATCAAACACATCTGTCTGCAAGAGAACCAGTCTTCGTTCGTTGTCGTGGACAGTCAAGACCACAAATATTTCATACTCATCTTTTGCGTCAAAACATGAGGGGCTGTATGTCTACAACACTGTGCTATGTCTTGGCTCTTTGTCTGTACGCTTATACCCTTGGGGCTCTGGAGCTGTGTCATCTTGACCAGACATACGACATAGGGTATACACTGTTACTCTCGTCGTACTTCTCTGTGAAACGTTCCTCACTGTATTCTTGTGCAGCAAAATGCAAGGCGCATCGGCTCTGCAGGTCTGTTAACTTCCGTCTTGATGACAGGAAATGTTTCCTGAACTGGCGAAACAAAAGGGGCAGTGGATCGGGCCTGCTTGTCGAGAGTCCACTCTTTGCATACTCCGAACGTTCGCGGTGGCCCAAGGTAAGAGAGTAGTCATGTTTGCTTATCGAGTATGTTGATAATTTCAATCCCGAGTATGTTTTAGCAGCACAACACACTATGTTTCCAAACATTTATCAGTCTCCGTGTGTTGAGAGCCACAAAGACCTGAATCTCAGCCAGCGCGGAATATTTAAGATTGTAACTACAAGTTCTAGTTTCGCTATTTCACGTTTTTTATTATCACATTACATGCTTGCCGTAAAAGGCGACTATGCTTGTCGTAAAAGGCGACTAACGGGTCGGGTGGGCGGGCTCGCTGACTTGGTTTATGCATGTCATCGATCCAAATTGCGTGGACCGATGCTCATGATGTCAATCACTGGATTGTCTTGTCCAGACTCGATTATTTACAGACCGCCGTCATATCGCTGGAATATTGCTGAGTGCTGCGTTAAACAACAAATAAACAAACAAACAAAACATTACACGCAGCAGTTACTTTGTAAAGCTACTAGACTCTGTCGTGTATATATATGGAGTTTCATGACTCTTCCACGCTCAAATTCAATCGAAATAGTTGGTGTACTTTAACAATAATCCTGTAATGTGCACTCTGACCGATCGTACGAAAAATCATTATCCATTATCATTATATTTAATTTACTTCAGATTGATTTTGGATTGTGTGGTCTGTGATGACAAGATTGATATGAATGGTGGAATTTTCGTTTCGGGTTTCCAGATGTGATTGTCTATTCGATCTGCAGAAATATGAGTACTGTAGAGCTCTTTGTCAAATTTCACGCACGGTTTCTTGTAATTAGTTATCGAATTAGTTCCAGTCATTACCGCCTGATTCTGGTCTGAATTAGACGTTTCCAATTCATATTTTCCTAGGCGTAAGGAACACCTCCGTGGTCTAGTGGTAGAGCTTCTTCCCGGAGAGCGGAAGGTCGGAGGGTCGATCCCCAGACGCGTCATACCAAGAGACGTTTAAACGATGGTACTTGTTACCCTTTCTGGCGTTTGGCCTTAAGGTTCTAAAACAGGAACTTGTCGGCTCGGTGTTGTCATACGTCTCCGAGTGGGGTATTCATGTTAAACTGAGGCTAGCACTATAAAACCGGCTTTAGTCCTGACTTGTACAAGCAGCCACACACGTCTCTATAAAAACCTTTTATATATTTTCTACAAAATAATACATACCCCACAGAGGGAATCTGTGGTGGTGTCTTTGTTAAAATGGCTTTCTCCCTTCCCCGATGGCGTTATGGATCATAACATCAATTACTGCTATATCTGGCCCAAACGTGAGTATGTACAGATGACCTGAAATATATATAGCAACGAACTTTAAAAAATGTTACTGATCCTCGGTGAGCGTCGATCCCAGGTTCCCGATGACTGTCGTATGCGACGACCAAAGAGAGTCGGGAGTCTTGGCTAACTGTGTGGGACGTACACCCGATGGCGTTGACTTGACTCTAAAGCCTGAAGACATGTCCATTCCTCTTTTGTACTGGATTCCAAAGTTTCATAAATATCCATACAAAGAGAGCTAGCTATGACTATTTCTGAGTCCAGCAAATGTACCACCAAACTCCCTGTCTCAAAGACTAACCAAAATCCTTAATACAATGAAGGAAGGATTTCATTCTTTATATTCACAGAAAGTATTTGAGACAAATGGAATTAATACCATGTGGATTCTCAAAAACACAAAGGATTTGCTTGACTTTTGCAATCTCAGAAACGAACCAAGTTCAATTCTGTCAAAACATTTGATTTTTCAACTTTGTACACCACTATCCCACATGACAAACGTAAGGATAGTCCATTCTTTGATCCATGGGGCTATTGCTACAAAACGTGGTGAACAAAGGTACAGTTACGTATCTATATTCAGATGTTCAGGACAATTTTTGAAACATGAAAGCAAATGCCATCTGAAGTTTACTGAGAAAACACTATGTTAAATGCTGGACTTCCTCATTGATAACATCTACAATTTGCGGGTAAGACATTTAGGCAAGAAGTTGGCGTCCCCAATCGCACCAATTGTGCTCCCTTCTTGCGGAAATGTTTCTTTATGCATATGAATCATAATTTCTGTTCGGATTGGCAAAATAAAAAGAAGGTAATTTGGCCAAGAAACTTAAGCTTCAGGTATATCGATGATCTGATATCGTACAATAACCATCAAATAGCCAATTCCCTTCCACTGATTTACCCACCAGGGCCTAGATTTTCGAAACGATCTTAGCTAAGATAAATCTTAACTACTTACGTTCAAAGATAAGATATCTTAAGACTAAGATAAGATAGATTTTCGAAACAATCGTAAACCTGTCGCAGATCGCTCAGAGCTACGACACCTATCTGTAGCGGGAGAATAGCTCGAGGCCGTCAAGCGTATTGATGCGACGAGTTTAGTCTCGGAATATCCTCGGTCTTGTCATCAAATCATTGTCATCTTCATCATGAAAAATGTCCAGAGCAAATTATACCGCCATCTTGGATGAGGATAAAATAGACTTACGACAGGTATAGGGCTATCTTAGATTTACGACAAACTTAAGATATCTTAGGGCTACGATAGTTTCGAAAATAGGCTACGATAGCCTACGATTTCTTTACGATAACTTTACGATAATTGTAGGGCTTTCGAAAATCTAGGCCCTGCACTACAAATAAAGGAGACCAATGAGACCGCCTCATCTGTTTGTTTTTTATATTTAGAGCTATGCATGAAGATTCAGAGTGACGAAACATTCTCCGCAAGACTGTATGACAAAAGGGATGACTTTAACTGTCCAGTAGTCAACTTTCCCTGTATGTCAAGCAATATTCCAGCTGCTCTATCCTTTGCTGTTTACATTTTGCAACTTTTGAGATACAATCCAGCATGCTCTTTCTACCAATATTTCAAAGAGCGTCATACGACTTTTTCTCAGAAGTTGTTTGATCAAAGTTACAACAGCCTCAGTAAAGTGGAGGACATTTACAAATTTGGCAAACATAATATCCGATGCAATTCCCTATTCTGACTTGTACCACATATTCCCGTGTTTTTTTCAGGTGAACAATTGATTTGCCTTTGCATGTGCTTGTGAAGGGTGTCCCGGTGGGGCAGGATACGCTGACCTTTTCGCGAAAACCTGTCATCATTACTTTTTGATAGTGATTCATAAACACATGCTCATGATGATAGTCGGAATCGTACAATCGACCTTTATGCAGAGATTTCTATTGGATATGGGAAGGGTTTTGTCGCTTTAATTACGATCGTTGTGTTGTTTTTTCATATGAAATGCACACACTAGTCCCCAGCGCATCAACATTGTCAAGTAATTTACTCAAATAACACCACCATCGATGGTACATGAGTACAAATAGAATATTCCACTATACAATGTGTACATCAAGATAGCAAGATTTCTATTGGATATGGAAAGGGTTTTGTCGCTTCGTTTTAATGAATAGACTTGTTCAGACTATCGCTGACTGGAAATTCACTTTACTTAACTAGTTAAATATTTCTTGTTCATTGAGACCAGTTGATACGACACACTGGATACCCAACCAGAAATCGAAGTTACTTCATTAATTTGAATCGACATTAGTAACAGGGGGCTGCTCTTGATCGATTACCTATCGCCGATGGAAGATCGAAACTGCTCAAAACTATGACAGACCCGTGAAGATCCGGGGTAGAATAGGTCTTCATCCACCCATGCCTGTCGTAAGAGGCGACTGCGGGATTGGGTGGTCAGGCTGACTTGGTTGATGCATGTCATCGTATCCCAATGGCGTGGATCGATGCTCATGATGTCAATCATTGGATTGCCTGGACCAGACTCGATTATTTACAGACCGCGGTCATAGAGCTGGAATATTGCAATATTGGAGTGCAGCGTTAAACAAAACAAACAAACAAACAAAAGTATGACAGTAATGACACCAGGGCCCACTTGCACAGAACAGTCTTAGTTACAATCGATCTTAGGCGGCTACAATCAACTTTACAATCACCCTACAATTGTCCTATTCCACTTGCACAAACCGATCTTAGCGCGATTGTAAGACGGCTTGGAGTTAAGATCGCGATCTTAGCTAAGATTGAAATCTTCAACTGTGGAGGTACGAATATTTTAAACTCGACTCCTGTCTATAGTTGTCTGCAAACGGGCATAGTTTGCTGCGCATACAATAAGTGGAACCGGTAACAACATGCAACACGTACCTCCCTCCATCGCACTTTGCACAGTTTCAAGAAAGGTCCCAATTATTTGAAGGAAACGATTACTAGAATGAAGGCATAAATTCTTGTCGGCATTAATACTGTCGTGATTTAGGAATTGTTTTCTATTTCAACAAGAGAAATACCTACTCATGTTTTTATTCAAAGTATTGAAATACGAATAAATACATTATTTAGTAACACAATTATTATGAAAATTAAAATAAATAATAATAATATTTCCTAAAACCATAACGTGTAAATGCATGATCGCCATCTATTTAGGGGGGCTTTTCGTAAAATCCTAAATATATCCTTCATGTTTTCGTTTCGTTGCTACAATAAAGGATGTTATGACTACCATTTCAATACACAGAAAGACGGGAACTTTCAAAAACGCATAGACGGGAAATAAGAATAATGAACAATGTTTTGAGAAAGCAATTGTTTATATATATTCCCGAAGTATTAATTTTTTTTAATATTTTTTTTTTAAATGTGAAATTTATTTTTGCTATTTATGGGATATTTTGCAAAAAAATCAAATGTTTCATCATGTACATTTGCTTGTTTGATGAATACTTGTATTTTTTTCTTTTAAACTCTGATATTTAACCGGTCGTCCCCGTCCCATTTGATTTTAGATTTAAACATGTATGATTTGCTCTTCAGCTTGTATTTATTTGTAGATTAATTTAATGATAAACTAAAGACAAAATAACTGACAAGAATGTGACCCAAAAGAAATATAGGGGGAGCTCAGCGATTCAACAACATTGATACACTGGGTAAGGTAGATTGTACTCTGCTGATACAAAGGGAAACCACTCCCATCTAGAGTATAAACTAAGATTAGCTGCCCTTGACTTATCGAAAAGGTCACGGACGTTACAAAACGCTTGCGGGACGACTTAGGTTTTTATCATTCCCTTGTTTAGCGAAAAGGTATGTTGTTTCAAATTTCTTTCAGTTTTGAGTTGGATGGGAATATTCCTTTTAGCTATCGACTCGATAGTTACGTGTTTAACTATGGTAATTAACAATATTTCTGACTTTAAATCTGTGGTGCGTTCTTCATGTTGTTAAGTGTCGATTCGAATTAAAAAATTTCACAAAATAAAGCGGCAAAGTTTGAATGTAAAGCAGATTATTTATGTGAAACAGACCAAGCCTTGCACGCCATTTTGTCAAGTTTATTCAGGGACTACAACGATCTTAGCTACTTAAGATTGGTCTGGACCAATTGTAAGTTTCGATTGTAGCTTACAATGATCTTAGCCTACAATCGCTTTGTGCAAGTGGATGGCGATTGTAGCGGAAGCCTAAGATCGCGATCTTAAGGATTTACAATAATTGTAGCGCTAAGATCGCTTTGTGCAAGTGGGCCCAGGTGTTGTGAAATGCTGATCGGATCCTGTCCCATCGGTGACACCCGTCACAAACACATGCAAAGACAAAGCAACCGTTCACCTGAAAAACCAAGCTGACATATAGTACAAGTCAAGAGAGGGCATCAGACATTTTTGTCACTGACGCTTCCAATTTGGAAACATCATCCACATGTCTGGCATAAAACCTTTTGAGTTCTTGAATGTCGTAACATTCTCTCACAACCTTTAAATAAGACGTTGCCCTCTTTGAAATCTTTGCAGAAAGAGCATGGTCGAGTTTCCGCAAAAGTTGTAAAAGGTCAAGATCAAAGGACTGAACTTTTTTTAAATATAGCTCGACATTGTTGTCGTTGTGGCTTTTGTCACTCTGAACCTTTATGCATAGGCATAAAAATGAACAGATGTGGCGGTTCTTTGATCAGGTGGGCGGGCAAATCAGTAGAAAGTAATTGGCTATTTAACAATTATTGAAACACAACAGATCATTGACATATCCGAAGCTTAAGTCAACTCATTGGCCCCCTTCACCTGTTTTGATTTGCCAACACCAGCAGAAATTCTCATTTGCATAAAAAAAAAAAACTCAGCAAGTAGGGAGGCACAAACGTGTCTAAAAACACCAGATCAGAATTTTGAATGTCATCAATAACGCTGTATTTGCACGGGAGGAAAGGCATTCGCGTAGTTCCATGTATGCATACATTCTTTATGGGTATGTATCTAAGGATGTATAACTTTGCGTGATATTGATAGCTATTGTCATTGATTCTTGAAAAGAATTTCTATGAATTTCTTTCATGCATCCATTCCGTTTGTTTCGCAATTGTTAATGTATTATTTGTAATATATGCGAACTTGATGTTGCAGGAACAACCATTGCACTTGTTTCGATCTTTTTTGTTATGTCGCATTAACCGTAATGGTATGCAGCAAGGGTATTCTTTAAATCGCTGTTCATTACGCATTGCACTAAATATATGATGGTACTGTGAATCCGACCTTATTTAAATGCCATGTACGTTTGTGACGTTGGATGTCACAGTGTCTGTTCGTGAAGATCAGGGGTAGAATTATAGGTCTTCAGCAACCCACGCTTGCCGTAAAAGGCGACTATGCTAGTCGTAAGGGGTGACTAACGGGTTCGGGTGGTCAGGCTGACTTTGTGATGCATGGCAACGTATCCAATTGCATAGATCGATGTCAATCACTGGATAGCCTGGTCCAGACTCGATTATTTACAGACCACCGTCATACAGCTGGAATATTGCTGAGTGTGGCGTTAACCAACCAACCAACAAAACAAACAACTGTACTAATGTTACATGTATGTTTACTTTTAGGAAATAACCGGGCCGTGCTCCAAAAAATATTGCAGCCCTGCCAAGCGGTGTACTGTACAGAGAACAGGAAAAGCCATGTGTGGTAAGATTATTCCCCATTAAAAAGGGTCGTCTAACGCTGCAATCAGAAATAGAATTGAGTCTGGATACAATGATTAATATCATGAGCATCGATCCACGCTAACCGAGTCTGACCTCCTGATCTGAGTCTCATTGTATGGTCAGCAATAAATGTTGGTGACCAATTCTAACCCGGACTCCCCTCAAGGTTTTAGCTCACCTGGCCTGTCAACTTCTTCTCTGTAATAACCAGACTGAGGAAGTACAACTTTTGCATGTATTTCTTCTCATAATTACGTCAAAAATTGTTTACTCAAGTAAGTAACCTTGTTTAGTGGCTGTTTTGTTGACATATTTAAGTGTTGTCTAAATACATATCCAGGTGAGCTACAGTGTCATGGCTCTCTCTCGTAGGGCTGTCAGTAAGGTGGCATGATATATATGAAGGTTGTGTTCTGCATTATGTTTCTTAGAATAATGATTAAATATATGAGAAAGAATTCGAGTATCGATCTACTGGATAGGTACTAGTATCATATTGAATTGAAGGGTAATACTTCTGATGACACGAAACAACATATGAACTGTATTCCGAATATGTACATCTTTAGGTTGGTGCCATATCAAAAGAAATTGTTCATGTGATATGGATCACTTCGTACCAACTACACAATGGTATGTCCTTTATAGTCTACGAACGTTTCATATGATATGGATCACTTTGTACCAACTACAGCGCGGTATGTACTTTCTGGTCTACGTTCAATGTTTCATATGATATGGATCACTTTGTACCTACTACACCCTGGTATGTACTTCCTGGCCTACGTTTATTGTTGTTTTATGTGAAATTGATCACTTTCTACCATTACAACCTGGTATGTACTTTCTGGCCTACGTTTATTGTTGTTTTATGTGAAATTGATCACTTTCTACCATTAAAACCTGGTATGTACTTTCTGGCCTACGTTTATTGTTGTTTCAGGATCCTTACTCCTGCATGACTTTGACACCAATTCAGAATATGAACTTGTCCATTTGAAAAAGACTTGGAATGACGCAAAGGAACACTGCGAAATTGGGGGCGGTCGCCTTGCTAAAGTCGACACACCTGCAAAGTACACATTTCTGGAACTGTTTGCAAACATGACAGGTATGAAATCGAATATCCATTACAAAACAATAAATGCAAATGTTACCAGATTTGTAGCCATACATTATTGCATCTTCACATTACCATTTTGTTGTACTTTTGAATACCCCAGTTAAAAAACGGGGTGGTGTGGCAATAAGCATGCTTTCATATCCGTCTGTCTGTCCGTCGTCCGTTTTCCGTTTTGGAGCAGAACTAAAAAAAACATTCAGTATTTATTGTTGAAATTTGTTGTACAGATCAGCGTAGGGGTGAACTGGTGCCCTTTAATGATTTTGGATTTCGTTTTAAAAAAAAATTGATTTATGTTTTTATGACAAGTTGGACTGAAAATGGGGATAAAGCTCGTTTCCGTATCAGAACCTCCAAATCGTTGAATTTGTACACCTGCTTCTGTACATTGGCCAGCAGAAAGATCATTATATAGTTCCAAAATGCTTAAACATGTGCAAATATGAAAGCCAAATGACACGTTCGCGTTTTCTTCATACGACCCTTGGATGACGAGCTCATTTTCTAGCATAAGTAACTTTGGGAAACACTGCTCCTTCGTGTGGTGTGTACACTTTGTCCAGTCAATTTACGGGAAATAAATCACCCGTAGAGAATATGTGTGATCACAACATAATCAGGATATCCGTGAGACGGTAATGTGAGCATTTCTTTCCTTTAATATTTGCATGATAGGTACCATAATTGTGACAGAGAAGAGAAAGTTTTATGAAATTACTCGTCTTTAATCCTTTTTTGGATAACCATTTCATTGCAGTATAACATTAATTTGTATGGTGTCTCTGAGTTGCGTCGTACTGCTTTATATATTCAAACACTACCATTTGTAAGGAACAAAGGTATCCAATGGCAATTAGTCACAAATTTCGGTGTAAGTAGCCAAACTCTATTTCCAATTGCACCAGATCGTGGGGATATGTCATCTCCTGATGACATTAGTTTTATATTCTATTGAAACAAAAGTGATGAAAAATAAACTTCCCATCAAGAATACCACAACAACACAAATGAACTCTGCTATTTAATGCAATGTTAGTGTCGTTTGTGTTAATTTTATGGGTATCAGAATCTGCCTCATATAATATAGGAATTATGGGAAAACCGTCTCATTTGTTTAGCCTAACTTTGTTTGTTTGTTGTTTAACGCCGCACTCAGCAATATTCCAGCTGTATGACGGCGGTCATTAAAATAATGGAGTCTGGACCAGACAATCCAGTGATTGACATTATAAGCATCGATCCACGCAATTGGGATCGATGACATGTATCAACCAAGTCAGCGAGCCTGACCACCCGATCCCGTTAGTCGCCTTTTACGACAAGCATAGTCGCCTTTTACGGCAAGTATGGGTTGCTGAATACCTATTCTACCCCGGAATCTTCACGGGTCGTTTAGCCTAACTATCTTTACAGAGGAACAAACTGGGGAATCTGGGTTGGGGTTTGTCGTCAGTAACATACACCATGACCTGGCGACAGGGTTGATTCTACCAAGTTATAGCATGTCGTACCCTTCATTTCGCTGTCAGCTTCCGACCTGTACAGACGTCCTTTCACTAACTCCTTCAGAAGAAGCAAGTGCTTTCGGAAATCTGTCCATTCCTCTTTTGTACTAGATTCCAAAGCTCCAAGGTTTAAGATTCCAAAAGTCAGTCTCATGAAAATCAGACCGTATGCCCCTTTCACATGCACACATGTGTAACTAGTACTAACTATACATCCGTATTTTATATGTACATGTACTGTGCGTTCACATGAAAATAAACTTAGGTTTGTAAATAAAGTATTAAATTGTGTAAGGCACACATATTCGTCAGATGTTGACGACTGTTTTCCAATCCAATTTGAATGAGAAGAGAGCTACTTCACCGGAATTTTCGAGTGAAGCAAGATGTGTTTGATTTAATTTGTACACAATGTTTTGACTCCTTGAAACCAAAAGAAAACACCGTCCACTCAACTTTGTATATAAACATGACAGTTGGCAACTGTTGACAATTTGTTTGGAGTTGGCAAAAGAACAGATAATACTTATAGCATCCTCATACGTTAACATAAACGTTCACATTGCAACATATACACATAGTGCAAATTTACATTTACATATGCACGTGCTCCAGACATGATGCAAATTTGCTCCTGGTGTAAATATACACACATGAGTAAACGCGTTCACATGACAAGTATACTCACGTATGTATTTCTACAAACGTATGCACACATATGTATAGAGGCGCATGTGAACGGGGTATATAAGTGCTTGCTGCCCCTTCACAAAGATCGGGGGACACCCCCTTACAGAACGACCTTTCATCATACCAGCCAGAACGTCGCTTACGAGATCGCGAAATGAAAGTCCGAATGTATTCTTAAGTCACTTCAATGTGTTATCACGAGGCATCCTGACAGTTACTGGTTGTTATGGGATAAACATTATAACTTGAAAAGCTTTTCCACAGCCTGTGGGTAACACTGCTAATGGATCCGGGACATCTGTTAGACAGTGAATGTTCTTTTGTTTCTTTAAGAAATTGAGTTGAGAACTTTGTCAAAGCATAGTCTGGAAAGGAAGTCGCAATTTTGAAACAAATGCCGTAAATCTCGAGAAAACTATATTCAGAGTAGCTAATGTCAACTTCCAACTCGTGAAGGTTCGCGAAAGGTCATTCTGACGGTCATTATCTCAGATGTTAGTGTAGCCTTCGCGAGCACTGAGATCTGATTTTAATGATCCATACAATCTGTTCACAGTTACATTGCATTGAAGGAAGCGTAGTAGGGCCACGGTGATTTTTTGTGTGTCTAAGTATCTTCTACGTGGGACTTAGTATCTCCTACGTAGGACTTAGTATCTCCTAGGTAGGACTTAGCATCTCCTACGTAGGACTAAGTATCTCCTACGTAGGACTTATTATCTCCTACGTAGGACTTACTATCTCCTACGTAGGACTTAGTATGAACTAGAATAACTATCTCCTACGTAGGACTAAGTATCTCCTACGTAGGAGATAGGAAGTCCTACGTAGGAGATAAGTCCTACGTAGGAGATATTACGTCCTACGTAGGAGATACTAAGTCGTACGTAGGAGATAGTGATTCTAGGCCATACTAAGTCCTACGTAAGAGATAGTAAGTCCTACGTAGGAGATACTAAGTTCTACGTAGGAGATAGTAAGTTCTACGTAGGAGATACTTAGACAAAAAAAAATTCATCGTGGCCCTACTAGATATAGTGAAACTGTGGTTAAACAATTTGTCAGCATTCATCTGAAAACAATATTTGCTGGACGTTCCCATAGATAACAGCTGTATGAAATGTGGAGATAGGACTTTAATGTAGTAAGCCCTAAGGGCACAAGTTGTACCCCCACCACCCTTCACCCCCACCCAACCCACACACACTTACATTTTATACACAGGTTTATCATTTAACTTAAGCATTTATCCATGACATAAGCTTATGACATAAAAACATGTATGTCATACCCCAGTGACATAAGTATGCAAATTAGATATGCAAATAAGATAACCGGAAGAGCGAGCGGTTTGATTTGAAACTATATATTATAAGTGAAGTTACACCAGAGATATAATCAGATTACACAGAATATTGTTGTTACGGTTATTAAAGTTTCAATTATTCTGCAAAAGTCTGTTCAAGTATTTTGTTTAAAATAATCCGAGGAACTTTTTTTCTCAGCGAATTGTTTATTCGCTGAGAAAAAAAGTTCCTCGGATTGTCTGGTTTACATGGCTATGGAAAACATGTATCACTACGCACGATCTATACGTAAGATTTCGACAAGTTGCTGATGTTAATGTTTAATGCAATTATTCCTTAATTTGGAAGCAAAAATGTGAAAATGATAAATAGAATTCATCACTCGTGTTTTTTAATATGGGAAATATAAACCTCGTCCCGTTTATCGGTATTTGCCTCGCCAAAGGCTCGGCAAATACCGATTAACTAAGACTCGGTTGATATTTCCCGTGATGAATCCTCTATATAACTCACAACGGAATATCGCGAGACATAACGCAAAGGCTGGTGACCGATCCCGCTAAAGTTTGGTTTGGTTTGTTGTTTAACGCCGCACTCAGCAATATTCCAGCTATATGACGGCGGTCTGTAAATAATGGAGTCTGGACCTGAGAATCCAGTGATTAATATCATGAGCATCGATCCACGCAATTGGGATCGATGATATGCATCAACCAAGTCAGCGAGCCTGACCACCCGATCCCGTTAGTCGCGTCTTACGACAAGCATAGTCGCCTTTTACGGCAAGCATTGGTTGCATATTTGTCATTTTTGCTGTATTAAACAAGCAACAGACAAACACTGACGTTTTCTCTAGAGTATGCGTTTGTTTTATGTTGTTACTTTTTTAGTTTCTGTTATTGAGCAGGGCAAAATGAAACGGAAATATTCCTTGGCGGATCGGAGGAGGACTTCACAGGGGATTGGAGATGGGTCGATGGAACGTCGTTCAATTATTCTTTCTGGCAAGAAGGGCAACCCGAAGATGAGAAGGAGAAAAACTGTCTCTCTGTCTGCTTTTCAACAGGGTGGGGCGGCCCGAGCTGTTTGAAAAAGAAGGCATTCATGTGCGAGAGAAAATTGTAAAGCGTATGGGCAGGTAGAACAGTTGAACCTGTTGAATGACTTTCGGAGGTGTTAAGTCATGTCATCGATCCCAGTTGAGTGGATGGATACTCATGATATCAATCACTGGATTGTCTGGTCCAGACCCGATTATTTACCGACTGCCGTTTGGTTTGTTGTTTAACGCCGCACTCTGCAATATTCCAGCTATATGACGGCGGTCTGTAAATAATCGAGTCTGGACCAGACAATCCAGTGATTAATATCATGAGCATCGATCCACGCAATTGGGATCGATGACATGCATCAACCAAGTCACGAGCCTGACCACCCGATCCCGTTAGTCGCCTTTTACGACAAGCATAGTCGCCTTTTACGGGAAGCATGGGTTGCTGTAGACCTATTCTACCCCGGAATCTTCACGGGTCTGATTTACACGTACTGTACAGGGTATGACAATCAGAAAGACGGTCAGTTTGACAGCTAATTATATTAAAGTAGTTTTGTACATCAGTTGTCAGTGTATTTAATATAGAATACTAAACGAGCTCCTGTGTAATACCAATTTTATGAAACGAGTGAATAGTTCTGGTATCTGACTCGCTTTCGCTCGTCATATACCAGAACTATTCACGAGTTTCAAAAAATTGGTTTTACACGGGAGCGAGTTTAGTATTTTATTTATTACTTGCCATTTATAATGTTTTTAGAATTATACTGTTGAGTGTAAATAGGCTGACACCTACATGGCATAATCCAACTGAGTTTAACAGAATAATACTTCAAACACGTCAAAAGTTGAAACGTATGAATTTAATATCATACAATGGTCCACCTTTAGAATTCAGGCGTCCGTCCCACAAAATTATCGTAGCCCTAAGGCTATCGCAACTCACATAATTTAACTTAGACTAACGACTGTCGTTTTGCTACAGCACGATCACCTTGTGGAACGGGGCCTTGCACCTCCAAGTTTACAATCACGTCACAATACCCGATGACGTCATTTGCGGAATTTTGTTGCAAGATCCATCGGCGAAACAATGCCATGTGACGTCAGCCTAGCAACAAGGTTGCTGGGGTCATCGAGTGTGCATAAGCTCCTCCCAGTGATCTATCATCTCCACACACAATGTCGTTGAATAAGCCAAGGGATGTTGAGAGTTTTCAATATTTGTTCGTGAAACGTATTCCGAGAATACATAAGCACGCGTTTTGGTATTACACAATGTGTAATAAAGCTGTATGTTTATTAAACGGGTCATCTCTTCACGGGCAAGTAATAAAACCAATTTACAAACATAAAAGTGATCATACGACTAGTACCTATACACGGAAGCAACAACACACAAATCAGACATAATTAGACACTACAAGTCCAGTACCAAACTGTTCACTTTAGACGATGTTTAGAAAGGTTAGACGTAGAAATTGGACACGGGGAAATAAGGAATGTAGGGGGCAATTTGACGAACAAAAAGTAGCATTTGTTTTAAATATGTGTTTCAAACGGTTCCATCAGTGTCGCCTGACCAGAACAAAACTCAAAGTGTCCAAAACCTTAATGTTACAGATACCAGTGGAATTGAAACAAAGGTGTTCAATAACCTAATCCACTGTGAACAATGAACATTTCCACATGTACACATGAATCTTGATACGATTATATCTGTTGATATCGGGCATGTGGCATATGTAGGTACATGCATCAGTTGGTATACGTGTAGGTGTACAAATGCACATGTATATATCTATGCAATGCATTTAACAGTTTATGAGTTTATGAGTGAGTGAGTTGGGTTTAACGCCGCTTTTAACAGTGTTACAGTTATATCACGGCGTGTAACGGCTTAATGTGGGAGGAAAGCCCAAAGTGATGCAGGTCTCAGACGTTTACCACTTCGGTGAAACCAACGAGCACGGGTATGGTGCTGACAAACCTAGAAACATAATCGGGGCGAACCGGGATTCGAACCACAATCATAGGTTTCTGGCATGCCCAAGGGACGCAACTCTGAACAGCGAATTGCGGCGCCTTAGACGACTGGGCCACCCGTGCCCCCTATGAGTTTATGAGTCAAATTGATGTTGTGTATGTATGTATCAGTTTAACTATTTGGTGTTGTGTTTATAAGTGTACGTGTACAAATGAATGTATCAGTGTATGTGCGTGGTGTGTGCATATATCCTGTTTAATGTATGTCTGTATATGATACAATATGTGTTTTTTTATCTTGGTTGTATGTATGTGTTTATCTTGTTCTTGGGTATGCCTAATTTATGAAATATTCTTAACTTTTTGTGATCGTCTCCGTGGTCTAGTGGTGGGGTGTCCGCCCGGAGAGCGGCAGGTCGGGTGTTCGATAACCTGTAAACGTTTTTAAAAAAATCCTTAATATTCTAAATTGTCCTTGTGCAATGACAGACCAATAACAATATTATGTTGTTGTTATTATTATTGCATATTAATATGTTATATCGCTCCCCGCTGCTGTCGTTTTCAGAAAATAAATCCATTACGGTTTCGGTTTACGGATATCGAGGCTCAAACTTCGCAGCCCTTGGAGAACGTGGTCGCTACTCCATGTATATTTACACCTCTAACGGGTGATATAGTAAATAGTATAGTAAGATGATTATGGACAAGAAGGGACATCCAGGATCAGTCACAGTTCTATTTGACCGCCTCTGTGGTCTAGTGGTAGAGCGTCCGCCCGGAGAGCGGAAGGTCCGGGGTTCGATCCCCGGCCGCGTCATACCAAAAGACGTTAAAAGATGGTACTTGTTGTTACCCTGTCTGGCGCTCGGCATTAAGGGGCTAAAACTAGGACTGGTCGGCTCGGAGTCAGTATACTGTGTCTGAGTGGGGTATTCATGTTAAACTGTGGCGTGGTATCTCAGTGAGCTAGCACTATAAATCGGCATTAGTCCGGACTAGAACAAGCAGCCACACAAACACATACTCGTACATGCACGTCGCTATATAAGTGCAATAATCTTGGACGCGACGTTTAACCCAATTTCACCTCACCTCACAGTTCTACTTATTGTCACACCAAGTCCATAACATAAAAAAATCTGCATTTGTATTTTGGCAACGTTTAGAACTGTTACAATGCTAAAACGATAGAGACCCCATTAGGTAAAAAATCCAGTTGACGCATTTTATGAACAATGTGGTGAATGTCTTGAAGATGAATATCATATTCTGTCCAAACTATGTCCATTTCAGGTTAAAATATAAACAAAGCCATAATAATGGTTTTTTGCCAAATTAAACTAACATCTGTCAACCTATGCACCACAAACGAGGAACATATATTGTTCAATTTATCTCTGTATTTTGATAAAGTTTTGAAACTTAAGAACAAATAGCGTTCACGGAAATTGTACGTTTTATTTTAGACCTCATATGTATGTTATAAACAAGGTCTAACTACCAACGAGGTATGTATATATGTAACACATGCTAAGACGATATAGTGTCCCAACATATTCCATATAGTAACTTCAACTTGATTAATAAAGAGACTTTCCTCGAATGACGGACAATAAATAGTTGTTGTTTTTTCCAATGTTTTTTTTTATTTCCAGCAAGCGCACAGGTACATGGGATATATATAGGAGAGTACACAGTTTAGTAGATTCACAAGCCAAAATTGTCATTAATATATTGGAGCTTCATTTGACTGAGGCAATTAGGTGATTGATTATCATTTAAAGTTTTATAGGTGTTCGGGCAACTAGGCCCATTTACACCTTGCCATCAATAACGGTTTGGTGGCAATTTGGCAATTAGGACACGAGATAAATAGACAGAGCCACTTCCATTCAAAAGTCTCAGTCTTTTTGTTTCTGTTTGTTTCTCAGCGTGGTAAGTAACAGTTCTTTAATCATCTTCAGAACAGCGTTTAATGACCCTTAATGATAGAAATGTAAATATATATAGCTCGTGTTAAAAGCACTGTGTGGATAAATAGCCCATAGTGTCTTGCATATCCAAAATATGATAATTGTGACATCTAAGATATTATTATCTAACTTATTAATAAAACAGATACTAGTATCGAGAAACCTTTTCAGACTTGACAAACAGCTTTTGTACAATCACAGTAGCGACATACATGAAAACGGATTACACTGTCAACATTATAGAAAGAACAATTTTCATTATTTACCGATTTCATCAGTTTCAATTGTTTCCTAATGTATATATAAATTGTAATGGTTGACAATACGATAACCTGCAAAATGTAAATTGAAATTCTAACAACTTTACATCAGTCGTACAATATCTGCGTAAATATCTCTTTCCAGTATGGTAGTATCCCTATACTTCAGTGTGTTATCTGTGATAATATAAACATAAAATAATCGAGAACCTTTACTGGGTTTAAGTGTGTGTGTGTTTGTGTGTGTGTGTTTGTGTGTGTGTGTGTGTGTGTGTGTGTGTGTGTGTGTGTGTGTGTGTGTGTGTGTGAGTGTGTGTGTATGTGTGTGTGTGTGTGTGTGTGTGTGTGTGTGTGTGTGTGTGTGTGTGTGTGTGTGTGTGTGTGTGTGTGTTATATGACCACAAGCGGATTAAGTAAACGAATTAAACTGGCATATGAACAAACGTTCCTCAGTGCATAATCTGTCTTTCCACTGAGGGCCATATCTCAAAAGCATACAGCGTCCTTCATGATAATCCGGTTCTCCCGGAGCCCACAAGCTTATGTTGAGAACCTCTGTTCCATCGACCCACTCATACCAGTCTCCAGTGTTGTTGTAGAAACCACCAAGGTAGTGGTTGAGGTGATGACCTGAAATTAAAAGTGCATTCTTCATTGTCATCATTTATTCGCACAACTAACTACATGTACAGAATTGTTTATTTGAAAATACTCATTTGTGTTTAAAAATCAATAATTTGAATAACCATTTAGGTATGCATGTATTTCTAGGAGCTGAATGTATCAAGCTTCTCGATCACTTCATACAGTCATAATTATATTCAGTGTATCGTTGTGGAAATGGTTTGGGTTTAAATCCAGATATAAATTGTTTGTGATTCACGGTTTGTCGACACATTCACAATGCTCGAGCATTTCACACAAGTGCTAAACGTCCATGAAAAGCACCATGTTGGGCTTTAAATTGACACATTGTGAAATTAAAAATGTTAAGGACAAGTAGTAAACAAGAACATTATTTTGATTTCTGATACGTCCCTTTGGAATACCAGAAACCTACGAATGTGGGTTCGAATCCGGTTCTCCTCAAATGTTTCTAGGTTTGTTAGTGGTAACCGTCTGAGACCTGTGAGACTTCGAGCTTTTCTCCTACATTCAAGCTGTCACGCAGTGTTCTAACTAGAGTACTGATGGAAGGGAGGATGTTTCTTCAGTGCAAGCTCATGATAATGCTACAAAGGCTGATAATATTCATTATCAACTCCTCAAGCATTTACCCGTATCATGACTAGAAACATCAAAAAAAATATTTAACAATATTTGAACGTCTGTAAATTTCCCATAGTCAAGGCTTAATGTTGTCTTAACTGTGGAAGGGATGACACCGATACTTCTGATTACAGGTCGATATCACGAGCTCGTTGTGTGTGTATTATGAAAAGTTTATCGTATATCAAGCGAAAGAATAGCTTGGTACTTAGAAACCAACAAACTCATTATGTGGGTTCTGCTTGAATCGAAGAACTATCGATCATTTCATCGACTTTTTATAATATTTCATTATGCCGTTCCTGTCTTACCGCGGCGGCCTTAGAAATCTCCGGTTCATAGATTGTATGTCGAGGCGGGTGGGCATTCTCTAAGACAACGCCTAATTAAAGGTTCAGTACAGAATATTAGTACTGGGTCCAAAATTGAATCACAGACAATAGCTCCATTGATTACAGCCTTGAACACATTCAATACTTTCCATTTGATTAAACTGAGGGACAGAAGAAAGTTCAGCGAGTTTTATGTAATTGAAATTGAAAGAACTTTTGTTAAATTTGATTATGCTTTATCACATTTGTATATTACCCATGTTTATCACTATATCATATACTATATTATTTACATTTTGTAAAGAGTATTCTGTGTCTGAGAAAATTTGTGTAAAAGATAAGTTGGTTCAATAAAGACTGGGGTAAGAAATGAATGTGCAACCACCTGACCCCTACCATGTTTGAAATTCCCATTTGTGCCCCAAAATTTATGTATTATACCAAAACATTGTTTTTAAGTTTTACAAGTTTAAAACCAATTTTATTTAAAAAAAAAAATTAAAACCATGTAAAAGTAATCTTTTGAATGCTGTGGAATAATTTGCAGCAGAAGAACCAAGATGACGTTTCATAATTGCATCCTGGTCTGCCTATGACCCCAAGGGATATCGTAACATCCTCCAAAGTATTTTTACGCCTGCCAAATGTTTAATTGTGGAATAATTTAAATGTCTTTCTGTATACACTCGCCAGCGACTAAAAGGACGGGTCCTGAGGATCAATAGCCCGATGTTTACATTATGTCGTTGTTCATCGTCCTGAACATGTTGCTTTTACACTATTTTAAATACAAATCAGTGTTATGTTAAAACAATCTTGTTATTTTAGTATGCTTCCGGTTATTTTAATGTCCTTTGTTGACAAAAAAAGTAATCAGTTCACTGATGGATATAATGATCAACGATGCACAGGGTAGGTAGCTGGGATTGATTTGGCCTGACCCGGAATTCCAACGGGTCGTACCACCTGGCTCAAGCCTAAAATGTGTATCTCGTTTCACATAACACATATTTGTTTTCTTACCAAGAGCACCAATGATGTCTTGAATGAAGTTGTTCTGAATGACATTCTTGATTATGGCTAGATGGCCACCCTTCTCTTGGCAGTAGCGCTGAGCGTCTGCCCACTGCTTATGCATGTGTGGAAAAGTATAGCTTGTTCTGATGTCGTGCTCAACATCAATAACCGCGAGAGGGTCTGAAACGGTAAAGTGTTTTAATCTAAATCCATACGTCCCATCAGAGTAATTCGTTTGTAGAAGACAGTTGCTTCGTGAATCTGAAATGTATTTTCCTCAAGTGTATGATATGACAAAATATTGAAATTGATTAACGGAACAAACGCCACGGCATACTCACGACACGCTGTGCTGTTGTTTCTGTAGGTAGCACAGTGTTCTGACAATCCACAAGATGTCTTTGAGCATAATCCGGATATAGTCTGTGAAGTGTAAATAGGCATATTTGATGTCCAATCTTTGCACCGGGATAAAGGATTGCAACAGGGCCTATAGATACAATTCTGAGTAATAGTTTAGAATAAATGTCATGTCCTATTTCAAGTTATTAATATCACACTACAATGCAAATAAAAAGTGGTTCTGCGCAAGGATTACGGTGCCATATATTTTGCTGGATCACTCAACATATGCCTTATTTATCAACAGCAAAATGCCAATAAATTATACCAATAAAATCCGGTAGCGATTGTTTGTTATTTAAACGTGTAAGTATCATCTCAAAACAATACTTGTTAAACATATTGTATTACATAACACACTACGGATATAAAGGGTGGCAGGGTAGCCATGTGGTTCGAGCGTTCACGCCAAACGCCCGGGTTCGACAATATGTAAAGCCAATTTCAGGGTTTCCCCCATGATATTGCTAGAATAATGCTGAAAGCTAATGCTAAAATGCTAAAAACTATACTCACTCACCAACTCAGCCAGTCACCCACTCTACCACACCATCACCAAGCCACCGACCAACACATTCACTCACCCACTCACGTTATGGTTAAAAGTAACTTCAAATTACGAAGTAATATTGACACAAATAAATACGACGCAACACTGAAGACCTCGTTACGTGAAATGAATATTTCACTTCACACAAAGGGCATTCGTCGGGCCGACATTAACACTGGAAGGAACAAGGGGAACTGATTCACATATTGTCAAAATTCGTCGCATCAAAAACATAATTCACTTTTTTATATATGAGGTGAGGCTTTTAGCATTATTCCTGCAATATCACGGCGGGGGACACCAGAAATGGGCTTCACACATTGTACCCGTGTCGGGAATCGAACCCGGGTCTTCGACCGCCCCTTATATATGAGGCATTGTACTAATCGTGTACATACATACACTGCAGTAGCAAAACATATTGTACATACCTCTTTTTTTAAACATCCATATTTATTTTCTTCCGGATGTGTTCAGAAACTAACACATTTGATCACGTATATACTGATCTATTGATCTATTAACATTATCGAAAAAGATGGCCAAACAATTTACACATCATTATCAAGGAACACGTGATGACGCCCTGGTGATACCGGGAGAGAATATAGGTCCCCAGCAGGCTATGGTTGTTGCCAATGGCGACCAAATGCACCGAATGGTAGGGCTCGGTGACTTAGTTGATTCCATGTCATCGGATTCTCGATGAATAGAAATAAATGTCACTCTTTGGATTGTCTGTCCAACACAACATTTTCTTTACCCTTCTTCACAAACATCAATATTTATTTTCTTCAGGATGTGTTTATTACTCTCATGATCTATTACATTATCAAAAAAGGTGGCCAAACAATTTATATATCATTTTCATAGAACACGTGGCGACCCCATGCTGGCACTGGGTGTCGATATAGATCCCAAGCAGCCCATGGAGGCCTGATAAAATGGGTGGTTGTGGTCGATGACTCAGTTGATTGCATGTCATCATATCCTAAAAGCATGGATCAACGCTTAATATGTCAATCATTTCATTGTCTGGCCCAGACTCGATATATTTTACAGACCACCGTCATAAATGTGGAATATTGCTGAGTGCTGCGTTAACCAACAACCAAACAGAACATAAAGATGTTATGATAAAGATCATGTTCACAGCATTTTACCATACAATTTCACTTTTTCAGCTGTTGTGAAAAACTGTTGGGAAAAGCTGTTGAAAAAGCCGTTAGGAAAAGCCGTTGTGAAAAGCTGTTGGGAAAAGCTGTAGGGAAAAGCTGTAGAGAAAAGCTTTTGGGGAAAAACTGTTGGGAAAAGCTGTTGAGAAAAGCTGTTGGAAAAAGCTGTTGGGAAAAGCCGTTGGGACAAACTGTTGGGAAAAGCCGTTGGGAAAAGCTGTAGGAAAAAGCTGTTAGGAAAAGCCGTTGTGAAAAGCTGTTGGGAAAAGTTGTTGGAAAAAGCCGTTAGGAAAAGCCGTTGTGAAAAGCTGTTGGGAAAAGCTGTTGGGGAAAAAACTGTTGGGAAAAGCTGTAGGGAAAAGCTGTTGTGAAGAGCACCACCGCTCTGAAGAGATTGGTCAAAGAATAACCAGTCTCTATTACCTGCGTCCCATTTGACGTAAAAGGCAAAATAGTGATGACAATAAAATGAAAGAGAAAGCCGTTAGGAAAAGCCGTTGTGAAAAGCTGTTGGGAAAAGCTGTAGGGAAAAGCTGGTGCGGAAAAACTGTTGGGAAAAGCTGTTGGGAAAAGCTGTAGGGAAAAGCTGTAGAGAAAAGCTTTTGGGGAAAAACTGTTGGGAAAAGCTGTTGAGAAAAGCTGTTGGAAAAAGCTGTTAGGAAAAGCCGTTGGGACAAACTGTTGGGAAAAGCCGTTGGGAAAAGCTGTAGGAAAAAGCTGTTAGGAAAAGCCGTTGTGAAAAGCTGTTGGGAAAAGCTGTTGGAAAAAGCCGTTAGGAAAAGCCGTTGTGAAAAGCTGTTGGGAAAAGCTGTTGGGGAAAAAACTGTTGGGAAAAGCTGTAGGGAAAAGCTGTTGTGAAGAGCACCACCGCTCTGAAGAGATTGGTCAAAGAATAACCAGTCTCTATTACCTGCGTCCCATTTGACGTAAAAGGCAAAATAGTGATGACAATAAAATGAAAGAGAAAGCCGTTAGGAAAAGCCGTTGTGAAAAGCTGTTGGGAAAAGCTGTAGGGAAAAGCTGGTGCGGAAAAACTGTTGGGAAAAGCTGTTGGGAAAAGCTGTTGGAAAAAGCTGTTGGGAAAAACTGTTGGGAAAAGCTGTTGGAAAAAGCTGTTAGGAAAAGCCGTTGTGAAAAGCTGTTGGAAAAAGCCGTTGTGAAAAGCCGTTGTGCAAAACTGTTGGGAAAAGCTGTTGGGAAAAGCCGTTAGGAAAAGCCGTTGGGAAAAGCTGTAGGGAAAAGCTGTTGTGAAGAGCACCACCGCTCTGAAGAGACTGGTCAGAGAATAACCAGTCTCTATTACCTGCGTCCCATTTGACGTAAAAGGCAAAATAGCGATGACAATAAAATGAATGAGCACTGAAACTTAATGATGACACCAGGTGCTCGCGAAGTAATGGACACAGTAAAGGTGCATAGATTCTCCTACTGAAAACAACCAAAATGCCATAGCAATACCGTACCTTCGGCCAGTCACTGATGTCACTGTGTAGAAATCCAGGATCAGGCGCACGGGATGCCAATGACGAATCATTGAAATTAAGGAAACACGTGTTTCTCCTTTCGTCAAAGTCAAATGAAGCACAAATAGATGTCGCCACACAGGAAGCAGCACAACTGAAGATACTGGATTTAACTGCAAAGTTATAACTGACGTTTTTCAATCTGTAACCTTTCTCTATCAAACTTCTGACATTGCAACTGTCAGGATTCCCGGACACAATTGCCCATCCGGAAACTGCTAGCCAGGCGACGAAAGCGTACATGGTCAATTCCAGACAAGAAACTACCTGCAACAGCCGTATTTCAAAAACACGCTTTCAGATTATACATTACGTCAGATCTCAAGGGTCATATGCAACAATATGAATCGAACATCAGTGCATGCATACATGTACTTTAACATGTCATGATCAATATCTCAAAAACAAATGAATGTCAGCCTATGCGTGAGTATGTAGTTTAACTGGTGGGCGTTAGTTGCTGAGGAGCTGTATCAACACAATTTTTCTCTCAAATGTGTCTGCTAATGAATAATCACTTTGTTCTTGTCATAAACTCTTTTGGATTCTGACTGGGATAGTGGTGTGTAGTGTGGAAATGTAAAATGTTTTGACCTAATTGAACATGGTTCTTGTCTGAGATTGCAAACATTCACGCAAATCCAAATGGTATTCAGTCAATTTGTCGCCAATATTTCTGTGCATAGAAAGACATTTCCAAGCTCAATTATGTCAAAACATTTTACCTGTCAACGCGAACAACGCCACATTAACTATTACTACAATACTTCACTAAACTGCATTCAAATCAATCAACCCTTTGTATGAATACCTGTTTTGAAATTTGGCATACCTGTTTCAACCACGTGGAATCAGAATTCAACCACACATCACTGCAACTAACATAGATTTAAATATTACGTCACCTTACCGACTTCTCTCTTCTCCTCCAAGGCAGATGGTAAAACTAGAGGTAGACATTACTCGCACCCAGGTAAAGAAATCCGAAACAAATCCTTTGGTATATCAAGAATACAACCAATTACGAACAAAACATAATTTCATAGATCCATTTTTACAGATGAGTCCAAGAATGGTGGCAAAATTGCAAGTGTCACCATCATTGGATCCAAGACTGTCTCTTAAAGAATCCCAGATAATGGTTCAATCTTTATAGCGGAAGACAAAGCTTTCTTGACAGCACTGACCTGTATAAACAACAAAATCAATGTGAATACTTACCTTCAGGCAAGTCTCCTCAAATCATCCTATAATCCTTGACATTTTAGCCACGAAAGGGCTGGAATATTGCTTAAAGCGCGTAACATCATATTCACTCATAATGGAGACCTAGTTATGTGAAATGAATGTTTCAACTCATAGAAAGGGCATTCGTCGGGCCGACCTTAACAATGGAAGGAACAACGGAAACTGCTCCATATATTCTCAAAATTCGTCTCATCAAAAGCAAAATTCACTTCTTAATATGTGTGGCACTGTATTTATCGTTTATATACATTACATTCGCGAATAATCTGTCGTCTCCTTTGGGATATATCTCTCTCTTTTAAACCATCCATATTTATTTTCGTCAGAATGTGTTCAGAAACTAACACTGATGATTATGTAAATACGGATCTCATTATCTATTCACATAACCGATAAGGTTGGCAAACAATTTACATATCATTTTCATGGAACAAGTGATATCGGGTGAGAATATAGATCCCCAGCAACCTATGATTGCAACTACTTTTCTAAATTGCAGTTATATTAGTCAAATCCAGTATACAATTGGGTTTTCAATCCTTTGAATGAAAACTTGTTTTGAAATTTGTTAAACCTGGTTTTACAACTTGGAATCAGAATTCAACCACACATCACTGCAGCTAAAACAGATATAAATATTCTAACACCTTACCGACTTCTGTCTTCTTCGATTGTTCGTTGTAAATGGTAAAGCCAGAGGTAGACCTTACTCGCACCCAGATAAGAAATTCGAAACAAATCCTTCGGTGTATCAAGAATACAACCAATTACGAACAAAACATTATTCTCATAGATCCATTTTTACAGACGAATCCAGGAATGGTGGCAAAGTTGCAAGTGTCACGATCATTGGATCCAGAACTGTCCCTTTAAGAATGCCAGATAATAGTTCAATCTTTTTTGCGAATGTCAAAGCTTTCTTAACAGCATTGACCTGTATAAACAACAAAATCAATGTGAAAACTTCTTCATCTTCTGCGATTCATTGTCTTGCCTTCAGGCACTAGACAGAGTCTCCTCAAATCATCCTATAACTAGACATTTTAGAACTTTTCAATGATCCCTTTACTTCCTAATTTTACATCGTCTTTTGTTGGTTACCAAGTCATGTAGGCATAACACGTAACTCAAAAGTGGATGCTCCAGCTAAAGCAGCTCTTGACAAACTGTTATCTCCACTCCTTATCCCGTACAGCAATTTCAAATCAATCATCACAAGTTATACTCGGGATCTAATGCGAAAAAGGTGGGTCACTCAGGTAGGAATCAATAATCTTTATAAATTTAAACCACCAATCGGTCACACTTACTTGGGTTGTCAGGTCAAGAAATGATGAGGTCGTTTCGCGACTATGTCGTATTGTTCACAGTCGGTTTCTGCTAAAAAGAGATGATATCATGAAGAGCCTGCATTGTAGATTATAGTTTGATGATGAGGAATGGTTTGCCAAAGTGTCACGAAGTTTGTTGGCAGTTTCAGATCTCGTCGCGGTAGCGCTGTCCATTGAGATTTCCCTCTACCACTATCCAACGGGTCCTCTATCTTGCTGTAATCCACCCCATACCGTAACGCTGCCGACCCCTAACCGATCTTCTTCCATGACACAATGATTGACGTAACGTTCACCTCGACGTCGGTAATCTCGAATCCGTCCATCGCTATGGCTGAGACTCGTCAGTGAATAGAACTTGACCCACTGCCTGGCCGTCCAGCGTAGACGCTGTCTGCACCACTGTAGACGTGCTTGGTGGTGGTTTCCTGTCAAAATGGTACGTCTGGCGGGATTTCTGGCGACAATCCCTGTACATCTGAGGCGGCGACGTACGGTTTGTAAAGATATTCGTCGAAGGCCAGGGATGCTTCTTGCAGTGACTGTTGCTGGCTGGAATCGATTTCGCAGGTGTGTTGTTCGAATCCAGTTGTCTTGTCGATTATTGGTTACGCTTGGCCTGTTGCCAACGTTGCCATAAACACCAAATGGTGTTTCTGTTGACGTTAAACTGTCTTGCAACATCACATTGACTCGATCCTGCTTCAAGCATACCAATGGCTCGCAGACGCTCATTTTCGGACAGGCGTGGCATTTCGTAATTTAGTTGTTTTCTGAGTGGTTGTTGTCAGCACGATGCTAAACAATGCATATGGAATCCCGTTAACGCACATGTTTTTATACCCATGGGCCTTGCATAAGTCAACTTTTGCGTTGAATGCATGCTTTCCTGTAGCAGTTACGTATTTGTGACTTGATTCCATACATGTACTCCAATATTGAAAACCAAACTTTACTTGTTTGAAAAATACACTAAAATATTGGTGTCACAGGAACTTTTGTTGTTGGGTATATATATATATATATATATATATATATATATATATATATATATATATATATATATATATACGCCACAACATCGGCCTGTTTACCATTAGTATAACGGGATCGAGTGGTCAGGCTCGCTGACTTGGTTGCATGTCCCAATTGCGTGGATCGATGTTCATGATGTCAATCACTGGACTGTCTGGTCCAGACTCCATCATTTACAGACAGCCGTCATATAGCTGGAATATTGCTGCGTGCGGCTAAAAACAACAAGCCAAAACCAAAAACCATTAGTACCATTTTGTTGAGACAGTTTTTTGAAAACCATAATTGTAAATTTATAACACTGTCAGCAAACATCACCACATCGTCAGCAAACAAGAGCAAAAAATTAATCAATGTCCGCGTTAGAACTGGTGAAAGCTGGTCTGTGGAGTCAACCTGAAAGTGTCAGCGTACCCCGACGGCGTCCATCGTAGCTCCCATCATCAATCACTGGATTGTCTGGTCCAGACTTGATTATTCACAGGCCGCCGACTTAAACTAGAACATTGGGGTGTTAAAGAAGCGTACACGAATGGATCAGTGTCCCCCGGTGTCTTCTTCGGGGTGAAGCGTAGAGACTTTTATGGGTCATAAGTACACTTTATTTATTTCAACCAAAATTCGATCATTTATACTTGGTTAAATAGACGGGAAATACATGAAAAATATATATGAAGGACAACAAGAAAACAAGAACATTAATTTCAATTCTCATTCGTCCCTTGGGCAAGCAGAAACTATGTTTGTTGGTTCGAATCCCGGTTCGCTCCAATTAAGTCTCTAGGTTTTTTAGCAACAAAGCCGAGCTCGTGGGTTTCACAAAAGCGGTAAACATCTGAAACCTGCATCGCTTAGGGCTTTCCTCCCACATTAAGCTGGCACATCGTGATATAACTGTTCTGTTTAAAAAGAGGCGTTGAACCCAACTGACTCAATCACCTAATTCTGATAATGGTGAGGATCACAATGAAGTCTCCTTCAGTGAAAGCGATTGATAAAACTATATAGGCTGATAACATTAATTATCAACTCCTAAAACATTTACCTGTGTCATGAATAGAAACATCAATAAATGTATTTAACGTTAAACCACACTCACTTTTAATATGTACCAGTCCACCATCACGATACACAAGCAACTCATCATGAGGGACGTCTGGCAATATTACAGTTGGATAAAAACTGAAATAATGTGTGTTTGAATAATTTATTTCTGATAAACCGGTTCTCAGAAAGGCGTCTGTTGACCATTAAGTCTTGCTTCTATTCATAACCGCTGCTTGTAAGAGGATCCGGGGCTTGTATCTCTGCAGAACAAATATAAATGTGTAGAAACACACATCATGTCGATATAAATGTAGACTTTTACGATTGATCGTGCTAATATATCATAGTTAAGTATGAACAATATGCTGTAAGTAATGAAAATAATGCGTCACCAAATTGATGAGAGGGTCGACACAAGGTTTGGAATGCATCCTGAAATTAATGCATTGCCCTTAACCATAAAATCCAGTCCTCCAATGAAATACAGTAACTGTTGTAAATTGAAGGCACCTGTTTGGTTACTGAAGGTCACGTGACGTATACCAACACCATTTAAACCAGGAATCAGTCAAATGATGACATAAATCTGTCTTTGACAATCACAAAGATATAAAACAACAGTTACTTCTTCTACTGACATATAAACGACATTGTGTTTCAGTACATAACAATCTTAGTATTGACCGACGATTTGTATAGTTTTATGTACAACTGCATCCCTTACCACATGTGCGACAATTTTGAGGGCATTGGCGCATGAAATTGAGTGACTTCACACAATTGCCGGACACCTTCAGAATTGTGCAGAGCCAAGTGTCGGTTCCATCACATTTCACTGAAATAAAACGAAACGTAAACGTTGATCGACTGACTAAAGTATCAAGTATGTTGTAGAACAGTGTCCACGGATGGCCCAGTCGTCTCGAACGCCGTAATACTTGCCTCCGTGAGGATCAATGGTCATTGTCGTTAGTAGTGGGGCTCAACGTATATTGTCGTTTTGGACAGATTTCAACTTTTCCTCTCAAAGGCCTATTGTCTCTGTATTTGTTTTCTCCTTTGAAATTGACAGATTGGGGAAGATGAACTTTGGAAAGTTTCGTCAATCACATTTTTGTCCAATCATCATACTGTTAATGTTTAGTCATCATTTATTAATTATGCTGAAATTATTAAAATAACAATACTGCCAGTAATGTCTTCGTTGATATTTTAAACTGTTCACTACAAATGCAGGTGAGCTGCAGTGTCACCATCTTCCCGAGGCAAGGGAGTTAACCGACTTAAAAGTTCAGTTTCCACCCTTGCCGAACTAGGCTGGTATTATGTTACATTTTGGCTGGACTAACGAGTCTATGCATAGTCCTATCAAAATCGCGCAACGAAATCGAAATCCGGTTCGTAAACTGTCGTCGGATTTCGGTCGATTGCAGGATTTCCAAAGCATGTGCACAGCCAACTCGTTGTCAACAGATATTTTCCAGATCCTTTCATGTTTTTGATCAAGGTGCTCGCGTGACTTGATGCACTTTGCGATGTAAGACCCGTTTTATCCCAATATACCAGAACGCCGATCAGAACGTCTTGACGGGGCGCCACCATTTTGTTTGAAACAAATGCAAGTATTACAAGAGGTGGATTCTGATTGGACCATAGGAGAGGCTCAGAAGGGACATAACTCGTAATAACCACTGGTGACGCTATGATTGAGCCCGGGAATTCCAACCTAGTTCGGCAAGGTAGGAAATTTGACCTTTAAAGTCATTTAACTCTCTTGCCTCGGGAAGATGCAGTGTCACAAGTCTACCATAAAACATGTTCAAAGCTTAAGTAAGGCTTTAATGTTGTAATTCTTTGTCCATCTGAATACCACCAGGGAGCATAGGGTAAATGGCAAAGTAGGCATGTCAGATATTCTTTTTGTCACTGATGCGTCAAATGTGGAAATGTCGTCCACATGCCTATCATACAACTTTTAGAAAACACCACTAAGGCATTGAATGTGGCCACCCCGATCAAACAACGCTGCTGGAAGACTGCAGTCTTATGGAAAGTGAAATATGAAAATGAATATGGTGTGGACAAAACTGGAAATATAATTGAGGCGAACCGGGATTCGAACCCACGATCATAGGTTTCTGGAGTGCCAAAGGGTCGCAACTCTTCGGCGCCTTAGACGGCTCGCCAACCTGTGCCCCTTCGATATACCTGTACCCTTAAGTTCAATGTTCAAGTATATCAGATACAGCTTGAACGCGACTTGGGGCGCTAGGGTAGCCTAGTAGTTAAAGCATTCGCTCGTCACGCCGAAGACCCGGGTTCGATTCCCGACATGGGTACAATGTTTGAAGCCCATTTCTGGTGTCCCCCGCCGTGAGATTGCTGTAATATTGCTAAAAGCGTCGTAAAACCATACTTACTCACTCATTGAACGCGACTTTAAACCCCATTCCACCTCAACACCTCTTAATCATCATACACTTACGGTAATATGTTGGAAGCATTTAACGAAGCGATAGTCTCTTTTTCTTAAAATATTTCAAATGTTGTGTTTGTATATAAATAAACAAATTCGAATTCTTCCTGGCAACTTGTTAAAGAGTGTAGAGAAAGGCCCGTATATTTTCATTCAATATTACACATATACATGATCCCAATTGCATGGATAGTTGCTTATGATGTCAACCACTGGATTGTCTGGACTCGATTATTTACAGACCGCCGTCATGTAGCTTGAATATTGGTGAGAGCGGTGTTAAACAACAGCAACAACATATACATGAACCACAGTCTAAAATGGAAAAAGTGGGACTTTCTTTTTTAACACCATAAACAAGCTGCACAGGTCGGTCTTGACAAGTTGACTACACATATACAGGATTCGGATCCTCTGTAACGCCATATAGTCTAATCATCATAATCATACCTCCTGTCGGGATACAGACACAGTTAGCTCCGCGCAGTTCCTGACCTGCAGGACATGAAGTTCCACAGGTTTCTGAAATACAAGAATATATGATTATCAGTATCATATCAGAAGGATATATAACAAATGTAAACATTTCCATTTACTTAGATAAACTCACTCACGATAAACAACAGTAAGAATATAATCTCAACATAATGTTTAAACTAAGATTTTTATACATCAATACAAACTGAAGAAAATTATTTTGAAACCACTGTTTGTTCCCCTTAAAATGTCTTTCAGGTTTAGGGGGCACGGGTGGCCCAGTCGTCTGAGGCGCCGCGATTCGCTGTGCAGAGTTGCGTCCCTTGGGACGCCAGAAACCTATGTTTGTTGGTTCGAATTCCGGTTCGCCCCGATTATGTTTCTAGGTTTGTCAGCACCATACCCGTGCTCGTGGGTTTCACCGAAGTGGTAAACGTCTGAGACCTGCATCACTTCAGGCTTTCCTCCCACATTAAGCTGACACGCCGCGATATAACTGGAATACTGTTGAAAGCGGCGTAAAACCCAACTCACTCACTCACTCACTTTCAAGTTTAATCTTACCACACGAGTTTCCGATATAGTTGCCACTACAGGTACATTTGCAGGCAGCAGTGTCCAGAGTGCCTCCATTTTGACAGGTCCTTGAACAACCACTAGGCGCTGACAAAACACAACCATTATCAGATCGTCGTCGATTTACGATTTAATGGCGTTTATAAACTTTAACAACATACTACTTCTGTTTGGTGTTAGAATATCTTAGAAAATTTTGCTCTGAAGGGGAACTATGAAATAAAACACATAGCATGTGTTCCTGCAGGAACATACAATGTTTTCGTTTAGATGTAAACGTTGAAGGATTATTCACTTGAATTTGAATTTGGTTTCAGAAGACGAGTAGAGGGTCAACTTTGCTATACTTAAATTAATGATAAAAGTCATATTTCCATTCTTATACATCATTTTAACCAATAGTAAACATATTTTTATTCCCTGTTGATACTGAACTCAATTCAGTACATACGTGTTCCACAGTAGGTTCCGGTGTAGCCGTCCCTGCAGGAACAAGAACATGTGGCTGACTGTTGTGTTCCACCATTCAAACACCCTCTAGAACATTGTGCTGAAACGAACAACATTGAAACGAAATGATAAATTAGAACGTTGTTTGTTCTGTTGGCAGTTTTCGAACAATTCAGAAACATTCTTGTAATTTTGTCATGTTTTCATAATTTATCTAGTCAGACATTGCGGTAGTTCTTTATGTGGACTGCTGACAGACGTAAATACTTTATGGATAGTTTTCATATATGTTGTCATGTTGATTGATTGATTTTGATAGGTTGGTTTATATCTAAATGTTACGTCAATATTGTGGTTATAGTTTTTCGCAACATCTTTTTGGAACCGACGACGTTTTCCGGCGGTTCAAAATGTTAAATTTCACGAATGGCACGTTTAATTGAAATTTAGGGGTGTAAAGTAAATAGTGTGGGTGTAAAATAAATCCACAGTGAAATTTCTTTGAATTCTAGGATTCAATTCCGCTCAACAGCGTTTCTCAACCAATCGGATTGCAGCACACACTCCTAATTAGTTTCCAGATTGCATCATGTACGTTTCAAGGTCAATCTGAGAATATTAGTAACTGATTCTAAGCAACTGAATTGGTGGAATGTTCATCAATGAACACTTTTATGATGTAAATGTTTAGCTATATTTACCGCATGTGCTACCAGTCCACAACGGATCGCATGAACAGGTACACGTATCTCGGTTCAGAGTACCGCCATTACTGCAGGTTCTAGTGCAGGTATTTGTTTCTGAAAAAAATCAATACATCCAAATACAATACCTCAATATACATACCTCAAGGGGTGTGATTCAATTGGTTTCTTTAACAGATTCATGCTCAGAAGAATGTTATGTCGGTTCCAAGTCGTTCCCTTTTGATGGCAGTGCATGTGTTTACAGACATAGCAAGGTCTTATCAGAGATTGGTAAAATGGCTCAGGTGCCGTTGAGCAATATTCAATCACTCAGTGTGTTAAATATGCTAAACAAAGTCAGGTTTTCGATTATTTTCAGTAAGAGTTTCACACAATAATTATGTGTGATTATGCATGTTTTAGACAATATGATATCAATTGTGTATGATGGCGTCGATAAGAAACAGGAAAATGGAAATGAACCAGTGTTCCTCCGTTGAAACACGACCGAGTGCACGTGTTCGTTTCTATAGTAGACAACAAGAAAATATCAACAACACTCAGGAAAAGAAAGAAATCACTGGTAAGCCAATTATAAGGTATTTTTACTAGATTGTGTCCAATGGTAAGAAAGGTTTCGAAACGTTTTACTTACAGTAGTGTTTCAATTAATTTATTAATTAATAACTTCACCCAAGAATGTTCGATGCCAGCTGCTTTGTTTTTAAAATTAGATTTGCCATTCACAACTTACCACACGTGGCTCCGGTGTAGAATGCTCCACAGGCACACGTGCAGGTATCTGTGTTCAGTGTTCCTCCATTAAGACACGACTTAGTGCATGTGTTCGTCTCTGAAAAAGAAAGCAACAAAACGTCATTAACATCAGGGGGAGAAGAGTAATATTCACAGTTATTATTCAATCAGTTAGGTTTGTACATGAACTGTATATGGATACACCTCATTCAGAAGTGTTCTACACCAGGTTAGACTGATCATTATATTTAGAAATTCACAATTGACGTACCTTCCTATGTGCTATAACAGATGAGAATTTCTTGAAATTCATAACTTACGACAGGTGGCACCAGTGTAGAATTCTCTACAGAAGCACGAGAAGAAAGGTAAATGTTGACAGGTGAATATTAGCACCTAAGCCCCTATCTCACATACACGATTTAAGAAATTGCGAACACGATTTAAGAAAAGTTGAAAAATCGTGTTGATTCGTGCTCGACCTTGTGGTTTATGCAAATTTCTTAACCAAACACGACCCTCATACGACCCTCATACGACCTTCATACGACTGAACACAACACTCATACGACCGTCATAAGATATTGATACGATACAACGCGATTTAACCTCATTTAACACGACCCCAATACGACTGTCATTCGACCAAACACGACTGTCATACGACGCCCATACGACTTAAAAACGAATCAACACGACCGCCATACGATTACACCCGAATCATTACGATGTCCATACGACTACAAAAATAAACACGATCTACATTCGACTGGGCAAGACCTTCATACGACATATTTTTGTTTATTTCGGTCACGTGAGTCATGTAGTATATAAGCTGCATTGCAACAGCATTTCTGTGTCAGTCTTTACCATGTTCAACAACATGTTTTTGTTGTTGGCGATTTTGGTTGTGGTTCAGAGGTTTCAGCTGGCTCATATCTTGTCCCTGGGTACCGGGTGGATGTTCATCCATGGTAGGGGATGAAGGATGTTTCCCTTTCGAAGGTTTTGCTTGAAGGAGCTTCCGTTTCGGCCGCCTGAGGGTTGGCATGGCTGTAGAATGAGCTTTCACTTTCAGGGGGTTTCCCACGTTCTCACTCAGTCACGTGATGGGCTCTTCCGGTCGTATGACAAACGTATGAATTTTGTGTTCAGGCGTATGGGACTCGTTGGAAAGTCGTATGAAAGTCGTATTGAATCGTGTTAAAACGTATGAAAATCGTATGAGTTTCTTCCCACGATCCCCAACACGACTGAACGCCACTGAACACGATCTTCATACGATTGAACACGACTGTCATACGACCTTCATACGACTGAACGCGACTTTTCAGCTCGGCTTAAATCGTGTTATAAATTTTTGCATTGCAAAAATTTATAACACGATTTAAGCCGAGCTGCGACGTCCATACGACCGACGCGACCGACCACGACTTAACACGAATGAGCACGAATGAGTGCGCGAACCTTCATACGTTCTAACCCGATTTACGGAAAAACGTTAAATCCTGTTCATTCGTGTTCAGATTCTTGAATGTGAGATGGGGGCTTTACTCCGAAATCACTGTGTCTTTGTTAATTTCAAACAGTATCAATGCAATTTGAAAAAAATATCACGTTTGCAGCACAACAATAATATACCGTGCATTCATATGCACACATGTAATACAGAAATGTACTATAACAGATTGGAATCTAAAGAATGTTTTGACGTTCACAACTGACCACACGTGGTTCCAGTGTAGAAATCTCTACAGGCACAGGTGCAGGTATCAGTGGTCAGTGTTCCTCTGTTGAGACACGACCTCGTGCATGTGTTCGTTTCTGTAAAGCGATTAAGAAAATATACCCAGTAAAGCTAGCATGACAAAAGCACCAATGAAAGCTTGTTATTTGACTTTTATTCTGTAATTTATGGCATCATAGTCTTTCAAAGTCATAGTTTCTGTAATGCAAAATGTAATGAAAAAACAACCACACAAAAAATTCAAAGCTTATTATTTTATAATGTTTTTATCACATCTATCACTCTGCCAGATTTGTGTTATTTAATAGCAGCACGATAGATTCGTGCCAGGAACATAACAATTAGAACATAACTCGAATTATTCATCGATACACATTTGACATCATCTGGGATTCCAATTAAAATTCATAATTTACCACACGTGGCTCCGGTGTAGAATTCCCTACAGGCACACGTGCAGGTATCTGTGTTCAGTGTTCCTCCATTGAGACACGACCTCGTGCATGTGTTCGATTCTGAAAAGTTCGGGAATAAATATCACCAAAATCACGGGGAGAAAGGAAAAAACTGACAGCCGGTTTTTTTTATCTTTGTTTTGTCAGGTTTAATATCAGGATTTCATTTCCAGTTTTATGATAGTATCGGAAAAAGGTCAAGAGAGAAACTTAATTTCAGCTTGCATGCTTATATATAGTTCAGAAAGTACAGTACGAGCTAGGATTCTGGAGTATGTTTGGACAATAATAACTTACGACACACGGTTCCCGAAAAGGGAGCGACGCATGCGCAGGTGCAAGTATCTGTGTCCAGTGTTCCTCCGTTGAGACACGACCGAGAGCACGTGTTCGTTTCTGAAGTAGATGACAAAAATATATCATTAAAAGCATGAAAAGAAAGGACAAGTTGTTACACAGTTCTGTTTTATCAGATTTGGCGTTGTTTTAATGTTATAAAGGTTTCGAAAAGTATTGTTCACAATAGTGTTATCATAAAAACATGTCTTTAATTGTGCATGAATTAACACATCCAAGAAGTTGGTCTGCAGCTAGCATGACAAAGGATACATATGAAATGCTTGTTACGTTATGACATCATAGTCTTTCAAAATCATATGTTCTGTAATGCAAAATTTTATGAAAAAAATAATAATTGAATTTTGTCAGTTTTTGTGTGGTTTCTTTATGTAATATAATGACAGCCATGGATTCGTCCACGCCACTGAAACATTTACTGTAACACAACAAAAACTATGCATAGATATACCTCAAGTGTTTTCACGAGCCCAGAAAAATCATTGTATTTGGAAATTCGGAATTTACGAACGTTCCTATGTAAAGGTAACAGATGGGAATCTAAAGAATGTCTTGAAATTCATAAACTTACGACACCTGGTGCCAGTGTAAAACTCTTCACAGACACACACACGTGCAGGTATCACTTTTTCTGTTATTGTTTTACATTTGGGGGTCTGAGGTAATGACTTCAACTGATTCTTTCACGGCAGTAAAACAATTCTAACACAACTCGAACTATTCAAGCTATTAGGTCGTCGAGGAATGTTCGACATCAGCTAAGATAGGTTGAAGCAGGATCACGAGAGGTACATGGGGTTGTATGCGTCACGCGTTAGGTTTTATACCACAAGCCGGAGGCTAGTGGAATGAAACCTAACGGGGGACGCATAAAACCTGATGTACCCCGAGTGATCCTGCTACCAGGAATTTATCCTACCGACATGTTTTAATATGAAATAGTAAATGAATTAAAACAAACTTCATATAGATAGAAAACAGCTGTTCGGTTGAGCAAAGGATAGCTTCACGTGACCTTCATTGACTTGGGAAAAGTGTGCAGCGTTTTGTTTGGAAGCAGAGTATAAGGGATTTATTCTGCCTCTCAGAAGTCAACGTGCAGCCTGTATTGCTCATGGCGGGGTATAAGAGATTCCTTCCCCTCCAAGGCGGAATACACAGTATCCAAGATCACGTGGACCAATCGGATCTCATCATTCTGACATGGAGATAGGATAATATAAATTCAGAACTTACGACACGTGGCTCCAGTGTAGAATTCCCTACAGGCACACGTGCAGGTATCAGTGTTCAGTGTTCCTCCATTGAGACACGTCTTAGTGCATGTGTTCGTCTCTGAAAACAACACAAACTATCAACAACAGCACGAGAAGAAGGGTTTCTATTGATAGATAGATATTAGCATGCTGGCTTCCTAAATCAACGTGACTTTGTATATTTCAAACTTATAACAGTATCAATAACAGTTGAAAAAAATATCTAGTTTACAGTACAACATTAATATACCGTGCATTCATATGCACACATATAATACAGAAATGGGCAATATTACATAGGAATTTAAAGAATGTTTTGAAATTTCGAACTTACGACACGTGGTTCCAGTGTAGAACTCTCTACAGGCACACGTGCAGGTATCAGTGGTCAGTGTTCCTCCGTTTTGACACGACTTTGTGCATGTGTTCGTCTCTGTGATGCGAATGAGAGCCAGTTACTATTAGTTTTTGAAATTTATGCTGCCATAGTTATTTTATTTATGACATAGGATACTATTGAAAGCTTATTTGACTTTTATTTTTCTAATTTATGGCATCATAGTCTTTCAAAGACATAGTTTCTGTAATGCAAAATTTAATGAAAACAATAGCCTGAAAAAAAATAATTCAAAACTTATTATTTTCTAAGTCTTTGTTACATCTATCACTCTGCCAGATTGATGTTATTTTATAGCGGAACGATGGATTCCTGCCAGGAACATAACAATTAGAACATAACTCGTATTATTCATCGATACATGCCGTCCAGGAATATTTGACATCATCTGGGATTCTAATTGAAATTCAGAACTTACGACACGTGGCTCCGGTGTTGAATTCCCTACAGGCACACGTGCAGGTATCTGTGTTCAGTGTTCCTCCATTGAGACACGTCTTAGTGCATGTGTTCGTCTCTGAAAAAAGAAAGCAACAAAACATCATCGTGAAAAATGATAATACTGACAGTCAATGTTCAGTAATTGAATTTTTGTCAGTTTTTTTGTGGTTTCTTTATGTAATATAATGACAGCCATGGATACTTCCACGCCACTGAAACATTTACTGTAACATAACATGAACTATAAATGGATATACATCAAGTGTTTTCAGAAGCTCAGAAAAATCATTGTATTTGGAAATTCGGAATTTACGAACGTTCCTATGTACAGGTAACAGATGGAAATCTAAAGAATGTCTTGAAATTCATAAACTTACGAAATAAAACAAACTCTGAATAGATAGAAAACAGCTGTTCGGTTGAGCAGAGGATAGCTTCACGTGACCTTCATTGACTTGGGAAAAGTGTGCAGCTTTTTGTTTGGAAGCGGGGTATAAGGGATTTATTCTGCCTCTCAGAAGTCAACGTGCAGCCTGTATTGCTCATGGCGGGGTATAAGAGATTCCTTCCCCTCCAAGGCGGAATACACAGTATCCAAGATCACGTGGACCAATCGGATCTCATCATTCTGACATGGAGATAGGATAATATAAATTCAGAACTTACGACACGTGGCTCCAGTGTAGAATTCCCTACAGGCACACGTGCAGGTATCAGTGTTCAGTGTTCCTCCATTGAGACACGTCTTAGTGCATGTGTTCGTCTCTGAAAACAACACAAACTATCAACAACAGCACGAGAAGAAGGGTTTCTATTGATAGATGAATATAAGTATGTTGGCTTCCTAAATCAACGTGACTTTGTATATTTCAAACTTATAACAGTATCAATAACAGTTGAAAAAATATCTAGTTTACAGTACAACAATAATATACCGTGCATTCATATGCACACATATAATACAGAAATGGGCAATATCACGCAGGAATTTAAAGAATGTTTTGAAATTTCGAACTTACGACACGTGGTTCCAGTGTAGAACTCTCTACAGGCACACGTGCAGGTATCAGTGGTCAGTGTTCCTCCGTTTTGACACGACTTTGTGCATGTGTTCGTCTCTGTGATGCGAATGAGAGCCAGTTACTATTAGTTTTTGTAATTTATGCTGCCATAGTTATTTTATTTATGACATAGGATACTATTGAAAGCTTATTTGACTTTTATTTTTCTAATTTATGGCATCATAGTCTTTCAAAGACATAGTTTCTGTAATGCAAAATTTAATGAAAACAATAGCCTGAAAAAAAATAATTCAAAACTTATTATTTTCTAAGTTTTTGTTACATCTATCACTCTGCCAGATTGATGTTTTTTTATAGCGGAACGATGGATTCCTGCCAGGAACATAACAATTAGAACATAACTCGTATTATTCATCGATACATGCCGTCCAGGAATATTTGACATCATCTGGGATTCTAATTGAAATTCAGAACTTACGACACGTGGCTCCGGTGTTGAATTCCCTACAGGCACACGTGCAGGTATCTGTGTTCAGTGTTCCTCCATTGAGACACGTCTTAGTGCATGTGTTCGTCTCTGAAAAAAGAAAGCAACAAAACATCATCGTGAAAAATGTAATACTGACAGTCAATGTTCAGTAATTGAATTTTGTCAGTTTTTTTGTGGTTTCTTTATGTAATATAATGACAGCCATGGATTCTTCCACACCACTGAAACATTTACTGTAACATAACATGAACTATAAATGGATATACATCAAGTGTTTTCACGAGCTCAGATAAATCATTGTATTTGGAAATTCGGAATTTACGAACGTTCCTATGTACAGGTAACAGATGGAAATCTAAAGAATGTCTTGAAATTCATAAACTTACGAAATAAAACAAACTCTGAATAGATAGAAAACAGCTGTTCGGTTGAGCAGAGGATAGCTTCACGTGACCTTCATTGACTTGGGAAAAGTGTGCAGCTTTTTGTTTGGAAGCGGGGTATAAGGGATTTATTCTGCCTCTCAGAAGTCAACGTGCAGCCTGTATTGCTCATGGCGGGGTATAAGAGATTCCTTCCCCTCCAAGGCGGAATACACAGTATCCAAGATCACGTGGACCAATCGGATCTCATCATTCTGACATGGAGATAGGATAATATAAATTCAGAACTTACGACACGTGGCTCCAGTGTAGAATTCCCTACAGGCACACGTGCAGGTATCAGTGTTCAGTGTTCCTCCATTGAGACACGTCTTAGTGCATGTGTTCGTCTCTGAAAACAACACAAACTATCAACAACAGCACGAGAAGAAGGGTTTCTATTGATAGATGAATATAAGTATGTTGGCTTCCTAAATCAACGTGACTTTGTATATTTCAAACTTATAACAGTATCAATACCAGTTGAAAAAATATCTAGTTTACAGTACAACAATAATATACCGTGCATTCATATGCACACATATAATACAGAAATGGGCAATATCACGCAGGAATTTAAAGAATGTTTTGAAATTTCGAACTTACGACACGTGGTTCCAGTGTAGAACTCTCTACAGGCACACGTGCAGGTATCAGTGGTCAGTGTTCCTCCGTTTTGACACGACTTTGTGCATGTGTTCGTCTCTGTGATGCGAATGAGAGCCAGTTACTATTAGTTTTTGTAATTTATGCTGCCATAGTTATTTTATTTATGACATAGGATACTATTGAAAGCTTATTTGACTTTTATTTTTCTAATTTATGGCATCATAGTCTTTCAAAGACATAGTTTCTGTAATGCAAAATTTAATGAAAACAATAGCCTGAAAAAAAATAATTCAAAACTTATTATTTTCTAAGTTTTTGTTACATCTATCACTCTGCCAGATTGATGTTTTTTTATAGCGGAACGATGGATTCCTGCCAGGAACATAACAATTAGAACATAACTCGTATTATTCATCGATACATGCCGTCCAGGAATATTTGACATCATCTGGGATTCTAATTGAAATTCAGAACTTACGACACGTGGCTCCGGTGTTGAATTCCCTACAGGCACACGTGCAGGTATCTGTGTTCAGTGTTCCTCCATTGAGACACGTCTTAGTGCATGTGTTCGTCTCTGAAAAAAGAAAGCAACAAAACATCATCGTGAAAAATGTAATACTGACAGTCAATGTTCAGTAATTGAATTTTGTCAGTTTTTTTGTGGTTTCTTTATGTAATATAATGACAGCCATGGATTCTTCCACACCACTGAAACATTTACTGTAACATAACATGAACTATAAATGGATATACATCAAGTGTTTTCACGAGCTCAGATAAATCATTGTATTTGGAAATTCGGAATTTACGAACGTTCCTATGTACAGGTAACAGATGGAAATCTAAAGAATGTCTTGAAATTCATAAACTTACGAAATAAAACAAACTCTGAATAGATAGAAAACAGCTGTTCGGTTGAGCAGAGGATAGCTTCACGTGACCTTCATTGACTTGGGAAAAGTGTGCAGCTTTTTGTTTGGAAGCGGGGTATAAGGGATTTATTCTGCCTCTCAGAAGTCAACGTGCAGCCTGTATTGCTCATGGCGGGGTATAAGAGATTCCTTCCCCTCCAAGGCGGAATACACAGTATCCAAGATCACGTGGACCAATCGGATCTCATCATTCTGACATGGAGATGGGTTTTTTTAAATTCAGAACTTACGACACGTGGCTCCGGTGTAGAATTCCCTACAGGCACACGTGCAGGTATCAGTGTTCAGTGTTCCTCCATTGAGACACGTCTTAGTGCATGTGTTCGTCTCTGAAAACAACACAAACTATCAACAACAGCACGAGAAGAAGGGTTTCTATTGATAGATGAATATAAGTATGTTGGCTTCCTAAATCAACGTGACTTTGTATATTTCAAACTTATAACAGTATCAATACCAGTTGAAAAATTATCTAGTTTACAGCAGAACATTAATATACCGTGCATTCATGTGCACACATATAATACAGAAATGGGCAATATCACGCAGGAATTTAAAGAATGTTTTGAAATTTCGAACTTACGACACGTAGTTCCAGTGTAGAACTCTCTACAGGCACACGTGCAGGTATCCGTGGTCAGTGTGCCTCCGTTTTGACACGACTTTGTGCATGTGTTCGTCTCTGTGATGCGAATGAGAGCCAGTTACTATTAGTTTTTATAATTTATGCTGCCATAGTTATTTTATTTATGACATAGGATACTATTGAAAGCTTATTTTACTTTTATTTTTCTAATTTATGGCATCATAGTCTTTCGAAGACATAGTTTCTGTAATGCAAAATTTAATGAAAACAAAAGCCTGAATAAAACAAACATTTCAAAACTTATTATTTTCTAAGTTTTTGTCACATCTATCACTCTGCCAGATTGGTGTTATTTAATAGCGGAACGATGGATTCGTGCCAGATACATAACAATTAGAACATAACTCGTACTATTCATCGATACATGCCTTCCAGAAATATTTGACATCATCTTGGTTTCTATTTGAAATTAAGAACTTACGACACGTGGCTCCAGTGTAGAATTCCCTACAGGCACACGTGCAGGTATCAGTGTTCAGTGTTCCTTCATTGAGACACGTCTTAGTGCATGTGTTCGTCTCTGAAATGCGAATAGGAATCATTACCCAGATATCGGTTTTGTATGACAAGGCTACCACATTATTAACATGCACTGGGTCAACGGTCCTGACCAAGAGGAAGTATGTCAGTTCTTTATATCCGCACATCGCTGCGAAATAGAAGTAAATAGTTTTAACTATTACTTTAACATGTATGCATGTGTTGTGTTCAATCTCCCGTGTGCCTTAAATACATGATGCAGCGCTGACTTCAGGGCAGTAACATTGATTGTACGCATATTTCTAGGTTCGATTGTAATTGTGTTCCAATGTTTTTTTATTAAGGGCACTGTCCATACCACACAAGTCCCCAGACGAACCCGTCGGACAAACACAGAGACAAGAGGTGCTGTTCAAAAAACCGTTGTTTAGGCACTCCTTGTTGCAAGTACCTGCAATAGAGAAAAAGGAATATATTCGTAAAACGTAATCATGATTCATGTACATATGATATAAAGGGCTGGCATTCTAGGGTATCAACCGGTTGCATCATGTGGCATGGTATGCTGTTATTTCCACTTAGAGTGAGAGAGTACGTGAGTATCGTCTTTTAAACCCTGCTTTTAGCAATATTCCAGTATATCACGGCGGGGGACACCGGAAAATGGGCTGAACATATTGTACCCATGTGGGTATATAATCGAACCCGGGTCAACGGCGTGACGAGCAAATGTTTAACTCCACCGCGCCTTCCCCATGGAAATAACTGACAATTTCAAAATCTGCTTGAAGTGAGGTAAAAATTGACGATTCCTTTTTCAAAATCTACGGAGTGCCTTAAAATTGCCTCGAAGTTGCATCCCCCCCCAAAAAAAAAAAGAGAAAAAAAAAATTAGCAAGAAAAAAAAAGAAAGAAGTGAAAACATACAGCACATGAATAAATAGATTGTAATGATAAACTGCCGGGCAAAGGAAGGACTACACCCATGTGTGAAGGTCGATACAAATGAAACAGAAACAAGAAACGAATATTCGATGGTGACGTATTTGATGTGGGTATCATTGTGATTGAACTACTTTGGAGAATGTTTTCAACCTGGTACTAAGTGTTCATAAAGTTTGTGGATGATGTGTCAGATCAAATGTGTATACGTTCCTTTGCCCGGCAGGGTATTTTCATACTTACGTTTTGTACACGTTTCACAACAAAGTCGTCTGTTATTTTCAGAATCACACCTGCTGACGAGATTGGCCGGGATGAATTCAGGGCAGGTTTGATTGAGGGGAGAGTAGACGATACCTGGCCTGTCTCCATACAAACAGTCCTCTACAAGGAGGATAACATAACACAAAGGCATCCTTAATAAAAGTTTCCATGACATTTTCAAATGGACATAACACTGCTATTGACATATGAAAATAGAACCTAAAACAACCTACAAGAATGACTTGAAAGGAAACATATACATTTATTATACCAGTGGGTTAAAGTTCTTACTTCGAGAATGTATAAAAAGAGGGAGCTGTTTAAAACTACCGATAACCTTTTTTTGTATTAAAATGTCGATAAATCATGCAAGGTGTCATGCTTATGGGTGTAACTAAAAACTCCTAAACCTTTTTTATAGTATGAAACACCCGATTAACGCCGGAGCATGTAATACTTCATGTCCATCTGACAATTATTATGTATATATCCCAAGTGGCCATGGGATGAAACATTATTTCACGCTTATACTTAGTGTTCACAAAATAGACTTTGGAAGTAGAAATTTTGCCAGGTGAAAACTCAACAAAACATTCACCTGAAATCCAGTCTCAATTTTGAAAGTATATGATCTTAATAGATATACAGCAAGAACAAATTACTGCGATAACATCCTCAACATACGGATTTCTAAAACAAAATTATATTTATAAAGATTTTTATTTAGAACGATATGGACAAAATATATTGATCACGCTTCTAAATGTGTGCATATTTCTGGGTTGGTTGGTTGGTTTGTTGTTTAACGCCGCACTCAGCAATATTCCAGCTATATGACGGCGGTCTGTAAATAATCGAGTCTGGACCAGACAGTCCATTGATTGATATCATGAGCATCGATCCACGCAATTGGGATCGATGACATGCATCAACCAAGTCAGCGAGCCTGGCCACCCGATCCCGTTAGTCGCCTTTTACGACAAGCATAGTCGCCTTTTACGGCAAGCATTGGTTGCTGAAGACCTATTCTACGCCGGATCTTCACGAGTCGCATATTTCTGGGTAGTGAAACTAACTACACGTATTACCCTATAGAACACAAGTATTGCTTGGCAGATCTAGACTGGGGGGATTGAATTTGTATTAAATATTATTTCAAAGTATCTTTTAACAAAATGTTTAAGGTGTCCATCCTCAGCTCAAAGAAACATTACAGTTCAAATATACAAAGAATAACTACATGGTTTCTAAAAACTTATAGAATTATACATAAGAACAAGAACAGTGTTATTTCAGCCATTGAGAAAGTACCGTTTGCGACAGGAGCGTCTTCCGAGTAGACACACACTCCTTCCTGACACCACTGAAAGGATACGAAAAGGATGTATTACATCTAGATCATAGATGTAGATGAAAGGATACGAAAAGGGTGTATTACAACTAGATCATAGATGTAGATGAAAGGATACGAAAAGGATATATTACATCTAGATTATAGATGTAGATGAAGGGATACGAGAAGGATGAATTACAACTAGATTATAGATGTAGATGAAGGGATACGAGGAGGATATATTACATCTAGATTATAGATATAGATGAAAGGATACGAGAAGGATATATTACAACTAGGTCATAGATGTAGATGAAGGGATACGAGAAGGATATATTACAACTAGATCATAGATGTAGATGAAGGGATACGAGAAGGATGTATTACATCTAGATTATAGATGTAGATGAAGGGATACGAGTGTGATATATTACATCTGGACAATATATGTAGATGAAGGGATACGAGAAGGATGTATTACATCTAGATTATAGATGTAGATGAAGGGATACGAGTGTGATATATTACATCTAGACAATAGATGTAGATGGAGAGATACGAGAATGATATATTACATCTAGACAATAGATGTAGATGGAGAGATACGAGAATGATATATTACATCTAGACAATAGATGTAGATGGAGAGATACGAGAATGAGATATTACATCTAGACAATAGATGTAGATTGAGGGATACGAGAATGATATATATTACATCTAGACAATAGATGTAGATGGAGAGATACGAGAATGATATATTACATCTAGACAATAGATGTAGATGGAGAGATACGAGAATGATATATTACATCTAGACAATAGATGTAGATGGAGAGATACGAGAATGATATATTACATCTAGACAATAGATGTAGATGGAGAGATACGAGAATGATATATTACATCTAGACAATAGATGTAGATTGAGGGATACGAGAATGATATATTACATCTAGACAATAGATGTAGATGGAGAGATACGAGAATGATATATTACATCTAGACAATAGATGTAGATGGAGAGATACGAGAATGATATATATCACATATGGAAAATAGATGAAGCTAAAGGTATACGAGAATGATATATCACATCTGAACAATATACGTAGTTGAAAGGATACAAGAATGTTATATTACATCTTGACAATAGATGTAGTTGTGTTGAACATGGAAACAGTTTATGAAGCAAACGCACGTCTTCGTGTTTGCGCAACCGTGAAGATCCGGGATAGAATAAGTCTTCAGCAATCCATTCTTGCCGTAAAAGACGACTATGCTTGTCGTAAGAGGCGACTAACGGGATCGGGTGGTCAGGCTCGCTGACTTGGTGGATGCATGTCATCGATCCCAATTGCGTGGATCGATGCTCATGATATTAATCACTGGATTGTCTGGTCCAGATTCGATTATTTACAGACCGCCGTCATATAGCTGCAATATTGCTGAGTGCGGCGTTAAACAACAAACCAACCAACTTCGGGTTTGCGATGTGGACTTTGCTCAGCAAGATATATTGGTTTTTTTTTTAATTTTGTAGAGGAATACTTACCAAAGTGATAGTTTTATCATTTGCTTATGTATTTAAACTGAAGAGTAAAACAGTATTCCAGTTATATCGCGGCGTGTCAGCTTAATGTGGGAGGAAAGCCCGAAGTGATATAGGTCTCAGACGTTTACCATTTCGGTGAAACCCATGAGCACGGGTATGGTGCTGACAAACCTAGAAACGTAATCGGGATTCGACCCCACAATCATACGTTTCTGGTGTGTCCAAGGGACGCAACTCTGCACAACGAATTGCGGCGCCTCAGACGACTGGGCCAAAGTTATCTATAGTTAGCGATATTATATCAAAAACATGAACTGTATTGGCGCTTAGTCAGAATACTTTTACATGGTTATATTTGTAAAGAAATATAATTTGATTTAAACTTTTAAAAATAAAAATTACAAACTTCTTTTACTTCACGTGCTTTGAAAATCTATAAATTAGCCTTATTGTTTAACAGATGGATGCGAATGTACAACATTTAAAATTGATAGGGATTATTTGGTTGCACATTTCTTTCTTACTCCAGTCTTCTTTGAACCAATTTACTTTTTTCAAAACGTCAACGAGACACATATTACTTTTACAAACTGTTGCAGGACTGAGTGATGGATAAATGCACATAATCATATTTAACAAGAGTTTCAAACTCAAATGCATAAAAACCAAGCTCTGTATGCTTCACCTTGCCCCTCAGTTTATATGCATCTCCAAAGAAACATTTGCTCTTATAACATTAGAAACGAACTTCCTGGAAACCTCTGACATTAGCCTTTATGGCGCATTTTGTCACCTGTGCATCTAGTGTTGGCATCGTTCGAAATACGCAAATGTTGAAATGAGGTTTAACATCATTCATATCAACCCTTTCATAATCTTTCATAATGATTTGTAAATGTTTTCTTCAGTTCTTTATATATGCAAATCCAGTGGAACAAAACGATACATAATCATACATTGCACTTTCAAGATCAACGAACCTTAAGTATAACCCACTGGCCAGGTTGGGATGCTGGAGTAACTTTTGTTTTTTTACTTCTTGTTGTCACACTCAGCAATTGCCAAGCTACATGTTTATGACAGCGATCTGTAAATAATCGAGTCTGGACCAGACAATCCAATGACTGACACTATGAGCATCGATCAACGCAAATGGGATACGATGCGATGCAGTGGTGCTGACTACCCTATCCTGTTAGTCACCTTCTACGACAAGTATGGTTTGCTGAAGACCAATTCTAATCCGGATCCTCACATGACTGCTGGGTTTAACTGCATTAATTGTCCAACATTGTCTAATATAAATTATGAACGGTTTGGTTTCTTGGAATTATCTTACCTTTTTATCGCCACACGTGGTTCCTCTTGCAGCATAATGCCACCAACATTTGCCATTTTCTGGATTAAGGCAGGACATCTTCTGGCACACTGTGATGCCCGTCAAGTCCACACCCTGTGATTGTCAACAGCCAACATCATTATACATCCATCATCCATATACATGTAATTGTCACTGTTTTTTAGCCCAAATGAATCTGTTTCTGATAATGGTTATAAAATGCATTAGCTTTGACGTTTTATACTTTTAGTGCGTTAGTTTCGCGACAGTACCGCGGTAGGATCGCGAATGTACTGTTGTACAATACCACAATTACCGCTATATTTTCGCGAAAATACCGCAAAAACGTTTTACCTACCACAGTTGTAGAATTTCCAAGCCAAAATTTGTACGGTCATGTTTAGGTAACATTCGTGAAATTAAAACTTTAATATCTTTGGTATTCAAACGTTTATCCGTGCCTATCCCAATGCTGCATTTTCAAAACTTACGAATCCCAATGAGATCTGCATCATAGTATGAGTGAGAAAGTGAGTGTGGTGACGTACTCATGCTTCAACAACTCGCTTACCCCACCACCGCACGTCTTAGTGAGTAAAACGTTACACCGCTTTTAGCAATATTCCAGCGGCAGGAGACACCAGAAATAGGCTTCACCCATTGTACCCATGGAACTTCAGCGTGATATTGCCCTAACTTCAGCGTGACGAGCGAAAGCCTAAACCACTAGGCTACCCGTTCGACCCACCCACCCCGCCCCGCCCCGCCCCACCCCGCCCCACCCCGCCCCACCCCGCCCCGCCCCACCCCGCCCCACCCCGCCCCGCCCCGCCCCACCCCGCCCCACCCCGCCCCGCCCCGCCCCGCCCTGCCCCACCCCGCCCCACCCCGCCCCACCCCGCCCCACCCCACCCCGCCCCGCCCCACCCCGCCCCACCCCGACCTACGTCGGAAGATCTTACCGTACACAAACGAGCGCCTGTACCATATATGAGTTGACACTGCTCATGCACATCATACTGTTGTCCGTGGAATTCCCCTGTTACATCAGGGACTGATACCTGTGGCAGAGACTCCAGGAGACACGCCTTGGAGAAATCAGTGCTGACACTAGGCGATAAGAAGTGAAATTTAACATGGCAATTACTATTACAAACACAGTGTTATCCCATAGGCCACATCTGTTACATTTGACCACTTTCTAAATTGCATTGTGTGTTCATAGCTTTCAGCCATGGGAGCCGTGCCAATTTATACTTGTCAGAGGGTGTACACAAAGTATGTGGAAGCCTCGGTAGCTGAGTGGGTTAGATCGCTGACTTCGTGTACTGGTAGTTAGGTGCCTTGGTAGTATGGTTCGAATCCCGACGGGACTCAAACCAAAAAAGTACAAGTATCTGTTTTCACAAAGAAAGTATTATCCCAAATATAACATGTGTTACATTTGACCACTTTCTACATGGCATTGTGTGTCAATATATGACATGTCTACATACGTTCCTTAAAATACTCAACAACACTTAGCGGAAGGGTCGTTGTTCGGATTGGTACGACAGGGGAGTACCCCGGGGGTGGTCATCTACAAACAGAATGTACCCAGTAATTACTAGAAGGCCCCTGCGTTTCCAGCCGATTTCCCAGATATGCGTAGCAGTGCGAAATACGAGATTAAGTTTGAGTTAGTGTGAAACTATCAAACACGGGTAATCGACTAGGTTCATCATGATCAACTCGAAAAAGGAGTATAACTATTACAGATCTTTATTTTGTAGATATAATTTTAATTTCTATATAGTTGTGATATAGTGATAGTACCGCGATAGTACCGCGATAGGGCCGCGATAGTGCCGCAAAAGTAGGTAATAGTGCCACGAAAGTGGCGCCATATTGGTACACTGCATGTACACTTCAGAAATGCTGTCATGCGTTACTTCCCCATGTATATCTGATGGATGTCGTTGTTTTGCCTGGGAACTGTACCTTTCGCTTGACAATAAAATCAAGTCACGGACTGATTTCCGTGATTTCGATGGGCTGTCTACACGTACTTTTTTTATTATCTTTGTTTTTTAATGCTGCAATGAATACCCCTCTGTAATGCCTTACAAGTACAAGTCTTGCACAACTCTGTTTTGCTTATCCTCTTACGTCAGTGTTACCTAGTACAATGTAAGCTATTAGTCAGGGCCTCGTTATTCCGAACCCCGTTAGACCGGAACCCTTTAGTCCGGACGCCATTAATCTTGATCGAGTTAGTAGTCCCGCTATTCCGACCTCCTTATATATTCCAGACCCCGTTAATCAGAATCCCGTTAGTTCTGAAGATGAACTGCATTCATCTAAACCCCATAAATACGGACCACTTTAACCCTATTGCTTAGGGTTTGGTTAATCCGCGACTCCCTTAATGCGAAATCAATATTTCTTCAGTAACACAGATGCAATGTCTACATAGGCACTTGACTAAAACCATGAAGAATAGTCCAATTTCAATGTCACCCGAAACACGTAGTTGTTTTCTTTTCATTTTTGTATCAAATAAGTCAACCAACGACCCAGTTCAAGCTGATCATACCTAATAAAAATATCACAACGGCAACAAAAATTGTTGAAAAAATAATATACGATGGGCTTTGGGGGTTCTGGCACAATCAGTTAGGCTCATCATCAGCTCAGGGCCTTTGCCTCCTCTGCACGCCGCCCAGACAGCGAATGGGACTTCTCCCAGGAAGCGCTGCCTGGTTGAACCCACCCAGAACTTTTCGGAGAATGTGAAGACTCCCTAACACTGTAGCCTTCTGCATTACCCAGATTGTCTGAAAGGCCGTGTTCCTAAGTACTTTACCAATGTCAGTCAACAGATTGGGCGGTACCAAACCTTAAACACCAAGAACAATGGGGAGCTGGACAACTTGGTACTTGGGATGCAAGCGTTACATTTCGTAAGCGATGTCCGCATATTTTTCATGTCTTTTCTGAATCTTGTCAATCACATTAGTGTCAAAAGGGACAGAGACTTCAATGATCAAAATGATTTCATTGGATTTATCGAAAAGGACAAGATCATGTTTGTTGGCCCGGATAGGTATGATGATGTATTCGGGGATATTCCAAAGAATGCTTCATAATTATCATTTTTCATGACGCTCTCTACATATACTGGGTCGTACCATGGATGGATCTCTGAGTCAAACCTACATCAGTAGTAGTAGTAATGGTAGTAGCAGCAGCAGCAGTAGTAGTAGTAGTAGTAGTAGTAGTAGTAGTAGTAGTAGAAGTAGTAGTAGTAGTAGCAGTAGTAGTAGACTGACAAGTTCAGTCTAACAAGGGCCTACAGTATTTGTTGCAAATAACAAATAGAACGTACGAAATAACAAAAGGGAATTACCTGCCCGTGAGGTAATTATTAACGTGGTTGTCCAAATAGTCCGCGGAGCAGCTGGAGAAGACGTAGGGGTTGTTGTTGGTGGTGTCGTATGTCCTTGGCGTGCTTGTCATGATGTAGTTGTCAGCGCTGTCACAGTCGTTCCCGAAAGCAGTACCATCGTGTCTAAAGCTGAGACTATACGAGGGAGGCGAAGAGAGTCACAGAGTGATACACTACTTCAATACATACAAAACAAACGGGACGAACATGCTCACGGAATAGTGGGAGTCATACAATCAATCAATCTTTATTGTATGAAAGGCCATTGGCCCATATACACATACAGATAAACAATATCATTTACAGCTGTACAGCGCATTATATAATTATTGGATAACTAATATGATGCTTGACATGTAATAGAGGTATTGTAATAACAGTGGTATTAACCACAGTGGAAGCACTAGTAGTATAAAATACAATAGGAATGCAAAAGGAATGGAATGGAAATATGAAGTTTTACGTCGGAAAGGCTTTCAGCCATAGCGCGACGTTCAATACAAAAGGATCTATCAGTAATATACTCATCATGTCAAGCCAATTTGACAATTTAAATGTATATGCATTTCTTGTAGAAACAAACAAACAAAATGAAATGTAGATACTCCTGATCTAGATGCGAAAGTTTCAAAACAACTTATTATTTCTGGACATATCGGATTTACTAAGTAATTTACTACAAACTCGTAGACTTTGATAGATGTATTGTAATATCTTAGTTAATTTCTGACTAGGGATATCATTAAAGGATAATATTTTGTTCATGGAATAGTGGTTCTTAGTGATATCAGGCATATATTTCAATCTTAGGTTGTCGTAAATTGGACATATAAACAAAAAGTGTAATACAAAAAAAAGTCATACAATGGACTCGCAGTCTGTCATACCAGAGATCATATACGGTATATACTGTATTCTGGTCATACAGACCCTGAAACACATATAGCCAATATATCCAATGCAGTTCTATCATATTTGGCCAGTCTAAATCACTGCAGTTTCTGAAGATGAAGTCTCTTGTCTCCCTTTTAATAAATTTTATAACTTGTTTTTCTGTAAAATATGTTCATTTCAGAGACTAGATGTCAGTCTTTGTCTTTCGTCGATTTCTTATGAATATGGAAAGGGTTTTGTAGCTTTTATTGTCACAACATATGGCATTTATGATGTTAAATAATTCACTGGTAGCAGATAATTCACTGGTTAACTATTATGAGTGAGTGAGTGAGTTTAGTTTCAACAGTATTTCACCTATACTACGGCATGTCAGCTTGTTGTGAGAAGTGGTTCAGATCTTTGGCGTTTACCACAGGGGGAAATTGCAACACATTGTTGCGTGGTGATATTTACTGAAACACCATATGGCAAGGTAGTTGGAGACAACGTTGCTGTCGTTTACAACGATGTTGCGCAATGTTATACCGATACTTCGTCGTACAGACAGGCTCGGAAAGATGCACATAACCAAATAAACAAATACAAACAGATTATTGGAGAATTTTATTGGAACACGAATCAGTTGGTGTTGCTGCTTACCTGTGTCCAATCTCATGCGCCGTTGTCCTGACGTCAGCAGTAAAGTGAGACTGGTACTGAACAATGGACACGCTTTTACTGGTCGGAGATATACATGCCTGTGCAACCGACGCGAGACCTGGGAGGAAGATAATCACACATAGTGTTTAATATAATCATAAATTGTACCTTGATATAATCATAATAGTTTCGTGATATACTCATAAATAGTAACTTAAGATAATCATAAATAGTATCTTAAGATAATCATAAACATTATCTTAAGATAATCATGACTAGTATCTTAAGATAATCATAAATAGAATCGTAAAATAAACATAAACAGTGTCTAAATATAATCATGAATTGTACCTTGATATAATCATAAACGGTTTCTTGATATAATCATAAACAGTACCTTAAGATAATCATGAACTGTATCTTGATATAATCATATATAGTATCTGAATATAATCATAAACAGTTTCTGGATATAATCATAACAGTTTCTTTATATCATCATGAATAGTATCCTAATATTTTATCACAAATAGTATTTTAATATATAATCATAAATAGTATCATAATATTATCAGAAATAGGATCTTAATATGTAATAATAAATAGTATCTTAATATATATCATAAATATATCTAAATATGTGATCATAAATAGTATCATAATATTATCATAAATAGTATCTTAATATATAATCATAAATAGTATCTTAATATGTGATCATAAATAGTATTTTAATATTCAATCATAAATGGTATCATAATATAATCATAAATAATATCCTAATATGTAATCATAAAGTGTATCTTAATGTGTTATCATAAATAGTATCTTAATATATAATAATAAGTAGTATCATAACAATATCAGAAATAGTATCTTGATACAATCATGAAATATGAAAGTCAGGAAAATCCATTTCAAACATTTCAAGAATCGGAGACGGTTTGTAGCGGTGTTTATTTACACAATTTAGTTCTGTTTGTGTAGCAACGATGTCAACGTATTTGCTCGTCACGATGGAAAGCCGGGTTTGAGACCTTCATGCTTCTCCTTCCTCTGCCTAGATGAGGCTGGAAATTGCTACAAGCGGCGTAAAACTCCACCCAATCACGCACTCATTTGAGTGACGGGGGAAAATTTAAAGCAACTTTTTATTAAACCTTTCCAGTTGTGTTAGGTTTAAGTAAACCGAGTGTTGGTTACTGGGAGTCGAATCCGAGTGCCTCTACTATTGCACAAGAGAGTGAGTGAGTGAGTTGAATTTAACATGCTTTTAACAGTGTTCTTGTTGTCTGACGGCGTGGTATCTAAATGTGGGAGAAAAGCCCGAAGTAATGCAGTGGTGACAACCACGAGCACCGTATGGTTCTTGACAAACCTAGGAACAGAATTGAAGCGAACCTTGATTCGTATCAGCAATCATAGGTTTCTGGTGCGCCCAGTGACTTAGACTACGTGGCCACTCGTGCCCCGAATCATTTGAGATATGAAATCAATAAGTAATACTTTTTATCAAATTTGAGGTCATCGGTGTAATACCTATGCATTTTCGTAACCTTATTTCAAAATACCTACGACAATGATTGTGAAAACAATACGTTTTATTAAAACAGATTCGCTTCTAATGCGACGCGGCCGCAGTTATTGTGATTTGAAACCTTTGATTGACCAATCAGAATCGTTTATTTTCCAACCTCATTTCGCAATAGATTCATATCCTATTCATTAGTCACAGGGAGGTATTTGGATACATAGCCTAAGCTAATAAGTAACATGTATTTACCGTTTACATCGCTTATTGTCCCATCAGTTTTGTTCCAGTAGATGTCCACACTGAAAGTAAATATTCAAGTAATTTACAATAAATGTCTTGATAAGACAAACACAAAGGGAGCTTAAAATATGTTCGGTATACCCAGAGTCCGTTTTTTACATCATCGTAACGTTGATCACTACGCGGAGGAGGGATAAGGGGCTTTTTGTTTCACTGGGAATGTATTTTTTATGTTGTGGAAAATATATACAAATGGACCACAACTGGCCAATTTTATTTCTTAAATTTCCAAATGTTGGATCAAATACATAAACCCATGATTATGTCTAAAATGAGTGAAGAGGTTGACATGAAAACTAATCTAAGTAGGAGTATGTATGTTATCAAAGATTTTTTAAATATGCTTTTTATTGTTTTTGTCTACATCTTTCTAAAAAAACTGCTTGGTTAATGACTATTGAAAAAACCCGTCCCAAACATACAGTTATTGAAATAAATTGTCCTTTATGAAAAGGGTTGATGTGGATGAGTATTCGTTACATCTAATGTCGGTATTGTAGAAACATTTGTAAACGAGACATGAAAACTCCATTTTTTTCAAACAAGATGGCAATGCAAACTTTTGGAAGAGGAACCTTTAAGTCAAATTTCTTTCACGTTTGTCTCAAGCTACGAATACGTCAATGCACATAATGTTCTGATCCTCGAACTTCGAATTAATGAGATTTCATATAAAGCGATTTTGCGAATATTCACGTACTGACGCCTTTTACGACGAACATAGGGGGCCAATTCTAACATAGTAACATCGCCGGTAACATAGTAACTCCCAGTAACTGGCAACTGCCTGTTGGGATTACAGAACAGAACGAACGAGGTCTATGTACTCTTGCTTGAGTCAGAACCCGGATAACAGGCCGTCGTGATGTTACTGGGATATGGCGGACTGCAGCGCCCAACAACATCCACGTGCACGTTCATACCTCGTGAAGGACACCAGGTGGTCATGAGACGGGAAGCCGGGTGTCTTTGCCAGATCCCACATGGTGTCAAGCAGGACCCCCGCTTCAATCTTTGTCTGATCGGCCTCAGTCTGTCGGACACCATCAAACCAATCGCCACTTTCTACGTCCTGTAAAATGATGTCGCGCATATTCATTGTTTTCGAAAGAAAAATATAGGACAAAGGGGGTGGTAATAGTTTACTGTTATTAATGTGTTAGCCTTTTAATTCCAGACTACAAAAGGTCGGGGTTCGATCCTCGGCCGTGTCATACCAAAAGATGATAACAAATGATGGTACTTATTGTTACCCTGCCAGGCGCTCTGCATTAAGAGGCTAAAACTGTGTCCAAGGGGGCTATTCATGTTAAACTGAGGCATGGTATCTCAGCGGGTTAGCACTAGTCTCTCTCTCTCTCTCTCTCTCTCTCTCTCTCTCTCTCTCTCTCTCTCTCTCTCTCTCTCTCTCTCTCCGTCATTCCTTGTGATTCTCAGATATCATCTCATTCTTCTTAAACCTATGCGTGCGTGAGTGAGTATTGTCTTACGTTGCTTTAAACAATATTTCCGCTAAATAATGTTGGGATGTGTCAGTTTGATAGCAGAGATACATTGTCTCGCAATACTGCCAAACATCAATCTTAAAGTCCAACATATAAGGACTGGCAAATATACGTTGTCTCGCAATAGCACCAAGCACCAACTTTAGCGTCCCATATAAGGTTGGACAAAAAAATATATATCTCGCAATAGTGCAAAGCATCAATCTTATCGTCCAATACAAGGACTGCCAAATATGCTATGTAGTCTGCGAGAGCGCCCTGAATAGTTGTTCACTGCTTACCTCAATAATAAATCCAGCTAGTTTGATGTGTACGTTCGCCGACGCTGTTTTGAACCTCAGATTAACCTACAACAGTATACTGGATAATGCATAAAAGACAAATAGAGACATAATGTCATAGAATGCTTTATAGTGGACAATGCATAAAAGACAAATAGATACTTATGGTCATGGAACGCTTTATAGTGGATAATGCATACAAGACAAATAGATACATAATGTCATAGAACGCTTTATAGTGGATAATGCATACAAACAAAATAGAAACATAATGTCATAGAACGCTTTATAGTGGATAATGCATACAAGACAAATAGAAACATAATGTCATAGAACGCTTTATAGTGGATAATGCATACAAACAAAATAGAAACATAATGTCATAGAACGCTTTATAGTGGATAATGCATACAAGACAAAATAGAAACATAATGTCATAACGCTAACAGACATGACGTTAGAAACAGAAGAGTAATAGAGGTGACAATTTAGATTTTGTCCATTTTCAATACAAAAGTACAAAACTACAAACCTACAGACTTCTGACAAACCAAGAATAATTATCAGGGCGAACTTGGACTTGAACCAACGATCATACGATTCTGCCACACCTAAGGGACGCAACTCCGCTCAACGAATCACGACTGCTTAGAAGACAGGGTCACCCTCAGACTGGATGTTTTAACATTTGTGTTCTCCGTTGTGATACGCTTGTATACGTACCAAAATAATTACCATTCTAACAAAGATAGGCAGGTAATCGATGTACAGTAGTCTGGCTACATTTCCAAAGATAAAAGTCAGATGGTGGAATGTTCGCGTTACTTCAGGTTATATTTCGAGTTTGATTTAGAATTAAACAATAATCGATAATCGGATCTGTGAATGTGATGGCGATTCTAACGTTTAAGTTGGGGTTTGAGCGGGGTATTCTTGCATTGTCATAAAAGTAGTAGTAGTAGAATAGCTGTCTCTAATTATTAGTAAGCCTCTATGAAGTGAATACGGGATTTTTCACAGGCCGCCATCTTAGACTGACAGCTCTGCATTGTGCAGTCATTGTCTGGACCTGGTTTTGAGTGAGTGGGTGAATGAGTATGGTTTTACGCCGCTGTTAGCAATATACCAGCAATATCGCGCGGGGGAACACAAGAAATGGGCTTCACACATTGTACCCATGTGGGCAATCGAACGGGGTCCTTCAGCGTGATCAGCGAACGACTAAACCACTAGGCTACCCTACCGTCCTTTAGTGATGACCTAGGGTACCCGGATCAGCATTTTGTGGATAATGCCACAGTCATTGATCTCTTGACACTGTTAGTCTTATGATATACATTGAAGATGAAACTTGGGTACCTACAGCATTGAAAATATGAGCAAAGTTTCGTCGAATATTGTCCAGGGCCTCTAGACGTTTTTCAGCGGCTGTTCCGTCCGATGAGAGCAGCAGCCATCTACGCAAGGATAAGACATATGGACCAACAATCAAGCAAGTGATGGTTGACAAGAACATCTCCGGTTATGAGGTGGTCTTTAAACAGTATACATGTATTAGATCGGAGTGTAATTATACAATGACACTGTATTGGAGAATCATGTTATGGATGATGAAAGGTAAACATATTAACAAGTTAAGCAAGTGCGGTGAGGTGAAATGGGGTTTAACATCGCGTCCAAGATTATTGCACTGATATATCGACGCGTGTGGCTGCTTGTACTAGTCCGGACTGATACCGATTTTTAGTGCTAGCCCACTGAAATACCATGCCGCAGTATATCATGAATATCCCACTCAGTTTACTGACTCTGAGCCGGTCAGCGTTTTAACCCCTTAATGCCGTGCACCAGGCAGGGTAAAAAGAGGTAGCATCTTTGAATGTCTTTTGATATGACGCGGCCGGGGATCGAAGGCCGACCTTTCACTCACCGGGCTGACGCTCTTCCACTAGACCGCGGAGGAAATTAGTATAAACAATAGCCAGTAGTATAATCAATAGCCAGTAGTATAAACAATAGCCAGTAGTATAAACAATAGGATTATGACTGTTTTGGTCTTTGATGAGTTCATGGTACGAAGGGGGTATGTAATAGCCTTGATCACACTTGATTGATGGCTGGAGCCTTTTGATGCACAGAATATGGTTGTAAAATCAAACATGAAATCATAATAAAATGTTTGACGTGACAAACATGTGACGTCACGTCAAACATGACGTCAGAAAATCCGTACAATCCGGCCAAAGGACTTTATGGCATTTTACATGACGTCATCTGACTAACCAGAATCTTTAACAAGAAGTGATAAATGGACCTCGTTTTGGACGGAGTAATTATAAATCTAAAGAAACCTTTCGAACGTTAATCTGGAATATACACCTACATTAACATTTACACAAACGATTAGTACGGAATTATAAAATTATTATATTTAGATATTCTACAAATTGTGATATAAATGAGTTGAAATATATTTTAATCATAGTTACCTTTCATATACAGAGTTCTCTATAAGCGCCATTACATCGATGTACACGTCACTTGTTATGATACGGGCAAGGTCTGAACCAGCTTTTGGTACTGACAATGCATCACCGTCATCTGAAGTACGAATATTGTGATATGAAAACTGTAAAGAACTGAAACTAGCACATGTTTAGGAAACAATATTTGTTTGATCAAAACCATTGTTTTGGAATTGAACACGGAAGATGAAGCATTTTCTTTTCATTTTTCTTTTGTTCAATTTATATTTTTACAAAATAATCCCAGCCCTACCATCAAGATATTGTCCAGCGTTAAAACCAGGGGCGCTCCCTCCTTCCTCTGTCAGCGTGTATATGTCGATGTAGTCCAGCCACGGAAATGTATTCGTTGCTTTCGACATCTGGTACTCCTTGCCATCTGAGAGCACCAAGGATCCGTCCTGTTATAAAAGGCAGTAACAATGAAAAGTATAGATATACAATTAGCTCGAACATATGTTTTAAAAACTAACCAAGAGTGCAGAACGCTTTCCTTACTCTTTTTGTCAACACGAAAGAGGACATAATTGATTGGCATCCACTTAAACCATGCGTGTGAGTGAGTTTGGTTCAACAGTTTTCCAATTATATCACGGCGTGTCAGGTTAATCTGGAATGAGAGCCCGAAGTGATGCAGGTCTCAGACATTTACCACTTTAATGAAACCCACGAGGACGACAATGGCGCTGACAACCCAAGAAACATAATCAGAGAAACCTACGATCATAGGATTCTGTTATGCATAAGGGAGGCAACTTTACACAAAATGGGCTATGTCGTAGTGTTTGGACTCGAAGGCGACACATTTTTATTTTTTTATAAATTTGTAAGAATGATGCTCATGAAGAGCATTTTGTTCTTATTCAACTATTTGAAAGCAGGACAAAACACAAAGAGACATGAATCTCAAATTCATTACTGATCATAGTTAGCGGAATAATTTTGCCCAAGGTGAATGTTCACCTGGCTAGTCACTTGTAAATGAAAGTAGAAAGTGAACTTATTGAGGTAGGGAAAATGACTGACATTTTGTAGTTGCCGCGTCCGTCCGTATTACTCCAAATTAGCAGCTTTAATAGCTGTCTAAGATCAAAATAATGTCCATAAAAACGATCTGTTTTATAATGTCCCCTGCTCTCGATGATTATGTTTGTTTGTTTGTTATATAACGCCGCACTCAGCAATAGTCAAGGTATATGACGGCAATCTGCAAATAATCGAGTCTGGTCCAAACAATCAAGCGATTGACATCACGAGCATTGATCTATGCAATTGGGATACGATGACATGCATCAACCAAGTCAGCGAGCCTAACCAGCCGATCCCGTTAGTCGCCTCTTTCGACAAGCATAGACGCATCTAACGACAAGCATGGGTTGCTGAAGAACTTTTTTAACCACGATCTGCTGTCGATGGTTGGGTAGATAGACGGATATGTGTTAAGAGCGGAATGGTATGTACTTACAAGGATATACCGGCGTTCGCTTGAACCCAGGATCTTGCAGGTGACCTCAAATTGAGCCAGATTGGTATCCGCTTGGTACATTGCTGACACCTGAAACGTATAAATCACTTACATCAAGTAGGGTTAACTCGTATAATTATACAATTAGGGGAGGTGAAATTGGGTTTAACGTCGTTATATAGCGACGTGTGTGTGTGTGTGTGTGTGTGTGTGTGTGTGTGTGTGTGTGTGTGTGTGTGTGTGTGTCCGCTAGACAACAGTGACAACATTAATTTATTGTGTGTCTTCATCATATGAATGTTTGAAAGTCAGAAGTTGTTTGATCAAGGTTACAATAGTCAAGGTCTACGCGAAGCCTTCAAAAAGTTTTATGGTGGACATGTAAAGGACATTTCCAAATTTTACGCACCAGTTACTGAAATGATGTCCGATGCAATTCCCTATTTTGACTAGGTTCAGGTGAACATTTGACTTGCTTTTGCATGTGTTTGTGACGGGTGCCACCGTTGGGACAGGATACACTCACCTTTTCGCGAACACCTGGTATCATCACTATTTGATAGTGATTCATTAAAACATCCCCATAGTATAGTCGGAATCGTACCATCGAATCTGATTTTGGCTGAGATTTCTTATCAATATGGAAAGGATATTGATATCAAAGTTCCCGCTTGAGATAATCATGAGAACATAGTTACGCCTCTATATTAAAGATATTTGACGAAACAGTATGGCTGGAAATGAAAGTGAGTGAGTTGGTTTTGACGCCGCCTTAAATAGTTCCATCACGGCATCGCCTCTTAATGTAAGAGGAGAGTGATGCGGGTCTTTGACGTGAAACGCGATAACGGGTGTGGAGCTAACATAATTAGGGATTCGAACCCACGATCATAGGATTCTGACAGCCTAAGGGATGTAAGCTTTCACAGCGAATTTGGACCCCCCAGCTGAACTTAAAAAGTTTCAAGGACATGAGCTTGTTTATTCCTCCTTTCTGCGCAGCACAATATAGATCTGATGGACATCGACGCATTTATTTGTAAATATACTGTACCTTTACTCCGGATAGACTGTCCTTGATGAAGATGGGAGACCCAGATTTGCTTTTTCTCATGAGCAGCACGGGGGTCTTCTCCTGCATATCGGTGTTGAGGGAGAGGGACAGCGTGACGGTTTCCTGGGGGGAGCGGATAGTGACGGGAAGCACAGACGGGAGTACACACGTGTCAGAGGCGGGAAGGTCATCCTGGAATACGGTCACCCTTGCAGTGAGAGCTGGATAACGTACAGAAAGTGTACAATTGTTGGGTTGATGGTCGTGATAATAATGATGATGATGATGATGATGACGACGACAACGATGAGGGTGGTGATGATGACGACGACGTTGATGCTGCTGCTGATGCTGATGAATAAATGATGATGGAGGTCATGATACTGATGATGATTATGGTTATGGTGGTGATGATGATGATGATGACGACAATGATGAGGGTGGTGATGATGACGACGACGTTGATGCTGCTGCTGATGCTGATGAATACATGATGATGGAGGTGATGATGATGATGATGATGATAATGATTATGGTGATGATGATGATGATGATGATGATGATGACGACAATGATGAGGGTGGTGATGATGACGACGACGTTGATGCTGCTGCTGATGCTGATGAATACATGATGATGGAGGTGATGATGATGATGATGATGATAATGATTATGGTGATGATGATGATGATGATGATGATGACGACGACAACGATGAGGGTGGTGATGATGACGACGACGATGATGATGATGCTGATGCTGATGGATACATGATGATGGAGATGATGATGGTGATGATGATGATGATGATGATGATGATGATGTGTATGTGATCATGATGATGATTAAATGATGATGGAGGTGATGATGATGATGAGGATGAGGATGAGGATGAGGATAATGATAATGTGATGATGTGTATGTGATTATCATGGTGTTTACATAATGATTATCATGTGGAGATCAAACAGAGATGATAATGACTTTGCAAGGGTGATGTGATGACACCGATGAGGACAGGATAAAGATGATTTTGAGGTATTGGCGATGCTAGTTATCAAATGATTTTCATAATGTTGATCAGATATCATGACGACATGATGATAATAGGTGGCATGATGATATGGTAGGGTGAGATGAATATGATAATAAGGTGGTATGGTGATACAATGGTGATGCTGACGAAGAATAGATTACACATCCAACGTTTGACTTGGGCGATAAAAATACAGTAAACTTCTCTTCTGGTGTTAATTTGGAGCGACCTATTTTACTTCACAAACAAATTTCACGTAGTCCGCTGTTTGTTTCGATTCCATATCGAGGACCAATGAATGCTATGTTAAACTGCGTCCTTCGAGAAGTTTGGCGACAAACTATCTACTCGTTTAACTAGACAGGAGCCCAGTCAATCTCGGTTCGGTGACTCAGAACCAGTTGTGCAGCACATGTGGCCCAGTCGTCTAAGGTGCCGCAATTCGCTGTGCAGAGTTGCGTCCCTTGGGCACACCAGAAACCTATTATTGTGGGTTCGAATCCCGGTTCGCCCCGATTATGTTTCTAGGTTTGTCAGCACCATACTCGTGCTCGTGGGTTTCACCGAAGTGGTAAACGTCTGAGACCTGCATCGCTTAGGGGCTTTCCTCCCATATTAAGCTGACACGCCCTGATATAACTGAAATAATGTTAAAAGCGGCGTTAAACCCAACTCACTTACTCACTCACTCATCTGTTGAAGAAGACCATAGATGAACTGGCCCCAAAGTGCGGTTGGTTGATTAAGCTTCATGTACACGATTGGCAGCTGCCCATTTTTTATTATTTGTTTTGTAGAATCAAGGACAAAGCATGCATACATATGTATATGAAAAAATATAAGGTTCTGTAGAACTGTTTGGTTGTGTTGTGTTTCCCTTATAATTTGCTATGATGTAATTGCGTGACGTACACTGTAAGAATTGTTTATTTATTTTGTTCGCTCTTGGCAACATTCAAGTTATATGACGGTTGAATGTGAATAATCGAGTCTCGAGCAGACAAACTAATGATTAATGTTATGAGCAACAATCTATGCCGTCGAGGTACATCGACACGCTATCAAGTCCCCCAGACTGACTACCCCCAAGCAACAAACACAGGCACGGGGAGGCTGGTTTGAGGATGAGGGCGATGCTAGAGACGAGTGCACATGACATAAATATTTGTCACACGGTACATGATTTCCATCTGAATAAAAAGTTCTGTTATTGATTAAACTGTTCTCACCTGTTGACCTTCTTCTGCAGTATATGTAAACAGGCCTACAGCGTTATACCTATACTCCCCAGCTGAATATTCATATTGCCGGAACTATATTGCCGTCAAGTTTCACGTCTAGATATGAATATTTTTTCTGAATCAAAGAATTGGAAACTCTAATGTAAATACTTCTAACGATGAGTCGTCGGTCTTGACACAAAGAAAACAAGTCAGCGTTACATCCTTACATGTTAGAGTGATACATTGACTCTAAAACCAACTATATGGCTATTTAAACTTTTGAAAATTGCGACTGTTGAGGTCGGAGAGCTTTAATGAGGTGTATCAACAGACGAGTGATGGATTATGTCTTGTACTTTACTTTCTGTGTGGGGACTCCCTGGGTAAATATACCATTGTCCACCATCTTTCCAGAGATGTTACCTTCTGCTTTAATGTCAATATCAAGGTGACAATGGTAACTGTTCCTTTTTTTGTTGCTGCGTTACGACTACACATGTGGTAATGTGTCAGGTGAGTGAGTGAGTGAGTGTGTGAGTGAGTGAGTGGGGTAAGGAGAAAAGAGGGATGGAAAGAGAGGAGGGAGGGAAAGAGTGGACGAGTGATGTTAAGAACTTAACACAACCTAACCACCCAACAGCATTTAAAACAACAAAACATGATTGCCTTGCTATTGATTCTAAGCCTTTGAATCCGTTAACCAAACAATACAAGAATATCTACATCTATCCAAAAGTGCATCTCGGTTTTAAGATGGGGCAGGAGGAGAGGATCAGCCTAGGTGTGTGAATCACTTACACCACACTTCATATATTTAATTGTCATGCATAAAAGCAATCAGTCAAACAAACACGTTGATTCACGATACAACAATTGCAATTTTGGTTGTATGGTCTAATGTCTTTTGCGGAGGGAGTTATATTTCATTGATTAATAGACTAGTTATTATTGCTCATTTAACGTTTATTTATTTCACAATAAACAAATGTTCTGATTTTACGTTTGAATAAACACCATTGTAACCTCCAAAGTAATTTATTTGCATTTTCAACAACAGGCTAAATAAGCGCATCGTATAATATTTGTAATCACTGACAGTTATTTCTAACTTTCGTACAACACATAAGAATCTTATTCCAACAGAGTTGCAAGTTATTATTCCTTGTGATGTAGTCGGAAATAACTTAACGGAAATCATGATATCAAAACTGAGAAAAAAAACCCAGATAACTTGCAGATATCTAAGAGACCACTAACAGGATCTGGTGGTCAGGCTCGCTGACTTGGTTGATGCATGTCATCGCATTCCAATTGCATAGATCGATGCTCATGATATCAATCACTAGTATCTTCCCGACCTTCATCAATGAGATGTTTTGGCGATATATTTGGGTACACGTTGTAGTACATTTATCAAACGAGTGATTTGTTTGGGTACACGTTGTAGTACATTTATCAAACGAGTGATTTGTTTGGGTACACGTTGTAGTACACTTATCAAACAAGTGATATATTTGGGTACACGTTGTAGTACATTTATCAAACGAGTGATATGTTTGGGTACACGTTGTAGTACATTTATTAAACGAGTGATATGTTTGGGTACACGTACACGGGGGTCGTAGGCGGGCGAAGGTGGAGGAGTTTGTCTGTGTGGGTTTAATTGAAATAAGTAACTGTTGAACGAAATATAATTTATCAGTACTTTGCTCAAGGTTCATTACCTTATTCCATTTGTACCATCGTTGGCGGTTTTGAGTGAATACATGAATCTCAATCTGTTATTGTTATCAATGTTCAAATGTACTAATTTCAGCAACGGTATTGGAGAAAAAAAGAAATTCCTTCGTTACTATATAAAGTTTGTATTTATTCTTACATTCAACACAAGAAAATGAATCAGATGTCCTCGCCTTCAGGCGATTACGTTGATTCCTTATCTACACCAATATATATATATATATATATATATATATATATAGTGAGTGAGTTGGTTTAACGCCGCTTTCAACAGTATTCCAGTTATATCACGGCGTGTCAGCTTAATGTGGGAGGAAAGCCCGAAGTGATGCAGGTCTCGGACGTTTACTACTTCGGTGAAACCCACGAGCACGGGTATGGGTGCTGGCAAACCTAGAAACATAATCGGGGCGAACCGGGATTCGAACCCACGATCATAGGTTTCTGGCGTGTCCAAGGGACGCAACTCCGCACAGCGAATTGCGGCGCCTTAGCGAATTGCGGCGCCACCCGTGCCCCCCCCCCCCCTCCCATATCCCCATATATATATATATAATCCAATCAACCTGTACTAACTTTCGTATCCATCGCAAAGTTGTATTGCCTTTTTCTGTTCCTTGAAGTTTATATTTTATTTTACGTGTATTTTGCCTTTAAAAAACAAAACGAGTAGGATGAGAAAATAGTAAAACACATACCTGTCTGGCCAGGGGCGAGACATACTGCCAGGACGCAAGCCAGATAGAGCCACGGGGAGGAGTCCATCTTCATCTCTATCACACCTCACACAACTGCACGAGGATGCTGCGTCACATCCACATGTATACCCCAGTCACGTGACGTAGTGCATGAGTGAACACATGGTACAGATCTTATTGAAACAAGGTTAGGCAAATTTGCAATGATGGTGATCTGAGTCATCTTCTGAGATTTGCATTGAATGGTTGTCACGACATGGTGGACGACATATGTACAATGTAACTTTTTTTCCAGATCCGTGTTTGCCATGTCAACACTTCAAGGATGTAGTCTCTGATTTGTAAGCGGGGAGGAAGATATACAGACCTTTGTATGCTTTCAATGGAAAAATCTGGCAATGATGAAGTTTTGTTATATGTGTGCCAACTGTTTTGTTGTCATTCTTGACGTGTTAAGGCTGGTGAATTCATAAAGACTATTCAGATGAAACGATATTGAACAAATGTGAGATTTCTGTATTAGTAATATTTTTTATCATGAACATATTTGTACTTGTGTCTGAAGTGAAATTTTAGTTATGTCTGAATTACTGCTTTGTCTGCTGCCAGTTCGCGAAACACTTGAAGTAAGGAGGCGACTCAACTGCAACTCAACAAATTGTATTTCGCTTAAGAAAACTGTGGAATGCCTTGTTTTCCTCAGAATTCTTGACATGCGTCTCAAGAGGTTCATCAGACAAAAACATGTGTGCGAAAGTGCACAATACAATTCTATCATGACTTTTGTTGATGCATGTCAGACCTGAAGACCTTTGACATAGTATTAGAGCTTGTTATCATTTCATGTGAAACAGATTGTAGAAAATAATTAAAGCGACGTAGAGTGGATCCTATGATTTCATGTTTGTGTAGACTGCGTGCGTGTGTGCGTGCGTGTGCGCGTGGGAACATTGTTCTAGCTACTCAACGACGGCCTGCAATTAACCGAGTCTGTAACGGACAATCCAGTGATCGATATTGTGCTTTACAATCCACGTCATCGGGGGCGTGCAGACAACAACGTCGCCGAGCCCGACTACGCGATCCATTAATTCACCTATAACGATCAGCATGGGTTGTTGGAGACCAGTTCCAACCCTGAATCGCCACCGGGTGCATGCTGGTTGTCGTAATTAGGAAAATATAGCTGCTTAGCAACTTAGTATTGCATATAGATGCGTGCACATAGTTACATTACTTATGCGTGAATAATTGGTTACACTATTGCTTCATACATATCTCGACAACAGGCCTATACAATAAAGCCTTCAAAACATCTTGTGGTTGACATTAACAAATGTGACGTATCAATGGCAATTTACTTGTCTTGCATGTGTTTGTGACGGTTGCCTGGTTTCACTACTATTTGACACGTGTCCATGATGGACTCGGAATCGTACAATGGCATCTTAGCCCTGATTTCTGAAATGTTTTTTCCCCGCTTTTATTCAAACGATATATCGTTAATGCAATTCCACACACGTACTTCCATCACGTGTTGCGATTAAAGTGTCGAAAGTGTGTATGCTTGAAGCGATATTTAGGGGCGTCACAGTCGTTTAAGGTGCCGCGATTAGCTGTGTAGAGTTGCGTCCCTTAGGTGCACCAGAAGCCTGTGATCCCCGATTCACCTTGCATCACTTCGGGTTGCTTTCATCCCGCATCAAGTTGACACGTCATGATGTAACAGAATCTATCTTACCTTTCATGAAAAATCTGGGTACAGAGGTGAACTGCTGAAAAATATATCCCGCCGTCATCGTCATGGCAACAGACATTTTGCCGATCTGTGTAGTGTCTGCAAGTGGATCACTCACTCACTCACCTGACACACTACCACATGTGTAGTCGTAACGCAGTAACAAAAAAAGGAACAGTTACCATTGTCACCTTGATATTGACATTAAAGCAGAAGGTAACATCTCTGGAAAGATGGTGGACAATGGTATATTTACCCAGGGAGTCCCCACATAGAAAGTAAAGTACAAGACATAATCCATCACTCGCCGACCTCAACAGTCGCAATTTTCAAAAGTTTAAATAGCCATATAGTTGGTTTTAGAGTCAATGCAACACTCTAACATGTAAGGATGTAACGCTGACTTGTTTTCTTTGTGTCAAGACCGACGACTCATCGTTAGAAGTATTTACCTTAGATTTTCTAGTTCTTTGATTCAGAAAAAATATTCATATCTAGACGTGAAACTTGACGACGTTTCGGCAATATGAATATTCAGCTTGGGAGTATAGGTATAACGCTGTAGGCCTGTTTACATATACTGCAGAAGAAGGTCAACAAGTGAGAACAGTTTAATCAATAACAGAACTTTTTATTCAGATGGAAATCATGTACCGTGTGACAAATATTTATGTCATGTGCACTCGTCTCTAGCATCGCCCTCATCCTCAAATAAGCCACCCCGTGCCTGTGCTTGTTGCTTGGGGGTAGTCAGTCTGGGTGACTTGATAGCGTGTCGATGTACCTCGACGGCATAGATTGTTGCTCATAACATTAATCTCTCACTCACTCACTCACGATGGTCGGAACAGTCCACGCTAAACGAAAAAAAAACACTGTACAAACAGAGGTATTTCACGCACCCGCTCTTCAAATAGCTTGCCCTATTTACAACACAACACAAAGCCTGTTCAGAGTGTATAGTCAACAGTATAAAGCATATTTGCAGAAAAGACGGGTGGAATTAGCTGGGTACTTCTTTGTTGGAACGATGTGGAAAAACCCTAATCTGTTGCAATACCTACAAGTGACTGTTACAACCAGTTACATAGGACATGTCCGACACGCTTCATACATTCATACTTGTGAGCATAACATTGCTTTCTATCTGCTTACACGTACAGTAAAGTACGGTTATAACGAACTCAAACGGACTACTAATTTCAGTTCGTTATAACCGTAGTTCGTTATAAGCATATATACAGCATAACTACAGCAACTAGTCGGGACCAAAAAGTAAGTTCGTTATATCCGTAAGTTCGTTATAAGCGTGTTCGTTATAACCGTAGTTTACTGTATATTAAAACATATGTACACGACTACAACCGTCTCGTCTACCTAGATTCAACATCTTTCCCCAAATTGGCATTTCTACAGTACGTATCAATAAGATACAATATGTTTGCTACATTTTGATACGGGGAATAATTCTCCCGCGATTGTTTCAACTTCACGTTGATCGTATACATTTTTGTTTGTTTGTTTCTGTTGTTGTTTAGTGCCGCACTCAGCAATTCTCAATTACGTGATGGCGATCTGTCAATAATCATAACTGGTGATTGATATTATGAGCAACGATACAAGCCTGCCATCCGATACAATTAGTCGCCTGGTACAAGTACAGGTTTCTGACGACTAATTACAACACTGAATCCTTACAGAGATAAGACTGCTTATCTAATTATCAGTAAGATTTCAACATTCGTTGTTGCAAATAGTTGTAGCCAACGTCACATATAGTTATAGACAAATCGCTATGTTTCTCCAACAAAAGTCTCTTAACAATAGGGGCGGTCGGGTAGCCTAGTGGTTAAAGCGTTGGCTCGTCACGCCGAAGACCCGGGTTCGATTCCCGACATGGGTACAATGTGTGAAGCCCATTTCTGGTGTCCCCCGCCGTGATATTGCTGGAATATTGCTAAAAGCGGCGTAAAACCATACTCACTCACTCACTCACTCTTAACAATGCCAGATCGTCATGTATGATCACATCAGGGCGAATCAGCTTCATGTGGGAGGAACGTTTGAGTGATGCAGGTGGTACATCGTCCCTCCTTGCTGACTGACCAACATCGTGCGAATCGAGGAGATGCTTACACGTTTAACGATCACACCTCTGAATATCGTACTTTGGCTCCTTAGAGTGAGTGAGTGAGTGAGTTTGATTTTACGCCGCTTTTAGCAATATTCCAGCAATATCACGGCGGGGGGACACCAGAAATGGGCTTCACACATTGTACCCATGTCGGGAATCGAACCCGGGTCTTCGGCGTGACGAGCGAACGCTTTAACCACTAGGCTACCAGACCGCCCCTTGGCTCCTTAGAGCTCAGGGCAATCGGGCTCCCAATGTAGAAAGAATAGGGATTGACCCTTGAGGCATCCATGTCAAACTGCGGCGTGATATCTCCGGCAATAGTACCAGCAGCTACACACGCACGCACGCACGCACGCACGCACGCACGCACGCACGCACGCATGCACGCACGCACGCATATATATACGAAAATGATAGGCCTATTCAACGACCATACACATACACACACACACACACATATATATATATATATATCCGAATTCATTTGACATATTATATATGTATAATATACATTATATATATTGTATTATATATATATATATGTGTGTGTGTGTGTGTGTGTGTGTGTGTGTGTGTGTGTGTGTGTGTGTGTGTGTGTGTGTGTGTGTGTGTGTATGGTCGTTGAATATAAAATATGTCTAACGAATAAGGAATAGAAGAGGTCATTATACCTATCGGTAAGACGAGGCTGGTCAGACTTGATGACTTGTATAATTGCATGTCCGCGTGATCCCCTTCGACATGGATCGGTGTACAAACTATCAATCACTAGGTTGTCTGGTCCAGACTAGTATTAAATATCGCCTAGAGCATGACTAGTACAGAGTGTGGCGTTACAACAAACAAACAATTCTAAACATGACCTGGCTGATCTGAAACAACTGCTGCTGCAAATGTGCGACTTCGGTCACTGTAATCACCCGTGTTCCATGTTAGAATAGGTCTTCAGCAACCAACGCGTGCCGTGAAAGGCGACTATGATTGTCCTAAGGCAAACGGGATCGGGTGGTCAGGCTCGCTGACTTGGTTGATATATGTAAAACTTATCCCAATTGTGTGGATCGATGCTAACAATATCAATCACTGGATTGTCTGGTCCAGACTCGATTATCCAAAAACCGCCGTGATATAGCTGGAATATTGCTGAGTGTGGTGTTAACAATAAACAAATACTCGTTACCGTTATCAGTTTCAGAATCACGAGACCAG